TAATAGTAGTTGTCTTATAAAAAAAATTAATTGATTAAGTTTTAATCAGCACAATTTTATCCATTTTAAAGTAGCTATGGATTGCAATATCCAAATGATAATTGATAGTTTATATATTTATGGTCTAGTGTACCTATTGGTGAATTTTTAATTTCAATATCTTCAATCAAGAGAGTATTTACAGTTTTACCATCTTATCTTTTCCTATATTAGAAAGTTGCATTGATAGTAGTTTCCTAGAGATTAATATAGCTTTACCTCAAAATAACTAGTTGTAATAATTAATTATGGTTGTAATATCATATTTTATGGATCAAAAGGATCTATTTAATTTGATAATTCTTAGAAGTAGCTTATTTCAGCAAATACTCCTTAAAATTTCAATGTTTAATCATTATTGATCTGTTAATTTAGCGATGTTACTTTTGGAAGTTTGTTGTTTTATTGCCAATCAACAAATTGAAATAGAAAATATCCTAAGCTTACACCATACAATGTTAATGTTACCAATCCACCTAAAGCACTTTTTTAAGTGGGATTGATTGGTGGAATTTACAGTTTCTACTAAACTCCAAATTGATCAATTGATTATAAAAAGTAGAACATTTTTTAATATGTATTGATTAAGTTTTATTTAATAATCATAATTATCTATTCATATGCTTTTGTTTATATATTTATATTTTTTATAGTCTATAAAATTTTGATAGAAGATTAAACAAATAACAATTTTACAATACTTAGAACTGGAGTAGCTAACGTACAGTGACATAATGAATAATTGAATTAAATTAATTTGAGTTTAACATTTTTTTTAATTGTCTCTTTCTCGAAAATTGCCAGTTCCTTTGAATAATAAATTTATATAAAATGAGATTTAGTTCATAAAAAAAAGTGTGTAGATTAAACAATAAAGAAAATAAATTAAGTGGAATTGAAATTATTTATAAAACTATAAATAATTATTAAAATTTGGATTTTCACTAATTTAATACCATCAAATTTTAAGAATTTATTGATTTATTACTGGATCATATTGTGGGTATAGGGAAAATTAAAATAAATTTGAAAATCGTTTTAATATTATTGGGAATTATTTTTCTAAAAATCTTTTTCCTTATATTCCCTATGGCAGATGCCTTCTAAATCATCAGTAATTGATGCTGTAATATTCATTTATTATAATTGTGATGAAATGAATAAAATTGTTCTAGAAATAACCAGATCGTCTTGGTTTCTACAGGTTGGATCCCTTGAAAGAAAATTAAATGGGAAGATCAGGCAATAAAAAGATATTACGGCAAAGAATTTTAATTAAGTTCTTCTAATTTATTGTTTGATTTTTAACAAATAGTAATACTTTTTAAAAAATGCTAAATTAATCAAAATTTTTTATTAAAAATATTATTTATATATACTCAGTTATATAAATTATATTTATAAATAACTTATCTCAGATTAGTTACTTCTTGAACTGTTGATGAGTTGCTAATTCTTGAGGAAATTAAGTGTTTTTCTCTTATAGTTTTAATTTAAAATTTAGCATTTAAGATTGAATAAGAGACCTTCAAAGCTGGCCAGTCAAGATAAAAAAAATAACCCTCAATATGTTAAGTTAAAATAAATATATTCATTTTTTGTAATAAGTATCTATCATTTTTACTATCTTAATATGTTGAAGGAACATCGAATAAATTTCTATTTCTTCAACTTTTATCTCAAGTTTTATTTAAAATCCTTCAAAACTGGAGGCATCAGCTGTTTGTAATCATCATGAATTTATAATTAGTCATGTTTTGCTCCTGAAATTTAATTATGGAAACAAAAAAAAGGCTCAACTTATTCATAAGATTCACAGTTTCTAATTCACTATTAAAAGCCATTAATATTTCATTTAATGGTCTTCTATAGTAGAGATTGATAAGAGAAAGCATGAATCGTAATGAATGAAATTTTATCATTAGAATAATATTTATAAATTCATTTTCCCTTCTTGATCTGTATTTTAATTTATTTTTACTTCTTATTAAATTTTATTGAAATCCATATTTTTAGAATAAACAGATCTCTGATTATGTATTATTTTTAAAATAAAACAAAAATATTTAGATGGTTTATTCAATTTGAAAAATATTTTTGGTGTTATAATTTTAGACTGAATAAAATTTTCAATTAGAGGCAGAAAAGAAATAAAATATCACTAAATTCATAAAAAGTCAATAGATAACGATTTCTTAATTAAATTATTTTTGTTGTTTATAATAATTTAATTTTTTTTAAATCACTTAATCCCATCAGTCTTATCAACATTGATGACTGTTTAATAATTATTGATATGTTAGAGGGATTCCTAAATATCCAAATTACTATTCTGCTCTCTAACCTAACCATATTCATGGGATTTTATATCTAGAAGCCCTATCCTTAATTCTACTTCCTACTCTACAATCTATTTATTAGTTTTTGAATCAGACGCTACTTATATATTAAATTATTAAATTCTATCTTATTACAACTTATGTTAAGCATGCTTAAAAAATGAAAAGATAATTACAATTTAATTGATTTCTTATTAGGAAATTTTTTCAGGTATTCCTAATTTATCAAATAGAGATTCTAATGTAAATTTCGATTCTAAATATTTTTTAATTTGTTATAATCCTAAATGTTCTTATAAGATTAATTATAATCTAGAATAGAATTAAATAATAATTACTTAGCTACTTCATTTTATAAATTCAAATAATTCATTTTTTCAATTGCAATTCGATCTAATCGATTAAGAATTTCTTCAGATTTTTAAAGATCATATTCTTTTCCTTTATAGTTTACCCTTTAGACTTTACCTAAACAATTCTTTTAAATTTAAAAATCATTAAAATCATTATAATACATTGTTATTATTTCTCTTTAAGTTTTTTCTAAACTTAAGTTTTCATTATATTTTGAAACAATAAATGAAATTGAAAGAATCCAAGATATAATTGAACCAGTATCTGCTAATATTTCTGATATTTTTGGATATTCAACCATATTTACTATTTTTATTTAATCTAAATTAAAATATAATATAGAAATTAATTCTTCTCCATATACTTTTTTAGCATGCTCTTAATCAAATTAAGTGGTTAAGATAGATAATTCAGAAAAGTAACTTTATTTATTAGAGTTTGGAAATAAAAATCCATCATCCATTATTAAATCTCCTGCTTTTAACATAAATTAATTAAAAAAGAGGGATTTTTTAATCATTTCAATAATGAATTCTCTTGGAATTTTAACAATTTGTTTACTTTTTGGATCAAATTGTTCTAAATATATCAATATCTAATAGTAGTTGTCTTATAAAAAAAATTAATTGATTAAGTTTTAATCAGCACAATTTTATCCATTTTAAAGTAGCTATGGATTGCAATATCCAAATGATAATTGATAGTTTATATATTTATGGTCTAGTGTACCTATTGGTGAATTTTTAATTTCAATATCTTCAATCAAGAGAGTATTTACAGTTTTACCATCTTATCTTTTCCTATATTAGAAAGTTGCATTGATAGTAGTTTCCTAGAGATTAATATAGCTTTACCTCAAAATAACTAGTTGTAATAATTAATTATGGTTGTAATATCATATTTTATGGATCAAAAGGATCTATTTAATTTGATAATTCTTAGAAGTAGCTTATTTCAGCAAATACTCCTTAAAATTTCAATGTTTAATCATTATTGATCTGTTAATTTAGCGATGTTACTTTTGGAAGTTTGTTGTTTTATTGCCAATCAACAAATTGAAATAGAAAATATCCTAAGCTTACACCATACAATGTTAATGTTACCAATCCACCTAAAGCACTTTTTTAAGTGGGATTGATTGGTGGAATTTACAGTTTCTACTAAACTCCAAATTGATCAATTGATTATAAAAAGTAGAACATTTTTTAATATGTATTGATTAAGTTTTATTTAATAATCATAATTATCTATTCATATGCTTTTGTTTATATATTTATATTTTTTATAGTCTATAAAATTTTGATAGAAGATTAAACAAATAACAATTTTACAATACTTAGAACTGGAGTAGCTAACGTACAGTGACATAATGAATAATTGAATTAAATTAATTTGAGTTTAACATTTTTTTTAATTGTCTCTTTCTCGAAAATTGCCAGTTCCTTTGAATAATAAATTTATATAAAATGAGATTTAGTTCATAAAAAAAAGTGTGTAGATTAAACAATAAAGAAAATAAATTAAGTGGAATTGAAATTATTTATAAAACTATAAATAATTATTAAAATTTGGATTTTCACTAATTTAATACCATCAAATTTTAAGAATTTATTGATTTATTACTGGATCATATTGTGGGTATAGGGAAAATTAAAATAAATTTGAAAATCGTTTTAATATTATTGGGAATTATTTTTCTAAAAATCTTTTTCCTTATATTCCCTATGGCAGATGCCTTCTAAATCATCAGTAATTGATGCTGTAATATTCATTTATTATAATTGTGATGAAATGAATAAAATTGTTCTAGAAATAACCAGATCGTCTTGGTTTCTACAGGTTGGATCCCTTGAAAGAAAATTAAATGGGAAGATCAGGCAATAAAAAGATATTACGGCAAAGAATTTTAATTAAGTTCTTCTAATTTATTGTTTGATTTTTAACAAATAGTAATACTTTTTAAAAAATGCTAAATTAATCAAAATTTTTTATTAAAAATATTATTTATATATACTCAGTTATATAAATTATATTTATAAATAACTTATCTCAGATTAGTTACTTCTTGAACTGTTGATGAGTTGCTAATTCTTGAGGAAATTAAGTGTTTTTCTCTTATAGTTTTAATTTAAAATTTAGCATTTAAGATTGAATAAGAGACCTTCAAAGCTGGCCAGTCAAGATAAAAAAAATAACCCTCAATATGTTAAGTTAAAATAAATATATTCATTTTTTGTAATAAGTATCTATCATTTTTACTATCTTAATATGTTGAAGGAACATCGAATAAATTTCTATTTCTTCAACTTTTATCTCAAGTTTTATTTAAAATCCTTCAAAACTGGAGGCATCAGCTGTTTGTAATCATCATGAATTTATAATTAGTCATGTTTTGCTCCTGAAATTTAATTATGGAAACAAAAAAAAGGCTCAACTTATTCATAAGATTCACAGTTTCTAATTCACTATTAAAAGCCATTAATATTTCATTTAATGGTCTTCTATAGTAGAGATTGATAAGAGAAAGCATGAATCGTAATGAATGAAATTTTATCATTAGAATAATATTTATAAATTCATTTTCCCTTCTTGATCTGTATTTTAATTTATTTTTACTTCTTATTAAATTTTATTGAAATCCATATTTTTAGAATAAACAGATCTCTGATTATGTATTATTTTTAAAATAAAACAAAAATATTTAGATGGTTTATTCAATTTGAAAAATATTTTTGGTGTTATAATTTTAGACTGAATAAAATTTTCAATTAGAGGCAGAAAAGAAATAAAATATCACTAAATTCATAAAAAGTCAATAGATAACGATTTCTTAATTAAATTATTTTTGTTGTTTATAATAATTTAATTTTTTTTAAATCACTTAATCCCATCAGTCTTATCAACATTGATGACTGTTTAATAATTATTGATATGTTAGAGGGATTCCTAAATATCCAAATTACTATTCTGCTCTCTAACCTAACCATATTCATGGGATTTTATATCTAGAAGCCCTATCCTTAATTCTACTTCCTACTCTACAATCTATTTATTAGTTTTTGAATCAGACGCTACTTATATATTAAATTATTAAATTCTATCTTATTACAACTTATGTTAAGCATGCTTAAAAAATGAAAAGATAATTACAATTTAATTGATTTCTTATTAGGAAATTTTTTCAGGTATTCCTAATTTATCAAATAGAGATTCTAATGTAAATTTCGATTCTAAATATTTTTTAATTTGTTATAATCCTAAATGTTCTTATAAGATTAATTATAATCTAGAATAGAATTAAATAATAATTACTTAGCTACTTCATTTTATAAATTCAAATAATTCATTTTTTCAATTGCAATTCGATCTAATCGATTAAGAATTTCTTCAGATTTTTAAAGATCATATTCTTTTCCTTTATAGTTTACCCTTTAGACTTTACCTAAACAATTCTTTTAAATTTAAAAATCATTAAAATCATTATAATACATTGTTATTATTTCTCTTTAAGTTTTTTCTAAACTTAAGTTTTCATTATATTTTGAAACAATAAATGAAATTGAAAGAATCCAAGATATAATTGAACCAGTATCTGCTAATATTTCTGATATTTTTGGATATTCAACCATATTTACTATTTTTATTTAATCTAAATTAAAATATAATATAGAAATTAATTCTTCTCCATATACTTTTTTAGCATGCTCTTAATCAAATTAAGTGGTTAAGATAGATAATTCAGAAAAGTAACTTTATTTATTAGAGTTTGGAAATAAAAATCCATCATCCATTATTAAATCTCCTGCTTTTAACATAAATTAATTAAAAAAGAGGGATTTTTTAATCATTTCAATAATGAATTCTCTTGGAATTTTAACAATTTGTTTACTTTTTGGATCAAATTGTTCTAAATATATCAATATCTAATAGTAGTTGTCTTATAAAAAAAATTAATTGATTAAGTTTTAATCAGCACAATTTTATCCATTTTAAAGTAGCTATGGATTGCAATATCCAAATGATAATTGATAGTTTATATATTTATGGTCTAGTGTACCTATTGGTGAATTTTTAATTTCAATATCTTCAATCAAGAGAGTATTTACAGTTTTACCATCTTATCTTTTCCTATATTAGAAAGTTGCATTGATAGTAGTTTCCTAGAGATTAATATAGCTTTACCTCAAAATAACTAGTTGTAATAATTAATTATGGTTGTAATATCATATTTTATGGATCAAAAGGATCTATTTAATTTGATAATTCTTAGAAGTAGCTTATTTCAGCAAATACTCCTTAAAATTTCAATGTTTAATCATTATTGATCTGTTAATTTAGCGATGTTACTTTTGGAAGTTTGTTGTTTTATTGCCAATCAACAAATTGAAATAGAAAATATCCTAAGCTTACACCATACAATGTTAATGTTACCAATCCACCTAAAGCACTTTTTTAAGTGGGATTGATTGGTGGAATTTACAGTTTCTACTAAACTCCAAATTGATCAATTGATTATAAAAAGTAGAACATTTTTTAATATNACTTCTTATTAAATTTTATTGAAATCCATATTTTTAGAATAAACAGATCTCTGATTATGTATTATTTTTAAAATAAAACAAAAATATTTAGATGGTTTATTCAATTTGAAAAATATTTTTGGTGTTATAATTTTAGACTGAATAAAATTTTCAATTAGAGGCAGAAAAGAAATAAAATATCACTAAATTCATAAAAAGTCAATAGATAACGATTTCTTAATTAAATTATTTTTGTTGTTTATAATAATTTAATTTTTTTTAAATCACTTAATCCCATCAGTCTTATCAACATTGATGACTGTTTAATAATTATTGATATGTTAGAGGGATTCCTAAATATCCAAATTACTATTCTGCTCTCTAACCTAACCATATTCATGGGATTTTATATCTAGAAGCCCTATCCTTAATTCTACTTCCTACTCTACAATCTATTTATTAGTTTTTGAATCAGACGCTACTTATATATTAAATTATTAAATTCTATCTTATTACAACTTATGTTAAGCATGCTTAAAAAATGAAAAGATAATTACAATTTAATTGATTTCTTATTAGGAAATTTTTTCAGGTATTCCTAATTTATCAAATAGAGATTCTAATGTAAATTTCGATTCTAAATATTTTTTAATTTGTTATAATCCTAAATGTTCTTATAAGATTAATTATAATCTAGAATAGAATTAAATAATAATTACTTAGCTACTTCATTTTATAAATTCAAATAATTCATTTTTTCAATTGCAATTCGATCTAATCGATTAAGAATTTCTTCAGATTTTTAAAGATCATATTCTTTTCCTTTATAGTTTACCCTTTAGACTTTACCTAAACAATTCTTTTAAATTTAAAAATCATTAAAATCATTATAATACATTGTTATTATTTCTCTTTAAGTTTTTTCTAAACTTAAGTTTTCATTATATTTTGAAACAATAAATGAAATTGAAAGAATCCAAGATATAATTGAACCAGTATCTGCTAATATTTCTGATATTTTTGGATATTCAACCATATTTACTATTTTTATTTAATCTAAATTAAAATATAATATAGAAATTAATTCTTCTCCATATACTTTTTTAGCATGCTCTTAATCAAATTAAGTGGTTAAGATAGATAATTCAGAAAAGTAACTTTATTTATTAGAGTTTGGAAATAAAAATCCATCATCCATTATTAAATCTCCTGCTTTTAACATAAATTAATTAAAAAAGAGGGATTTTTTAATCATTTCAATAATGAATTCTCTTGGAATTTTAACAATTTGTTTACTTTTTGGATCAAATTGTTCTAAATATATCAATATCTAATAGTAGTTGTCTTATAAAAAAAATTAATTGATTAAGTTTTAATCAGCACAATTTTATCCATTTTAAAGTAGCTATGGATTGCAATATCCAAATGATAATTGATAGTTTATATATTTATGGTCTAGTGTACCTATTGGTGAATTTTTAATTTCAATATCTTCAATCAAGAGAGTATTTACAGTTTTACCATCTTATCTTTTCCTATATTAGAAAGTTGCATTGATAGTAGTTTCCTAGAGATTAATATAGCTTTACCTCAAAATAACTAGTTGTAATAATTAATTATGGTTGTAATATCATATTTTATGGATCAAAAGGATCTATTTAATTTGATAATTCTTAGAAGTAGCTTATTTCAGCAAATACTCCTTAAAATTTCAATGTTTAATCATTATTGATCTGTTAATTTAGCGATGTTACTTTTGGAAGTTTGTTGTTTTATTGCCAATCAACAAATTGAAATAGAAAATATCCTAAGCTTACACCATACAATGTTAATGTTACCAATCCACCTAAAGCACTTTTTTAAGTGGGATTGATTGGTGGAATTTACAGTTTCTACTAAACTCCAAATTGATCAATTGATTATAAAAAGTAGAACATTTTTTAATATATATTGATTAAGTTTTATTTAATAATCATAATTATCTATTCATATGCTTTTGTTTTTATATTTTTTGAGTTTAATTAATTCTACACAATGATTAGTTTAACTAAAAGATGAATTTATTTTAAAACACATAATGTTTATTATATAATGTAATAATTTTTAGCAATAAAATTCAATTTACTTCTTATCTGATTTTATTTAAATATAAGTGATTGATATTATTAACTTTTAATATAAAGCAAAAATATTTTTAAGATTGATAAAATTTGAAAAATATTCTTTGTGTAAATTTTAGGATGAATTAAATTTTCAATTAGGAGAGGAAGAGAAAAAAATATCGCTAAATTCATAAATAAATTAATAGATATCGATTATTGAATTTAAATTATTGATGTTGGTTATAATAATCTATTATTTTTAGATCACTTAATCCCATCAGTCTTATCAACATTGATGACTGTTAAATAATTATTAATTTGTTAGAGGGATTCTTAGATTTATAAATTGCTATTCTGCTCTCTAAATTAGAGATTTTCAGAGGTTTTCATATCTAAAAGCCCCATCCTTAATTCTACTTCTTGCTCTACAATATCTTTATTAAATTTAGAATCGATTTCTCCTTCTATATTTAATTATTAAACTACTTCCTATTGCAATTCTTGTTAGGCATGCTTAAAAAATGAAAAGATAATTACAATTTAATTGATTTCTTATTAGGAGATTTTTTCAGGTATTCCTAATTTATCAAATAGAGATTCTAATGTAAATTTCGATTCTAAATATTTTTTAATTTGTTATAATCCTAAATGTTCTTATAAGATTAATTATAATCTAGAATAGAATTAAATAATAATTACTTAGCTACTTCATTTTATAAATTCAAATAATTCATTTTTTCAATTGCAATTCGATCCAATCGATTAAGAATTTCTTCAGATTTTTAAAGATCATATTCTTTTCCTTTACAGTTTACCCTTTAGACTTTACCTAACCAATTCTTTTAAATTTAAAAATCAATAAAATCATTATAATACATTGTTATTATTTCTCTTTAAGTCTTTTCTATACTCAAGTTTTCATTATATTTTGAAACAATAAATGATATTGAAAGAATCCAAGAGATAATTGAACCAGTATCTGCTAATATTTCTGATATTTTTGGATATTCAACCATATTTACTAATTTTATTTAATCTAAATTAAAAAAAAGAATAGATATTAATTCTTTTCCATATATATTTTTAGAATATACTTGATCATATTGGGCGCTAATAACCTATAAATCAGAGAGATATGTATATTTATTGGAATTCGGAAATAAAAATCCATCATCCATGCTTAGTTCCCCTACTTTTAGTATAAATTAGTTGGTATAAAGTTAGTCTTTGATCATATCAAAAATAAAGAATTTAGGTATATATTTAAGTTTTTTTGTTCTTGGATCGAATTGTTATATAAAAATTGTCACTTAAAAGAAATTTGTTTGTTTATAAAATTAATCAACCGTATCTTGATTAGCACATTGTTATCCCTCTTAAAGTGAATTAGGATTACAGTAACCCAAAGAAAGTTAATAATTAATTATTTTACGTATTGGTAAATTAGCAGGAGAATTGGATAGCTCAATATTTTTAATCAAAAATTTAGTTATTATTTTTCCATTTTCTAATTTTTCCTAATCTAAAATAAGAGGAATGCTTTAGATCTATTTTAGAATTTAGATATACGTTTGATCTATTTTAGGGAACGATTTCCAAAATTGGTTAAAATATCAGACTTTGAGGATTGAAAGGATCTATAGGATTGTTGAGAGTTTTCAAATAACTTATTTCTGTAAATACTCCTTCAATCTATAATTTTTAGCCATCTTAAATTTGTTCTTAAAGAAAAGTAATTTTAGGAAGCTTATTATTTTATTACCATTCATAAAATTAATAGAGAAAATATCCTAAGCTGACTCCATATAAAATTAGAGTTACTAATCCGCCAAAAGCACTTTTTTATGTTGGTTTAATAGGGGGAATTTATAATTTTTGCTAAACTCCAAACTAATCAATAGATTGTAAAAAGTATGACATTATTTTTTATTAATTTCAGAAATTTGAGTTTATTGAAGTTTCGATTAAAAAAGATACAGTAATTTTATACTTATACAAATATACAATATAATTTTGAATAATTATTTTATTAATAATTTCTTGTTAATATTGATCATAATCATGCTAGTGGTTTAGCTGATTCAACCAATAATTGTTTTAGTTAGTTGACATAGGTACTATTTAACAAAGCAACATCTACAATTACTGCACTAACTAAATATGGATCAATGTTGGCAGCTGGTCTTCTGTCTTCCAAATAACTAAATAAAATAAATATAATAAATACCCTGCTCCTAATTCTTTAGTTACAACTGGAACTCTGATAGATCCACCTCTAGATCCATCTCCCCATGAGAATTAATCATAAGAACTTGTTTCATGGTGACCTGTTAATCTTTTTTCATTATTGGCTCCATATAATTTTAAAACTTCTTTGTGAGTATTACTTAATAAAGGGATCAATTCATTGACAATGTACTTATATCCTCCTTCCCCTCTTGTTTTAATATCAGAATAGTTTGTATGGGCTCCAGAACCATTCCAATCTCCCAAGATGGGTTTTGGATCATAGTTGATATCAATTCCAAATTCTTCACCTAATCTCTCTAGAATATATCTAGCCAACCACAAGTGATCTCCAATTTCAATTCCTTCAGCAATACCAATTTAGAATTCCCATTAAGATGGAGCAACCTCTGCATTGACACCAGCAATTTTGATTCCCGCATTTAAACAAGCTCTAAGATGTGCCTCGGCTAAAGCACGTCCAAAGTTGTTTCTTTCTCCAATAGAACAATAATATCGTCCTTATGGATAAGGAAATCCTCCTGTTGGCCATCCAAGAGGCCAGATATGAGTTGTTCCTGTACGTTTTAATAAGAAATATTCTTGTTCGATTCCAAACCAGGGTTTAAAATCTTTGGCTTTCTCCATAATTTCATTAGCAATCCATCTACTAATAAAAAATAGAGGTTACCTAAAGTTATATCTGGCTGGGGTCTTTTTGTCTGGCAAATATGTTTCACACAATACCAAAATATGAGGATCACCTCTAAAGGGATCTTTCACATATACCACAGGTTTCAAATAAATTTCTGACCATTTAGTGTTGGCTTATTCTGTTGATGAGCCATCATATGTCCACCATTCAAGGTCAGATAGTTAAGTTATTGGGGTTAGATATACCTAGATAATTATTATAAAAAGTACTTTAGTTTTGGATCTCATTCTTTCTCCAGTTCCATCAATCCAAATATATTCAGCCAAGATTTGAGTAACATTCTAGTTTAGTTTATAATAATTGAAATCACGAAGATGTTCAACAGTTTCTGTCATGCAAGATCTAAAATTTATTCAATTATTCAATAGAAAAACTCGTATGGATTTTCGAATTTAATTGGCTTTATAATTGGTCATAAACTAATAATCACAATAAATTGATATCTAATATCGATTATTATTGTATAATTTATAAAACAAGATAACGTTTTTAATTTAATATACAATTTTATATAATTAGCAAAAAATCATTAATTAACTATTTAACAATAATTGAAATAATTTAGAAGTAAAACATAAATAATTAAATGAAATATTTATGTTAGTAAAAGCAGAAAGAAAACTTGATGTCTTTAATATAGAATTAGAGTTTCAGAGAAATTTCGGCAAGATTTCTAAATACATTTTAAAGTTTTTTTTTTTTAAATTGGAAATTTATAATAATTATTGTTATTATTATTAATTTTTATATTCTTATAATATTGGATTTTCAATTACTTTTTTATTTCGTTGATTTTACACTCAACTTATTCCCATTTTATTTATCATGCATATATAAAGTTATATTGCATAATGTACCAAATATGGTGACAATTCTAATAAATTACATCATTTAGACATAGGAATATTAAGTTTCATCTTAAATAATTTATCCAACTATTAGTGGCAGAAGGGATAATCCAATATTCTAAATCGATGTTACAACTCCAAATCCAGTTCCTTAAGCATTGTCTTTAATGCATAAAGGAATGCATGGCCAAATAACTGGGGCAAAAATCGCAAAAGAAAGACCACTAATTGTTTAGGCCAATAATGTTAAATTATGGCAAGCATCATTAATACAATTAAGTTCTACACAATATAAAGAAGTAGAAATTAAGAGCAAAACACCTGAGACGAGAATAATTAACGGTCTTTATCCAATTTTATCAACAAAACCACCAAAAATTGGAGTAATTATTGCACTAATATAATATGGTAGACTGTAAAAAAATGTGGCTTCTTTATCTTAGAGTTGATATCTATTTATATATAAATATATGTAAATACCTAATTTTAAACATTTGCAAACAATTTTATTACAAAACAATAAAAGCACTATATGATAATACACAAGTCAAAGATACGAGATAGAAATCTAATTTAAATTATTTAACATCTGATAAACTAACATTAGATTATCCTTCATCCTTTTTAATTTTCCCATCTCTAAAATCACTTAATTTATCCATTTCAATCTAAATGAATGAGACTCCCCAAACAATTAAGATAATGAGACAACAAATCATCATACAAGATTGAAAGCTTTCATTAAATTGAACATAAGTGTATCTTAATAAATTTACTCCTAAAACTGATCCTAATCTTGTAAATGTTAGTTTTAAACTTAAATTTTTATATGTAAATGATACCCAAAAGCTAAGGCCATTTCTTAACCAACAAACCATTTACTAACAATAGAACTTTATGCTACACTCATGCAAATTTCTCCACCCATTCCCATAAGCATCATACCAATTTTTAAATAGTTATAGTTTAAAATTAGGGATCCATAATAACATAAAGCTATAAATATTTAGAAATAAAATTGTACCTTATCCAAATACAAGAAAGGCTGTAAATGAAACCAAAGAAGTTCTTATTCCTATTTTATCAATGATAATTCCTCCAAAAAATGGAAATATTACATTAGGCAAAGAATAAAATGTGAATAGTTGATTAATATCTGATTATTAAATAGAGAATTGCAACTTCATCTAGGATGCCAATACTGATGGAAAATCACTACATAAGCAACATCCAACTTAAAATACACAAGTCATTGCCAAAAATAACCATCTTAATGAAGTTTAATGCCAAGACACTTATTTCTTATCCATTTATATTTTAATATAATTCTTAATAATTATTCTAAGATAATTTTAATTCTAAATACCACATTTCTATATTTTAGATATAATAATTGTATTAAATGTTATGAAGAAATCTTTTATAGGTAAGAGCTAAATTAAAGATAGAATTATTTTATATATAATTTTTTAATTAATTATATAAATATAATTATTATAACGGATTGAAAACTAAAAAATGAAAAGTATTCTGAAGTAAATGATTATCTTTATTAGTAAGTCAATCAAAGTAAAATTTAATGCTGCATGTGGCTAACAGTATAATAAAAAATGCAAAAAATGATTTTACAGTAAAAGATTGTGATGTTCCAACAATTAATAAGATCCCAGCATCAAAGCGAATTCAGACAAAACCAAAAGAAAATGCTTTAAGTGAATACAATGTAATCACAAGATGTGTAACAGAACAAAGAAAAAGCTCTGGTATACTTTTTGTTTGATTAGTCACGGAAACTAGTATTAATGAATAAAAAGAACAAAAAAGAATTCCATCTTACTGTATGAAATGGTTAAACTATAAATATCAAAAAAAAGTAAGAAAATTAATTAAAAAATAGGAATTTGTATAATTAGAATAGCAATTTTAAAAAATACTATAAATTTAGCCTGAAAAGGATGTTGTGCATTAAATTGAAAGAGATCTTTCAAGAACAATAAAGGCAGAGAATCATTTTAAAGAAATTAGAAATATTCTTACTGCATTTTCTGTCTATGATCCAAATATTGGATATGTTTAAGGAATGAATTACATAGCTTCAATATTATTTAATCATGCAAAATAAGAGTGGATAGCTTTTTGGTTATTTGTGAATTTAATAGAGTAAATGGAAATTAGAGATATTTTTTAATTATCACTTAATGCAATAAACAAATACTCAAAAATTTTAGATTTTCTTATTAGTAGATTTTTACCAAAAGCATATGAAAATTTATGTTTAAAATAAGTGAACACTGAATTATACATATAATAATGGATACTTAGTTTGTTATTGTAGTTTATTCCATTTGAATATACTTAAATGTATTTGGATGGATTATTCAAATAAGGAATATCTTATTTTTACATGATAGCATTAACAATCATTAAAGTATTTGATAAGGCAATATAAGAAGAGGATTAAATAGAAATCTTAATTTTGTTAACATCAAAACAATATGTAATAGAGTTTATTAATTTAATTAGAGTTAATTGAAATGGCCATCCATTTTAGCTTTACAATGGGACATAAATCCAGGGGAATTGAGAGTGCTGTTGGATTGTTTTGATAGTGACACCAATACTTTTAACAAACCAAAATTCTAAACACATTTCTCATAGCTTACAACAAATTTCTTCCAATTTATAAAAAGTAGTTGAATTCTATCTGTTATAATATAAGATTTCATAATTTTATTTGATATTTTTTTTTATCGCTAAAATGGTTACAGAATTTTTATTAGAAAATAAAGAATTCAATCCTCCTCTAAGAGTTTTATTTAATACAAAAATATATATAAAAGTGAATGGAATACTTCTTATAAGGAAATACAAATTCAAGCATCCTTAATAAATCTTAACCAAGTATTCAAACTACAGTGAAAAGAATAGAACAAAGCAAATTGCGAATTGAAAAGAAGAAGGATAAAACAATTCTTGAAAAAGAAATATAAACAGATCAATATTTTGAAGAAAATTATGATAAATCACATAGTATATTATATTCCTTGGTGAGTTAATTTTAATGAGAAATACCAAAAAACTCTTGAAATCATTAACATTTAATTACCATATTTGAATATTTATGAATATTGATTAGGAAAATATATATAATTTTTATCATTAAATTAATTATGAAGCTCTTATATTGGCTTTCTATAATAAAAACACTATCTATTTATAAAAGTTATATTGCTGTTAATCCAAAACTTAATAAATACTTACTAAATCTTAAGTTTGTTGTTATATGGACAGATTTCTTGGATTTGATATTATTTAGTTGAGAATTTCAAGAGCAAATAAACAATATTCTTTTTATTTCTATTATTCATATGTGTACTCTTTTTGTTTTAAGGCTACTTCTATTAAATATTTTATTTTGGTCAATTCATTTATTAATCTTATCTATTTTTATTGTCTAGTTTCTATATATTAATTCTTTGGATCTGTACAACAAATAAATAAATCTAAATATTTATCATCCTCTTGTTATCTATTTTTATTACTTATACAGAAATTTAAATGATTATTTGCATTTTTTATCGATATGAATTGATCACACATTGTACAATATATATATTACATTAAATCTAATGCTTCTTAATCCTGTCTTAAAATTCTTTAATCTCCATGATTAGGCTTATTATGAATCTATAGTGATTTATTTGATAAAGGGTATTTTTAGCAGAGATATTAATAAAATTAATCATAGCCTAAATTACCATACAAATCCATGATAATGCTCTATTATGATTCGTTAAGTACATTTTAATTTTAGACTTCAACAGGAAGAATTTATTCATTTTGATTGATGTTATGATATTCAAATTATGATATATTAAGGATCTACTATTATTATTATTATTATTATTATTATTACTATTAATATTAATATTACTATTATTATTATTATTATTATTATTATTATTATTATTATTATTATTATTATTATTATTATTATTATTATTATTATTATTATTATTATTATTATTATTATTATTATTATTATTATTGTTAATATAAAACTTTTTATGAAGATTTATCTCTACTCAAATTGATATGTGATAGATCAAAAATTCTTTCTTTTTAATGAATAACACTTGGTTATTATTAAAAAAAATTTTAAGGAAGACTTTATTAAGAATTTTATCTTCGATTTGGCGTTTATTATAATTGCTATATTTAATCTGTTTAATCACCTTTATTAATTATTTATTTTTCTACTGATATATCTTTAATATATTAACCTTAATTAGGTTCTGTTATCCTCGATTTATTTGTTATTTATTACTCAAAAATGGGTTTGTGTTTGTGTGAAGGAAGAGTTCCTTAGAAATTACCATTAAATTTTTAATGCTACTCTTACTAATGTATCGATTATTAATACTCAGGTTAGGCACTTACATTAATTGGATAATATGAATTTCGTTAATCCACAATTTATTCCTCATTTGTGATCAGAATCGGGCTTTTATTTTAATAGTCTCCATATGAATTAATTTAATATCTGGCTGATTGTACTTTCTCTTATTAAGGAGCTGATAAATACTTTTATTATTAATATTGAGTGTTTTGATTTTAAGTAAATTCTATGATGCCATAATTTTATCTAAGTTAATTAAGATATTGTATTTATGGTGTATTTTAAGAATATTGAGTAGATTATAAAGGTGTATGTTATTTTTATTGTTAAATGCTGTTGTAATTAGAACTGATTCTTTGATGACTTGTAGGTGATAAATAATTCATTTAAATTCTTGAACTGACTGGAATTAGATCATGAATATCATATTTCTATTGTTTATAGCTATCCAAAGTTTGAAGATCTTCTAAAAGTTGTTATTCTTATTAATCAATGTAATCATATTAATTATCAGATAAATTTTATTTGTGCCCATTTAATTATTACTATTTATTTCCTTGCTGTCTTAATGAAATAGCTTACAACATTTATATATTTTATTCTCTTTAGGATTTTAATTCTTCTAATAATTATTAGTAATCTTAACGCGATGATTATTAAAGTTAATTTATATTTGTTGTTAATTCATTGTAAATGTTGTCAATTTTAGTAACAATTTATTGATATTTAGTTTGAGTATCAGTTCTTTGAGAATACATTTCTTATTCTAATTCAGAATATTGAATCATTAATTAATTGTAGTTATTGGTTATTTCTTGTTATGGAGAAATTTAAACTTATTGTCTCGGTGTTTTTAATTTTTGATTAGAAATAGATTGCATGTGTTGAAAATTTGGAATTCAATGAGAAAGTAATAACAAAATAAATTTATTTTCAGCAATAAAATATTGAAATTTATGTATATAAAACTTGTAATACTTCAAATAAATTCAATTAAAGAAAAAGATACCCGTTGTTTTATTATTAACAATTTACATAAAAGATCTAAATATTTAGTTTATTCATCTACAAAATCATAACCTATTTCTATCCAAATATAATTAATCTCATAAAGAATCAGCTGTTCTCTAAATTTATAAGCAAATATTAATACCATGATGGCTAAATAATATTTTTCATCTTGCATTAATTTAGTCTTTATATTAAATAAATTATAAAGTAGAAAAGTGTATCATTTAATAATATAGGAAACCAAAGTAAAAGGAATTCAATTAATCTTACTCTTCGATAATTAAAATTAAATATCTTTAGTAAATAATCTTGTAAATCTTATGATTATAATTTGCCAATAGCTGGACAAGGCAATTAAAATATCTTACCATCTATCAAGTAATTGAATACTTTAAAAGAGGGAAAATGATTGAGAAATTTAAACACCTTATGAGGTATGATACAGAAACTTTATAATCAGTAGCCAAATTCTCATAAAAGCTTTCAACTAAAGCAAGATGTATTTGGTTGATCATGACAGCCAACTTAGCTTCAATTAAACTTTTTTTTTATTAATCTTAATAATTCTGGAATTTTTGAAATAGTTGTCTGCTTTAATCTAACAATTATTCATTTTCCTCTTTAATGATTAGATATTCATGAAATGCAAAATGTACAACTTTATAATCTTAATCCATATATATAAATATATTCTTTTTTATTTTGTACTATAAACTCATTATTATTCATTTTCAATTAAGGCAGCAGCACCCATACCAGTAGCAATACACATAGAAATAACACCATATTTAGCCTTCTTTCTCTTCATTTCTGGTAATAAAGTGGCTACTTATCTGGCACCAGTACATCCTAAAATTTAAAATTTTATATACCTAATGGATGTCCTAAAGCGATGGCACCACCCTTTGGATTAACTCTACTTGGCTCAATACCTATTTTTTCAACTGAATAAACAGATTAACTGGCAAAGGCTTCATTTATTTCATAAATGCAAATGTCATTTGGTTTCAAAGCATTTCTTTATAATAATTATGGGATAGCAGCAGCTGGTCCAATACCCATGATATTGGGTGGTACACCAGCAACAGTATAATCAAGAAATCTAGCTAAGATTGGTAATCCCAATTTCTTGGCTACAGATCTTCTAGCTAAAAGAACAGCAGCAGCACCATCAGTGACTTAAGAAGAGTTACCAGCTGTAGTTGATCCATCTTTTCCAAAAGCAGGCTTTAATTTACCTAAGCCTTCAAGAGTGGTTTCCTTTCTGATTCCATCATCTTCTGTAACAATGACTTCCTTAGTTTTATCTCCATCTTTAATAAAAGTCTTGACAGGGACTATTTCATCCTTGAATAATCCTTCTTATTATGCTCTATAAGCTTTTTATTAGGATTCATAAGCAAATTTATCTTATTACAATCTTGTGACTCCAAATTGGGCTGCAACATTTTCAGATGTTTATCCCATACCCAATAAACAATCTCTTGCACATGGATGATCAAAGATAGCATCACTGAGTAATTCAGCATTCATTTGACTTTGCATATCATACATAGTCATTTATTCAACTCCAGCTCCAATACCAATATCCAACATTCCAGATCTAATTTTGGCAGCAATTACAGCACATGCTTCAATTCCTGATGAACAGAATCTATTTATAGCTGTCAAACAAGTTGTATCTGGGAATCCAGACAAGAAGGCAGCCATTTTAGAAACGATGGCACCACTTCCAGGTTGATTGACATTACCTACTACGATGTCTTAGATCAATTTTGGATCAACTTTAGTTCTTTCCAAAAGACCTGTGAAGGCTGTGCTAAGAAGAATTTCAGGTGGAGTATCTCTCAATAATCCTCTTTTGGCTTTTGTTAAAGGAGTTCTAACAGCACCACAAATGACGACATCGTTGTCACTTCTTGATGGAACAGGTGTACAATTATTGACTTAAGCACTGAGATGTTGGACTCTTTACATGAATAAGATATTTTATTTAATTAAATTGGAAATAATTGTTTTTGTATTTGGATAAATCTCTATTCCTAAAAATTAGAATTCATGGAATGTTAATTGGAACATACACAAATGGGAAGAAATCTTCAGTGTCTTCTAATTCTTCTTTTGTTCCATATAATCCTACTTGAGAAGGATCAGCATACAATTTCAAAAGGGATTACTATACTTTCTTTTCTTTTCCTTGATCTGGCTAATTAAAATTATATTATTTAATCTTACTTTAAGAATGCATTAAATGCTAGGTTCAGCTGCTCCAAATCTCATAGCAATATCCACAACTAATCTGAGAACCTTTAAATGCATATATGTAATGTATAAGTCACTAAATGCTTTTTCACATGCTTATTTTAATGTAGTCTATATAATTATAAACACTTTTCAAATACATTCATATGATCTGATTTTGACTTTAAATCCAATCTCAATTTTTCCCTTTCTTTTGATTCTTAAGATTTATATCCAAATTCTTTAACAGTGATTCTAAGTTTATCTCTGGCCTTTTAAATAAATTCATCAACTGGGCTTTACTTTTATTTCTTTGCCTTATCTTCATCATCTTTATCTACAACTTCAAGATCATGATCCTTATCGAAAGATTATTTAACGATCACAACTCTCCAAATTGTCAAATTATCTTTGTCATCAATTTAGAATTATCTATATTTTATTTGTCTAATAAGTACCTTGCTGATTAAGGCACAACATTTTCACATAAAAACTCATAACAAGCTAACCATTCTTAAATCTATGTCTTTGGTACAATAGCAACCAAAGTTGTTAAATAATCGCTATAAATGAAATCTCTTGGCTTCACAATTGGTTCCTTTAACACATCGACCAAGTCTTTAACCAATAAATTTCCTTCCTTCTTTGCTACTTATTAACTCTAATTCTTTAACTCTTAATAACTTGTTGATTTTTGTCTCAAATCTGTCTCAACATGAGTAGCTCTCTAAGAAGCATAAATAAATTCTTATACCGATGAAATTGCCTTGACTAATTCTGTTAATGCTGATGCTCTTGGGAAGGTTTAATCATTCCATTTGAATGACATTAAGAAATTCTCAATACTCTCTAAGAATAATATTTCTTAATATACATGGTCCTTCTTTCAACTCAATTGTGAAATCATAACTAGCTTTCTCTGTCACATCCAAATACTATCTCTCGATCTTCTTTAGTAAACTCTCCACTATTGATTCTTATTTCAATAAGCTATCATTGATGAACATCAAGTGATCTAAATTCCCCAACTTGAATTTTCCTATCTCTGTCTGCAAAATTCTTCCTTTAGCTTATCTCGATATTCCAGATGTCAGAACATGTTTCTCCATCTCTAACCAAGCCGATTATTCGTTAGACTTATGTGGTGCACCAATCAGATAGTATACCATTTGTTATATAAAGATATTTTAATTTAATCTTCAAATGATTGTTACTTATCTAAAGAGGTACTCTTCATTTTATCATCAAAGCCCATTCTTCCATAAACATTACACAATTTATAATTATCTATTTTTAAATATAACAGCACACTCTATTTGCTTAAAATCATATATATAATCTGCAAAATATAAATAAAAATTCAGAATTTCTGTTTATTTATTATAATATTATAACTTAAATATACAATTATATATAAATCTGTATGGGTTAATTAAAATATTTTCTATTTATTATTAAAAAATCCATTAATGACTTAAATTGTATTCATCCTTAAACTCAGAATCAAATACTCAAAAAAGTAATAAATATTTAGTAATAAATGTTGAAAATAAAAATATATTGATTTAAAATCTAAACCAAACTCTTCATAAATAAGTTTTATCATTAATGTTAGTAAATAATCATATTAATGCTAGCCAGGATAGAGTAATTAAAAATTAAGAGCCATTTAATAGATAATCTTTTTAGATAGTTCAAGGATTGAATAGAGTGAGTGGATATACAGAATAAGATTTTCAACTTCTTCCATTATTTAAATTATTTTTACATAATCAACAAAAAGAACCCACTTTAATCAAAAAAATGAGTTTTAAAAGAACACTTGTTAATAGTAGATTTAGTTTAACTAAGTATTTCATAATTTAATAAATGTTATATAATTATGAAACTTAAAGAGAATGGATATTAAAACATATGAATTTACTTTTTGATGACTAATTTAATATTTAATTATATACAATATCAAATATAATTCAAATATCTGGTTAGATAATATAAAAAATAATTTTATTGAGTACTAATCTATACTTTCAGTTAATAAAAGCATGTCAAATTATCATTTAAAAATAATTAATCTGATTATGGATTCATAAAAAAATAAAATAATTTAAAACAATTAAGCTATTTTTTAAGATTTGAATCGATCATAAGACAATTATAAAATTATCTTTTTAATTTTACTTTAAAATGACTATTTCAAATATTTAAATAATAATTTTTTTGGTTGAACTTCAAAAAAAGGTAACGTTTTTTTTCTTTCTCTTTATAACCACTTTTAATATAAAGATTTTTATTATCATAATTAAATTATTTGAATTAAAAGTATAAAATAAAAGAATATGAATATGAAAATTATATTTAAATGAATTTGAAGTAAACGATAATAATTAATTGGTTATTATATTCTATATAATAATAATATTAAATATAATAATTGCTAATCATGATATTGGTCTCTTTGATTTATAATATTCAATTTTGTTATCTTTTTTTTAAAAGTCTTCCTTAATAAGTTGCTCTCCTAATCTGGCTAGATCCAAATAATGATTTTAAGTAGAACAAATATTCTAAATATTAAATTTACTTACTTCAGATAAATATGTCTTAGATGTTTCTCCTTATTCTAAAAGATCATCTATCATATCATAATCTTCAATTTTTTCAAGTTCACATTTCATCATGTATTTATCAAAGTTTGTATTAAAATCTAAACATTTATCATCAATATCTCTTAATGACTTCAAATGTATATATAATTTATATGTTGAATCAAATTATTAAATAATTTATAAATTTTGAACTAGAATTTTATTGCTTGCTAATTCATTCTGATTTATTTAATTAACAATCATTTACTAATACTTCAATTGATCATATTTAGGTTAAAGAATGCTTCTCAATTTATCTAAAAATATAGGATGATAGATTAAATCCTTTTCCCATCTTCTAATAACAGCATAAGCTTTTTCTAAATCTTCAATCTCATCCACTTAACTAAATTAATATCAATTCATTACTATGCATAATCCATAATTAACTTCTTCAATTTTTAACCAAAACACTTCACATATGGATGATCCATTCTTTTAGCATGTTTTTCATCAAGTATTATCTAATGAATAAGAAACAAATAGAGTTTCTTTCTCTCTTTTCTAGCACTAATAAACTCATTTTCAATAATAAATGCAACCATACCACTATGTTCTGGGAAAGTTGAACAATAAGTTGATGTTTCTAAGAAATTAGTTAATATTTTATTTTACATCTAATGGAATCTTATAATTCAGTGATTTCTCTCACTTATCTCTCTAATTGTTTGATGTCCATAATAGTAAATAATATTTTTGGAATAAATTATCACTTTAATTATTCTTCAAGTTTTGAATTTATCAACTAAATATTGTGTCTGCTCAAAATATTATAACCATATTAAATATATACCTATATGTATTAGAAATTGTAAATTATACAATTAAATCCAATTGTTATTGATATATAATGGTTTATAATGAATTAATGTTATTTATTTACATTCAAATAATAAATTATGAGAAAGATATCTTATAGTTTCACATAATTGATGAAATTGCATTTACATGACTATCATGTAAATCTCAAAGCAAAAATGGTTCCATTTGCTGGATATGAAATGCCTGTTCAATATCCATAGGGTGTTTTGAAAGAGCATTTATATTGTAGAGAATCATGTGGATTATTTGATGTATCACACATGGGATAAGTTAAAGTTTTTGGAGAAGATAGAATGAAATTTGTAGAAACTCTAACAACAGGAGAATTCTAAAGTATATATTATAGTAATGAATCAATTAATTAGCAAAGAAATCAGGACAGAGTGTTTTATGTTTGATATTAAATGAGAAGGCAGGTATTATAGATGACACAATAGTTGCTAAAAGAGATGATCATATGTATTAAGTTATATTCAATTAAAAAGTCACATTGTTGTTAATGCTGGCAATAAGTTTATTGATATGAAACAAATGGATAAAATCATTAAGGATTATAACTACAAAGTCTAATATGAGTATCTTTAAGATAAACCATTGATAGCTGTTTAAGGTATTTATATATATATATGAATCTATTTTTAGGACCAAATGCTCACAAAGTTTTGAATGAAATTTTTGGAACAGAATACAATTTAGACAAGATACCATTTATGTTTATGGTCAATATCTAAAAGAATGGAATAGATTATCAAATCAATAGATGTGGATATACAGGTGAAGATGGTTATGAAATATCTGTTGAAAATTCTAAAGCATAAGAATTATGTGATAAGTTATTGGCAACAAAAATGGCTTAATTTTGTGGTTTAGGAGCAAGAGACTCATTACGTCTAGAAGCTGGATTGTGTTTGCATGGCCATGAAATGGATGACACCATTTCCCCTTATGAAGCAAAATTAATGTGGACTGTTCGTAAACCAAATGTATAATATATTCATTTATCAATAAAGAAAGAGACTGGAAAATATAATGAATCTGCTGCCTTTATTGGTAGAGATGCCTTACCATAAAGACAAAAAGATGCAAAATTCAAAAGAATGGGTTTTATTACTTAATCAGGAATTGCAAGACCTCCTTGCGATATTGAATTTTAAGGTCAAAAGATTGGCTCTGTTACAAGTGGAACATATTCACCTAATCTTAAAAAAGGGTTAGGTTTTGCTTTCATTAATAATGAATATGCTAAAGATGGAACCTAATTATAAGCTGATATAAGAGGATCTAAAGTAAATATAACTTTGAGTCCAACTCCATTTGTACCATAGAGATATTATAAACCAGAGAAAAAGTGATTAAATGTTTATTTAGAAAATAATAATCAATAAATTTTTCTATCAAATTTTCTATCGAAGATTTTCTTTACAGAATTGCTTTCATAAAATCTATTTGCAAATGAAGATTCTTGATCTGAATTTATGTGATAAGATCTTAAATAGTATTTAATTTTACTTATTAAATTCTGTTGTATATTATCCTTCAAAACTAGCATTGAATAATTTTGGACTTATTGGACGCATTAATTTTGAAGGAATTCTACTACATTATTATTATTAGTAATACGAAGATGTACTTTATTTGACTAATTACTCAGGATTTTCAGCAAAGGGTCCTCTGATTAAAATTTAATTACATACAATTTTGTTATTTTTTATAAAGGAGATCTTTCAGTCTTTACATTTTTAAATTCTCGAGCATAACTACTTTCCGAAATAAATGGCAAATTGGATGGTTCAACTGAGGATGTATCTCTTGTCATTTTTCCAGGATATTTAGGTTTCCAATTTTAAAATTATGATCTGTAAGTAGATAAATAAGATGATTGACTCAAATTAGGATTAAAATCTTTTTTTGGAGATTTTAATTATTTTTCTAACTTAAATGGTAGATATTGGGACTTTTTATAAATATATATTAGATACATTATAGACACTTTCAGTGTATAATTATTTAAGATTTTTACTCCACATTTAACCATGAGCTTTTGATTAATCCAATAGAACATCTTAGTTTCCTAGATTCACATTTTGATAATCTTATTGGTATTAACTTTAAATAGCTTTTTATTGAATTTAATTTTTAAGTGCTTACAATTTAGATTGTTATACATAAAGAGCTTATAATAAAATGTATAAAATTACTCATAATCCCTAGAAAAAAGGCTGGGTTTGATTCAATAACTTCTTCTATAGTCTAGGATTTTTAAACTAAATCACTCCAAATTGGATGATCTGTTGGAAATATTTCTATAACAGTTTGATATAAACTCTTATCTGAATCCAAATAATCTAGTTTTGGTAACAAATTTATTTTATTTTTTTATAGAGAATTATGTAATCTATGTTCCTATTGTTTTAACTCCTCATTTTGCTATCCATTATAATAACATTTTCTTATTTCAAACCTATCAGTAAGTGGTACGAGATTATTTTTTTATTTAAGCAATGATCGCTTCTTGGATGATTATTATGTTGTCTACTCCTGTGATATTTTCTCTTGACTAACAGATTTATTTGTTGAAAGAAACAAATCACTACTTTAAAGTACAGGCTTCAATTCATTCCTGATAAACATTAATATATATATAATTTAATTATTATCATAATATTACCTTTTTCAATTTTATCAACTCTTAAGTCCTTAATCATTTTCTATTTATATTAAAATTTATTTAATGTGACATTTGTGAAGTTGAAATAATCTTCTTCACAATAATAATAGAATAAAAATAAGAGAAGACTTGAAGTTATTCAATTTCCTTAAGATAGCTAATTTCACTAGATTGATAAATAATTAATAAGCCTGAAACTTATATAACCTTATTAATTAACTATTTTTAAATGCTTTATTTATGGAAAAAACCAATCAAATTTAATGTTTTGCAAATTTTATATTAAATCTATACAAAAAAGAATAATCATATACTATTCTACTTATTAGATACTTGATGATTATGATAAAAATACAATATTGAAATAAAATTAAAATATGAAGCATCAGTTCATAAATAAGGATTTTTATTATATTTATTTTAAGAAAAGGAAAAAATGAATTCATAATGGAATTTATGCAATCCTTTAAATAAAAAACAATAAATTTCATAAAAATTAAAGAGAGTCCAAAATAATGTAAATATAACTTGAAGATCTTTATTAACGTTTCTTAATAATTTAAATGAATAGTTAATTATGAGTTATTCTGTTGATTTTAATGAATATTTTTTATATTTGCTCAAAAATAGTTATATTAGAATTTTCAAAAGAGAAATCACTTTGATTAATAAATTATTACTTTATAGAAATTATTTCTTTAATTTATAAGAATATATTACAACATATATAAACTTTATGAATTCAATATTATACATGTTTATTGATATACTTGAAAACAAAATCTTTATAATAATCTATATTTATCATTATTAGAAAAGAATTATTTTTAAATCAATCTTCTTAAAAATTTTCTCAAATGATTTTACATTAGTTCTATTGCATTTAGATAATATTTGGAGATATGAATGTTATCTTTAAATTAAGAAATTGAAAGATTATCATAGAGTAATTAAAGATTAAAGTGATATTATTAACTCATCTAATCTTATTTGTTTTATTATATAGAATAAATGATCAAAATCCAAGGTTCATGCTATGATAAATTATATCTCCATCTTTAAGATTTGACTATTATATTGTTTGATTATCATGCAATTCATTTTATCCATGAGTTAATCTACAATTTGCTAAAACTGAGCCTTCTTTTTAACAGAATAATTATTTCAGTTAGAGTACTGTATCATTTGGATTAACCTAAAACTCAAAATGCTATTCCATCATATTACAAATTATGATTTTCATTTTAATAAAATTATATAATTCATACATTTAATAGCACTTTAATAGTGTGCATAAGCATCTCATCTTCTTGAAATAATTTTAATATCTAACTAAATAATGATTAGAAATACTTATTAATATAGATATTATAAATTATAAAAGCTTATTAATTGAATCTACAATAAATTATTGAAGATTAGATATCAAATTCTATAAAAGTAATAAAATAAATAACTTATATATAATAAATTAAAGAATAATCAAAATATAGGTTATCAATTTTAGTTAAGAAAAAGAAATATAAAGAGTTAAATTTATTCAAAATTTTATATAATATTAAATTTGATTTAGAGCAATTTAAATATGGTTAAGAATATAAAAAATGGTATAATTATTTAGATTGCAAAGAGAGATGAACTTAAATATTATATTCAATTAGAAAATATATTATTAAATAATCCATATATTTTATTTCTTAATAATCAAATTATGTAGTTTTTATAGGAATTTTAAAGTTAAATGTTGTTAATATTCAGATTAATAAAAAATGATCTAATATATGGTATTTTACTGATAACCAAATATGATGAATGAGTAAGTTTTAAGATAGGAATATTAATTTTTATATAATTTATATATTAAATGCAAAGTGGATTCTCAGTTTGTAGAAGAAAGGCTGGATAAACTTTCAGAAAGACTCTTGGATTATATAATTATAAATTAGGACATCAGCAATATCATAAAGAACCTGGAGCTGTGTCATTGAATGCAGTAGAGTAATTGAAAAATGTAAAATATGCAAAATAGTTTGAATAGACTAAGAGTTATGAAGGAATAATGAGGATTAGAAAAATGAGATAAGAAAGTGATAGAGTATTTGGAAAATTTATTGGAAGTAATTGAAATATTATAAAATAAGCCAAATTTGTGGTTGATAAGAGTAGAATTCCTTAATACGATATACCAGATTTAACCGGATTTGAAGTAATATAATAACTATCTAAGCTCAAACCTTATGTATCATATCATACACCTTAAGTGGATAAGGAAACTTAGATGAAATTAGAAAGAATGAATGATTTTAATTTAATAGAGAATTTGGTACCTCGTTCGGAAACAAAATTATTAGACAAGAAGTGACGCATCAAATATTAAGAATTTTAAATACCCAATCTTAAATATCATACTCTCTTATTCTATCTTTTTTTATTTTTATTATTTATATTCAAAATATGAGTTCCAAAAGAAGAGTTGGTATTGCCCATTTCCTTCTCAGAACCTTTGAAATGCTTGATGTACAAAAATATAATTATAGAATTTCAATAGACACCAAAGCTTAAACATTTGATAGAGTGGTCCCCTTGTGGAGAGATGTTCTATATAAAAAACTCTAGAGAATTTGCTAATAAAGTAAAGTGAAGATTCAAATTTATTTTTTAGGTGCTCCCATAATATTTTAGACATAGAAACTTTTAATCTTTCTTACGACAATTAAATATGTATAACTTTGTTAAGAAACGGTTGAAGAATGGTTGGAATCAATTTCAACACAAGTATTTTAAAAGGGAAGCCAAGTATATTATTTAAGATTATTATCAATCTTTTTAGAAATCTACTTATAAATGTTCATCGTCGAAGTAATGGTTAATAATCTGATGAGGAAGAACAAACAGGTATTTTTGTATAACTACTTTTAGACCAATAAGACTCAATAAAAAAACAATAAGAATAATTACAATAAATCAAATATCTCTAAAATGATATTGTTCTTACCTCAAGTTTCCTCTATCAATAATCAGTAATTCTATAAAGCAACTTCTAACGTCTTAAGAATGTATTATCTTAATGCTTAAATTAGAAATTATTGTATCAGTATATTGAGGAACAAAAACAAGAAAAATTCCTCTTTAATACTTTCTCTCTTCTAAATAAATCACAAACGGATTCCCCAAAGTTAACTTAAACAATATTAACTTAAAATCAAAAAGAAACAGATCAGGAACCATAATTATTTGTACTCTCTTGATAAGCAAGATTTTTTATTCATCATCCTTCATAAAAAATATATAATTTTAGATAACTTTAACTATTGACTGTTACATTTCTAATGACATTCTTTTTTTCTAATTTACAATTGACACTATAATAAGTCGACATTGACATTAACAATTTTTTTTTACATAAATAAAAATTTTATTTTTGAAAATAAGAAGCAATTATGTATTTAACTTAAATTATTAATATCTTAATTTTCATTAATTATGTTTTTTAAATAGATAAATAATAACTATAATTGTATCATTTTTATAAACACTTATATAATAGTATTTTAAACATAGCTCTTTTTAATATGTTTTATAACGTCGCGTTATTTAATTTAAGGAATAAATCAATAGATTTCTGTATTAAATTTAATAATATAATATGAGTTCTTAATAAAATAAATAGAAAGATGTAGTCAATAAATAAATGATATTTGCACTGAATCCAAAGTAGGATTCCAATTTAATAGATCCAATCAAAATTAATAAATCTAATAGTTATGATCCTAGCTATGTGAAAAGTGAACCATTGTAAAAAACAATAAGTTAAGTATCTAATTCAAACATTGGACCATTTCAAGACAAAGATTAATCAGTAAACTTTATTATCATTATGTTAGAAGCATACTAACGAGGTTAAAAATTAGAAGAAATAAAATAAAATTAAGTACATTGCAACACGGTAATTGTATCAATATATATATTTAGTTCAATTGCTGGATTAAAAGCCTATACTAAAGCATAGAAAGATAATTAAGATTCCTTATTCTACAAGTTGGAAATAAATAAGTAAGTAGATAAAAACTTATTCCTTTTGGCTGATGGTCATGGTGAATAAGGAACAAAAGTATCCTAATATGCAATAAAATCACTTTCTGATTGCATTTATGATATGATAGAATCCATGAGCACTTAACCTAAATTTATAGAACAACTAAATTCAAATATTATTACCTCATTCTAAAAAATTGAATCCAATCTAGTAAGTAATCTATCTAATGTTTTAGGTAAACTTATCCAATATTGATATAACAGATAGTGGTACTACAATGAATTTGGTTATAACTTTTGAAAATTATTTAATATCTGCTAACATAGGAGATACGAGAACATTTTATTTTTAAAGAAGTGATAAACCAGATTAACTTGGACCTGCCACTTTAAGAATTAAGTAATTGTCAAATTAGCATACACCTGAAAAAGAAATAGAATCTTAAAGAATTTTAGAATCAGGTGGGAAGATTGAATAAGACACTTAAGGATTTCAAAAGACAGGACCATTAAAAGTGAAATCAAAAAAATAAGATATAAAAGATGCCACTATTACAAGATCATTTGGAGATGCATTGGCAAAATAAGTTGGAATCATTTCATTACCTGATATCCATACTTTCCAAATTTAGCAAGAAGGTTTTTTAATATTAGCCACTGGATCAATTCTAGATATGATTGATATTATAGACATTTGTAGAATATTGACTCCAATCACTCCTCCAAATAGTTAGGCAGCTATTGATAATGCAGCAGGATAAATTATAGAGGAGGCAAGAAAGAAGGCAAAACTTTAACCTGATATATAGGATGATTATTCATTGATTTTAGTTTATATTGATATGGATTTAGCTTGAAATCCTTATAGCAATCCTATTTATATAATTCAAAAGAGTTAGCTACGTATTAATATCAACATTAAAAACGCACAGTTCTTTTATAATATAGAGATTTTGCCTTTACTTTCTTTTCTCTTAAAATACCTGATACATGTTGTTCTTGATTTAGTCCATTAATAGAACGAATTGATTTAATTTCATTTTTTAAAGATTCATAAGTTGGACTTTAATTTTTAATCCATTATTAAAGAGGAGATTGAATTGTTTCACAATTTCTAGCACAATTTAATGTAGAATTTCTATTTTATTCTCTATTTCTCTATTCTATTCTTTTTTCTTCTGAAGTTCTTGAATTTTATTTTTATTTTTTCCTATTGAAAATTTATGAAATATCTCCACCAAATGATTTTATTTAGTTTTTTATAATCTATTTTTGCTATTATACTCCTAATTAGAAATTTGATTAGAATTATTAAGAACACCCATTTATTTATCTTTAAGATTTTCTAGTGTCTACATCTAATTCATTGATTTCATCCATAGTTTCTTCTCTGCTATTGATTTAATTGATTTCAAAGATTGGTCTTTTTATTTAATTTCTATGAGAAATGGGTTTAATTAAGACTAATTAGTATTAGATTTCATTTTAATCAATTGTTTGATGCTACATCTAACAACTCTGCCCCATAATTTATAACTTTATTTAAATTAGTAAAAATTATATAGAAATTAATTATTAATTATTTCAATTGATTCTTTAATCAACTAATTATCTGATTTAATCCATTATATTATTCATCGATATCATTTTATTATTTTTAGTGGCCATATCTGAGAATCTTTGCTCAAAATACTTTATCAGGGATTCAATTTAAAATACAACATTATCCTATGAGTATTGCATAAAGTATATACCAATTATTTTTAATTTATTTATTGAGTTATCTTATTAATAACTTCTTTTCCATCTTTATCAATTGATTCATCTAAATAAAAGCATTTTTATATCATCAATAATAACATCATTATGATATTGGAATATGTATTAGTGACTTTTTGTGTTTTTTTAAGATTATTTACTAATTCAATAGATTAATTGGATTCTGTGCTGCTATGATGTTTTAAATAATCATTATTCTCTTTATTATATCTATTGGTATTCCCATTATATTGAGATTACTCTGTAATACTATATTATTTATAGGATTATATCTTTTTCTTTAAAAGTCCATTAGTTTCATTCAATAATTATAATTGATTCTATGTTTCATCTAATGTTTTAGTAATTTCTTAATTCAATTTTGTCAAATAAATGATTTATGATTGTTATTTTTCATATTTAGATTGTAATTCTTGATATTATATTTATTATTTTTGTAATTAATTCTATGACTATTCCAATTATTCAAGTAATTAAGTAAATAGAGCATATGAATCATTCTAATATAATTCATTTTATAAAGTTTCATCTTGATTAAATTGCTAATTTTTATCTTCTTCAGTATTTAATGTATGATTTGAATTCTTTGTCATATTTTCTCTACTTTGACTAAGATCATTTTCAGCACTAATTTCTTCAATAGAACTAAGATGAATAAAATAATAAATTTTACGATCTCATTTAATACAATTTAAGAAACTTCTTTTATAATGGAAATGAAGCTGTATCAGGTGAACCAATTTGAATAGAAGAGTTTACACTATTTTAATTTTAAGAGAATGGTAATCTGGTTGGATTAAAATTGTTATTTGAATTCAATCCAAATGAACATCGAACAGATGATAATTTCTGATTTTCTTATTGAGGATGAGGTGAAAATTATAATAATTGTTGTACTTCATTTAACTTTGAATTTAATTTGATTTATTTACTTTTTCATGATCAGATGGTTTTTTAATTTGAATTGCACTATCAATTTCTGCATTATATCGTAGAGAATCAATTTATTAATCATCATCAAAATGATCATCCAATTCTGAAAAGTTTATTCTTTTTTTTGGGTAACTAGACATATTTGTTAATATTTAAATTTTGTAATTATATTAATATTATATATAAATCGTTTTTTAAGAAGTAATGAGCTTTAAATATTTGTTACTCTTTTAATTGATCCTTTTGAGTGTAGCACATAATCAAGGGAAATCAGTTAAGTTATCAAAGAAACAAGCACATCATAAGCATCATAAATCACAAAAGTTTTTGGATAGTATTATGGTAATTTTATAATAATAATCAAAAAAGGACGTAAATGATGATTCAATAGAACTATTACTCTAAAAGCACGAAGTAATTTCATACAAAATCAAAAGAACTTCTATTTGGCTGAAATGACAGTTGGTACACCTGATTAAAAATTAACTGTTTTGATTGATACAGGAAGTCCAAATCTTCTACTTACTTCATCACTATGTTAATAAAACAGTTGCATTCAACATGGTTCATACAATCCATCTTTATCAACTACTTCATATTACATTGAAGCTATTAAATTAGCTAATGTACTTTGTTTATATTTACTTAGGGAGAAGTAGGCAATGAGATTGACATATAATTTGCATCAGGAAGTGTTGTAGGTGTATTTTTTGAAGATAGAGTGTGTCTTAATCAATATTGTGTGAATAATCAATTTATAGTTGGAATAGTAGAATAAACAGAAGATGTAATCAATAAATTGAATTTTAGATATTTAGTCAAATGAAATTCGATGGTATATTGGGATTGGGACGTATAAAGGAAGCTGTTGTTAAAAATGCATCCTATATACATAATTTAGAATATGATGTAAGATATTATGTAACACTATATTAAAGACCGATACTAGAAATTTTTCATTGTATTTGAGTAATAGTGATGATGATGATATGTCAAGTGAGTTAGTTCTTGGAGGCATTTCGTAACATTTGATTGCTCCAGGAGAGGAATTCAAATTCTTTGATGTTACATCAGATAATCTTTGGACAATAAATATTAAAGCAGTTTTCTTAGGAGATGAAAGAATTGATGATTGCAATAATTGTCAAGGTTTAATTGATTCTGGTACATCATTTATAAGTTTTCCAGTTTATGCAATGGAGAAATTTTATTAGAAATTTGGAGTGTAATTATCAATTTGATTTATATTTTAGTTATTAATTATGTAGTAATATTGAGTCATTTCCAGATTTGACATTTGTTTTGGATAGAGGAATTAAATTTACATTGACAGGATCATAATATTTCAAAAGAAATACTCATGCTTTATTTTCTAAAGACATTTGCATACCATATATTAAAAATAATCCAATAATTGGAGATGAACTAATTGTTTTAGGATAGCCATTTCTTATTCATCATTATGTTTGGTTTGATGAAGATTAATCAAAAATTGGAATTGTAAAATCTAAATAACAATCTCATCAATGATGTTAATCATGATTTTATACATTATAAATTCATTTTTTTAAGTATTTTAATAATTATTAATTAATAAATAAATATAAATCATTAAAATAAGATTCATTCTGAATAGAATTTATTTTAATTATTAGTATATATGTATATAAAATATAAATTTTTGTAAATCTATATTAGATATTCATGTTATATATGATAATAATAAAAGTATTATAAATTGTATATTATAATTAATAATTTCTTTTATATGAATTAATTTGAATAATGTGAAAGAAAAAAATAGTGTTCATTAGATTAAATGTTCAAGAAATATGAGGAAGCCACCTAAGTATGTTTATATAATAATAATACAAGAGATATTAGAAGGGATTAGAAGAGAAAAAATAGAGAGCTAAGTTAGAATCAGATAAAGCGAGGGAAGCATAATTTATTTAAAAGCTTGAAGCTTAGAATAAAAAAATAGAGTTTGATGAAAAAATAATAGAATCATAAGAAAGAAAAAAGGATTTAGAAAAACATATGTTAGAGAAGCAATAGTAAAAAAAATAAAAGGATGAGGAAGTAAGAAGAAAGAAGAAAGAAAATGAAGATGAAAAACTTTAAAAACTATTAAAGAAATAAGAAAAAAAGGATTTTTAAGTGAAAAAGGTAAAAAAAGATGTTTAAAAGATAAAAAGGAAAGATGAATTAAAAATTTTATTAGATTAATCTGTTTCTGATGATGCATCAATTGATTTAGATATAGAAAAGAAAAGATAATGCAAATCATTATCAGATTCTTTATAAGCATTAGAGAGTGATCAAATTGTATATTTTAAATTATAGAAATAAAAATAAGTAGAAATCAAAGAAAATAAGAAAAAGTAAAAATAATAAAAAGTTATGCCATCTAAAACATTTAGAGAATAATCTGTACCTACAATAAAGAAATCTATAATATTTCCAATATTAATTCGTTCAAAATATGATGAAAATTCATATCTATTGCAATAAATTATGTAATAATAATAACCTTTATCACCAACATTCAAAAATGAAGAAAATTCAAGTACAAATGTAACTCCAAAAAAAGAAAAAGAAGAAGAACCATAGTTTTTTAAACTTTGTTAGATTTGTAATAGCATTATAGAAAATGAAGATGATAATAAACATATATAATCAAAATCACATAAATAGACAAAATAATATTATAATTTATAAGCTACTTAAAATGACATTTTAGTTGTAAAAGGATCTAAAGATGAAATATCATAAAATAGATTTTAATCAATTAGAAAAAGATGTTAAAAAATTAAATAAAAAATATAATAAAAGAGTCTACAATTAGAAAATATGAATATTTATTGTTATAAAGAACCAGGAAATAGTTATAATAGATAAAGAATTTAGAAATTATCTAATGATTTAGATAAATTATTGAACTATTAAATTAAAGATTTGTATTAAATTGAATAATAAATGAAAGAATTATTAAAATTAGTTAATTAAGAAACAGATTTAATTAATCTTAGATAAATGAAATTCATATAAATAGTTATTGAAGTTTTTAAGAAGATATCTTCTTGTCATAAAAATGAATATACTTAATATCTTAAAATTATTGGAGTGGTAAATATTATTTAATTATCATTGAGGCAACTGAAATAGTTTATTAATTTTGTAGTGTATACAATAATAGAACTTATATGTTGGCAAGTAATAAATTATTACCTATTATTGATTTTATGTACAACTTTTTAGCATCAAAACCAACTAAATTTATATATAGTTATCAATTTGTTGCTTAATGTTTTTAAATATTTAGTTTACTTATTAAACATAAATTACCTACAGATCCACTTTCTGATTTAAACATTTAAGGAATATAAGAAGATACTTTAGAATATATGTATTGTTGTGGATTATTCAATAAGATGAAATTAAGATTTCTATCATTTGAAAAAGATTACATAAATTCTGAAGGTAAAATCCCTGTTGCTCTAGTAAAGAGTGTTGCATTTATAGAGGCTGCAACAAATTATCATGGATTTGAGTATATTTATATAAAAATCATAGGACATAAAATAAATCATTATTTGATGAAGAGGGAAAACGAATATCTAAAAGTTTTGAAGAACATCTTAAATTTGTACTTAAAGAAACAGAATTATTTGGTTTAATTTAATTAATTAGTTAAATGGTAGTAGGTGAAGAAGTCTGTTTTACAACAAATAAATTACTTCCTTAAACAATCATAAGTTTTTTCATGGTAGGAATTAAGACTTTGAATAATATTGCTAGATTAAATATTATTGTTTTGTAGGAAACTATGAATAAATAATCTAATAAATAAGAAGTTCATATGATAATATAAAGACTTGTAACATATTGTAAATGCAATCTTGAATAGAGTTAAGATTTAAAAGATTTATTAAATGAATTAATTCTTTTAATAGGATATTATTGTGTTTTAAACCCTAATAATTAAAATTCACTTGTAGGATCTATGAAAAAGATATCTGTATTACATAATTTATTGTAAATGCCTTCTCAATTTTATGTTGATAAAATGTTAAAGAATATACTCTTCCCTACATTACTATGTTGTATGTTTAGAAACCCTAATAATATGAAAATTGTATTAGATGAAATGGATAAATCTTATTTCTTAGAAATTTTATAATATGATGTAAATTTTAATATATAAATATATAGTCTGAACAATTTTATGAAAATCACAATGGTTAATAGTTATAGAGATCACCTTCTATGTCTAGTACAAATTCTTAGAATTCTGTATTTCCATATAGTTCTGCTGTATACTTTAAATTAAGTTAACGATTTCCAATGTGTTATTTTAAAGAGGCTTATACAGAGTTACTAGATTATAAGGATTGAATTATATTATTTAAATTTAAAAGTTATTATAATACTTCAAATATCTTTACCATTTATCTAATTATTTTCTATTTCTTCATTTTTACCAAAAAGAAAATCATGAGAAGCTCTAAAAACATCATAGGTATTTTAAATGTCAATTCCAAGAGAATTACATTAATTTCGTTCAGTCATAAATTAATATAAATCTAAAGAGTCATCCTCTTCTATGTCATGGCCAAAAAATTTCTCAAATGACTCTTTAAAGGTATGTTGCATGTCTTTCTTTTCAATTGCTAAGAGTAATTTTGCTACTTATGATGGTCTTAATTCATTTCTCAATTAATCAAGAGTTGAATCAAAGGATGCTAGTTCTTTTTAGATCAAAGATTTTGTATCCATAATTTAAGTAACAGCACTTATATATAAGATTAAAATATACTTAGAGATATCATGATAATGTTTAGCTAATTTTTATTATTTTTTTAAAAGTATTTATTTTTATTTATCTGCCAATTTCAATTAAGTTAACACATTAAGATTCATATTTCTATTATATAATTATTTATTTATTTACTATTCATTTTAACAAAAGATATCATCTTATTTCTTAGCTATTTAAATGATATAATTGCAAAATGGAGCTAAACAATTTTCATTTATCTATCTTGCATAATGATCAATTAAGAATTATCTTTCTTAAGATGCTGAACCAAATTTTTTCTATTTATATCTATATATAATTTACATTTAAAGAATCTATTATTGAATCAACATTTGCTTCTGATGCATTATTTTATAATGATGTTTATAGGTTGTTGAATAATATACATTTTGTTTAATCTTATTCTTTTTTCTAAGAGAGTATATTGTATATTTATTTACTTATGTTAATTTAATTTATAAATTTTATGCCAAACTATAGGTTTTATCATTAACATCTTTAAATAAATCCAATTATTCAGATAATTTTGTTACTTTGTTTTCTAGTAATTCAAGATAAATTTTCTTTCTTTTTCTACTATTTCTAGCTGATTCTCTATTCTTTGCTAATTTATCTTCCTTTTCTGTTTGAGAAATATAATTAAATTATTATTGACTTTAAAATGGTTTAGTTAATAATTTTTTTTCTGGCCTTTTTAATTAATGAAACAATTTACATTGATTTCTCTTCAATTTTTTCTTATGTTGGAGATAATTTCATAAGTGAACTAATTTTTTTGATATATGTATTTTTTGTATTTTCTTTTATTTTTCTGTTATGATTTGTAGAAGTTTATGGATTTCTAATATTTCCATCAAAGTCGAAATTTGCATTTTGACTAGAAGATTATTAGAATCCAATTTGATCAAAATCATCTAATTGATTCATTTATTATTAATATTATAGATTATTATATGCTGTAATAAATCCTAATAAAATTAAATCATCTGATAATAAATTAAATTATTATAATTTTTTATTACTTTATTATTCATTTTAATACTCTTGCTCCTAAACCATTAGGCTATATGATGGTTCTATATTTGTACCAACATTTTTCTAAATTCATTATTTCAAAACTAAATATAATAATTATTCAAATACTAAGTTTTATTTGTAACAATTCCATATAATAATACAACAATATATATATATTGATGAATAATCAAGATTATTATAAAAATAGCAATAAAAAAAGTGAAATTGATTTCTATTTCATCAAATTTGAAATGAATACTTTACGCATAGGAATCTTATAACTATTATAATCATCATAACTTACACAAATAAATTATAAATCCTATAAACTATGTAATTATTAAAGTAAAGTAAAACAAATAAATTCCATCATCTTATAAACATTTCTTATAAAAAGTTGAATGCAATTAAAAATTTGGATGACAACATTTGCAATAATCACAATGTTCTGTTCTTGGCAATTTTACTATCATACAATCTAAACATAATTAATCAGGTTCAAATAGTATTTATGTACCTTAATCAATTGATTATATAATATGTTTTATAAATGGTTTCTCATTAATAACTTAAAATTTTACTTCTATTTCAACCATGCTATCACAAATTAAACTCATAGATTGATTATTATTTTATTCATCTTATATAAATGGAACAAATGTTTGATCAATTTCTAAACATCCTTATGCATCTCCAAATCCTTCATTTGAAATATTAAAACTAGAGACATTATTTCTATTATTTTAATAAAATGCATCTTTAGCAATAGATGCATTCTCTATAATATAAAATAGAATAAAGTTAAAGAATATATTATACAATTATAAAAAAAGTGATCCATGTTTTAAAATTGGTTCTTTAAACTCAGTAAATTTAGATAAGATGAATAAATTTAAAGTTGTTATTACAATAAAACATAAGTGTTATTGATAATATAATTTAAGATATGTTAAATATTTACTACGCCCATTATTTTTCTTTAATAAACTTCTAAGATAATTTGAACACTCATAAGATAATTATTCTTAAGCTCTTGATAATGGAGTTTTTTATTTCTTATCCAACTCAAAAACATTAAATTTAAACAGATTTTTCAATATCTTCAACATAAATAAATTATTATTAAATGCAGACCAATGAGCTAAACTACATCCATTAAGATCTTTTACAAATACTTCTGCCCCTCTTTTTTATATAATCATATTTTTACTTATATATCAAATATATAGCAATATAGGTTTAATTTTATTTAATGGCAAACAACAATGGAGTAAAATCATTATGATCTTTTATATTAATATTAACACCTAATTTCATTAGATGTTTAATAATTGACAATTATCCAAAATAACATGCAATAAGAAAAGGAGTTTATTATATTTGGTTTGGTTAATCAAGTATATATAAAGGGTTTTAACTGTAATTTTAAATTAGATTAATCACATAATGAGCTACTTCAACTTACTTTTCAATTAGTAAATTATGTAATAAAGGTTATTGATTTTAATATTAAAAGAGATTATATAATTTGATATCCTTAGCTAATAGTAAACAAATCAATTAGTATTATTTTCTCTTTGTTATTTCTTCAAATTATATGTCTTCATCAATTTAATTCATTTTATTATAAATTTTATTATAATTCCTAAATGGATGAAGATCAAACTTAATAATTTAAATTTTCTAAAACTCCATTTAAAATATATTTATACATAAAATAATATATCATCAAGTGTATATCTATACATAGCAACTCAACAAAATATGTAATATTGTGTTTCTTATAATTGTCAAGTTAAAAATATGAATGATATAATTTTTTAATCACAATACATTATTAGAAATCATATAAATTGCTTCGATAGACCAAAATAAATTGTAGAAACATAAATTAGATCATACATTTTATTAAATAGCCTCATTAAACAAAAATGGAAATTCTGAATTCTAAAAAGAAAATTTAAATAACAAAGTCTTCTGTTTTTGTAAGAAGATAGAAATAAAAAGTGAAAAGATAAATTTTAAATTATATTAACCTTAATTATTATTGATATTCATTTCGTTTTTGGTTTATTTGCAAACACCATTTTGTATAATCTCGATATGATTTTTTCCTTTTTAGAAATAGACCTATTTCTATTTATGGACTAGGGGTTTTGAATCATATCAATGTAAATAATATCATTATATTTTTGGACTTTATTTATTTATTTATTTTAAGAAACTGAAAGTATTTTCCTTAATTTTTGTGTATTTTATTGAAATTTCTGATTCCTATCATAATTCACTGCATAAACTAAGCCTTTCATATAATTCAGTTATTCTTCCATCAAGTAATAAAATATATTGCATAATTTTTTATAAAAATTGTTATTTATTGCGTATGTTCTAAATTAAAATAGATTTATTAAACGAAGAACAATAATTGATAAATATATTTATCTATTAGAATCTTTAGAATAAATTGAGTCTAATTTAATTGAATAATTAACTATAGATATAAGATTTCATAATTATTCAATTTGTTTACAAAAAATTCATTTAATTGTTGATATTTGAATCAAAGAAAATAAAAAATAATATACCTTTCTTGCTAAAATATTCCTCAATGCAATTGTATTTGTTGCCTTTGATTTGGAAATTCATTTTTGAAGATCAATATAGAATTCATAAATTTTATATAAGTAATTAATACAATTAAATTAGAGATGAACTTAAAAATGCCCTCAATTCTTAAATTCCAAACTGAACCTAGTACCCATATTAGTCATTCAATAAAGGATTTAGATAATACAAAAAATTATGATCAAATAATACAATAAAACTCAAAATCTTATTTGATTGGCAATCATTACTTTCAACCTACACATAAAGTAATAAATGGTTAAAAACCATAATTGTTCATTAACTAAAAATCGATTCATTAAAATCAAAGCTTTCGAGACCTCTCTTATGTTGAGTCGTCTGGAAGTCCTTATTCACAAAGAGAAGATAAACAAGATGATGGTCTTACAAATTTAAGAGGAAGAAAAAAATCATTAAAACCTCAATTATCGCCTTATCTGATTAATAAATAATCACATTCATCAAATAATAATCTTTAAAGTTAAAGAAAAATCTTAGAAAATGTACTTGATGATAGTGGATATTATGTTAATAAATAAAAAAACCAAGATTAATCGCCTCAGTACTAACTTGCTAAAAATGGATATTTGCATAATTTTCAGCAAGTCAAAAATCTAAAGCCTTTAGCCCAATTTTAAAAAGAAAAATCTGTTAAGGATATTTAGAAGCCTATGTAAAAATAAAAGGATCAGATATTGTCTCCAATATCACCTGAGAATGGCTTTACATATCCTGAAAAAAAAACATTTGTTAGACCAAAATAGATAAAAGAAAAAATTAATAATAAATAAATTTAAAGAAAAAAATCCATAAATTTACAATAAAATTAAAATTATGAAGATACAATTCATAGAAAAATGAAGTGTTTTTAAAGGAACATTTTTGAAAATTAATGCATACATATGATATATGTTAGACCTTCAGCAATTAGAATCTAAAGGTATCTTATTAAAGATGCAAAAAATGAAGAAGTATTGAAAAAATGTTTGAGTTATAGATGGTGGTGGTAAGAATCTAACAATTAAGATGAAGATATTGAGTTCTTTTGGTATTCTTAGGCTTCTGTATCTTTTTTAAGTAAATAAGCATAAAGACATATAAGTGATAAAATAGAATTTCAACCATTTGAATAAATAGTAAAAAAATCTGAAGGAGTTGAGGATTAGATGAAATATGCTATTGAAAATAAACTTGGTTTATTATCACCCTTAATTAAAGTACATAATCATGTTGATATTTCCTATCCATTATGGACCAAAAAAAATTTAATTTGTTCGATAATTAAATATTGTCAACTAACAAGATAATATGTTGAAAATTTTGTTCCTCTTTCTATGGTTGTTGATTATTTAGGTGAGAATCTACTTTATGAATTCTTAAAGAATTTCAAGACATCAACTGATATTTGGATTTTAAGAAAGAGCGATTTATAGGATGATGATAAAATTATGATATGTCAAAATACAGAAAGTGTTTTTAATTATCTTAATGAATAATTTAAGATGCCTAATAGAAATTAATAGAGTTTTATAGTTTAGTAATATATTCGTTCAATTGAATTTTAAGAAATTAAATTAGATTTATGTTATTATTTATTGATTACTCAAATAAATGGAATTGTAAGAGGTTATTTGTTTTAATAATTTTATGGTTAAAAGTCAGAAATAATATTTTCTGATTTTAACAATGATTCTAATATTGTATTTATAGAAAATTCAAATTAGAAAATAATTAATCAATATATTTCAAAGAAGAATATTTTAAAACTTTTTAATAAATATAATTTTGATTATGACTCTACTATTTATCCATAAATAAAACAAATATTAGGAGAATATCTGAAATCTATATTTATTTAGATGCCAGTTAAAGATCATAATTTTGAGGTATTAAAATAATCACATTAATTAGTTGCTTTAAGTGGTTATGATAATTGATAATTAAGGTAAACCTTGTTTGATTAATATAAAACCAAATCCAATATTAGACTAAGATATGGATTTCATATAATAATTAATGGATAATGTCTTTTAACTTGGATTAGATGTATTGTTTCCATCACCTTCTATATGGCCAAAAGAGAAAAAAAGATTGATTGAGAATTATTGGGAGAATAACGATTTCGAATAAGTTTTCGATTCAAGAATAGATGGACAAGGATTAAAATCATTATTTGAAGAAAAAATATATGAAAATAATAATTATAATGATGATGAATTGTGACTTTTATTTTTACTTTAAAATTTAATTAATTTTTTATTCAACTTTAATAAATAGTTAAAGTAAGAGAGATATGTTTCTAATTAATATGTATAGAGTGATAAAAATTGATAAAATATTATCATTCTGTATTTTAGTTCATAGATTCATATTGCAAACTCAATCTTGAAGTTAAACCTGAAAAATTTAGGATTGGATTTCTATTTATAACAAATTAAGTACCCATTTTAATCTTTAATTTATTGATTTTCCATAATTCCTTATACTAAATCTCTTTTACAAACATCTATAAAAAATTTCATTACACTTTCTCTTGTATTTATATCATCATCATTATCATATGCTTCTTATAGAAGATTTTGAAATTCTGATTTTATTCCAAGCTAATGATCTGTGTATAAGGGAAATTTGAATTTGATTTTAGAATCAGTTTGTGATTCCAATTCAACATATTTTTAAGTTGGCTTTTTCTTTTAAGAAACAGTTGATTACTAAAGAGATTATGAATATTATTCCCAACTTATTTTTTATGGTGGAATATTCTCCTTGCCAAAATCAATCTTGAATATTGGCATATGAGAACAACTAGGAGGTTTTGGAAAAGGATGCAAAAAAATAGATGTAGGACGCCTTTCTGCTGAGAGTGATTAAGATTTTGGAGGTGAGTGATTCATTCCTAAGAATAATTTGGCGCACTATTAATTTAAATTTAAAATTATATTGGAAATCTATTTATATTATTTCTATACAAGTAAAATGTAAATTGAACAATTAGAAGAAGAGGAACATTCAATATAAGCATTAAGAGCTAAATACAAGGCTATGATATCAGTTTAGATTCTAGATATTGTTATTAGATGTTTCATTGGAAGCATGTGGGCCTTAATTACATATTCTTCTATTCTAGGATTCTTTAAATTATTTAGAATTGTGTATAATTAATATAAGTACAACTATTATAAGGATAAATGGATTAAAGAAGTATCATTATATGAAGATGAAGATTGCATTAATGAAACAAATGAGAAATACAAAAAAATAATAATCCATTATCATGATCGTTTAGAAAAATATGATTAAAAATTATAAAAAGGTTTATATAGATATTCATTTTTAATTGTGCTTGTATTTGGAATGAATATAGCATGGTGGTTTTTTGATTACATGAGATCATGTATGGGTTATGGGTTTGTGGTATTTATAATTTATCAAACTTATTGCTTTTTGGATAGAAAATATATTTAACCATATTTTGAAAGACGTGAACATGAAAAAGAAAAATAAAGATTAGATGCAGAAATTGCAAAAAATAAGAAACAAAACTGAATAATATTGTATTATTATGATTAATTTATGTTGGATATTTTTTGATCTTTCTTATATAGATTAACAATATTATTATTTATATATAATTTATATGAAAATCTTCTTTAAAAGATTGTTTTATATTAATTCATCATAATTATTTTAGGTATATATATATTATTGTATAAAAAAGATTGTAAAAAATTGAATAAGTATAAAATATTAATTATTTTTTATAATTTTATTCTGTATTATTTAATCTAATTCATAAAAATGACAACAATATAATACAATCTGATTACTAATACTTATTTGTTGAAATCTACAATCATATTCTATTTTTATATTATATTCACCCTATTAATTGTTTAAATCAATTATAATAATAAAATGATTCTAATTTTTTATTAATAAAATTGTATTTTGAAGTTAAAATTGAATAAAATAAATTAATCATGTAATATTTATTTTGCTCAACTCCATAATTGAATTTCTCTTAATCTCTGAATATTTTTCGTGAATTTCTTAATCTCTTTGACTATCTAATTTTAGTTCCTTCATTCGTTTTTGCTAGAGCACTTCAATTGGTTCATCAAAGGCAAAACATGTCACATTAGTTACAGCAGTAAAAAGCCCTTCAGCAGGAGGAATATAACTTATATATTTTAAAAATAATGACTTACTCATATTTATTAAAGGCATTACTTTTAGAATCTTATAATTGCCCAGAAAACAAGAAACCTCCATGAATAAATTCAGTTTAAGATAGAGTTGAAAGTTTGACAAGTCTGCATTTATTTCTTAAGAACTCATTCAATCTCTTTAAATCCATCTAAGCAATAGGACCAACCTAACTTTCATACCATTTTCTAATATATTCTAATAAGTAAATAGAAATAATAAAATACCAAGAGAATGTAAATAAACTTTGAATTCAAATTCTTTATTTCTAATCATAATTTCTTTTACAACTTTTGTTGGTAAGGCATATAATTAAGATTCAACAGCTGCTTTAGCCATACTCATATGTACACCATCTACAATAAGACTTTAGTGGGTTATCAAAGATCCCAAACCCTTAGTAATAAGAATTCCATTAAAATCATTTACAACATAACCTCTCATGATAATATAGACTTCACTACATTCATCACCTTTAGCATAAATAACTTATCCTAAAGCATATTTCTTTTCTATAGCAACCTTTTTAATGATATCCAAATCAGTTAAAGAGATTTCCTAAAAGATTGGAAATTACATTGCAATAACATGAAAAGAGGGAAGACTCATATCATATGAATGACTTTCTAATTTTACAAGTTTATTGTTAATATCTTTCAATAGGATCTTATATTCTTTATCATCAATAAGTCCTCTACGTTAAGTAGATTGAAGATGTTCAATGGAATGAGTTAAAATAGAGAAGGATGCCTTTTTTGTTTGAAGAACTCTAACAATTTCAGGGAAACTTCCATTAAGAGTACCAAAGTAATTCTGTGCTTTTTCAATATCTTTTTTTAATTCTTCTTAAATAATAGAGATGGCTTCTTTATTAAGAGGAAAGTTGTCTGCTAAATGCAATGCTTCTTCTGCACATATAATAAATGAAGAAGTCACATCATAAACCAATCCGAGATGTTTAATTAAGTATTCCCTGGCAAAATATCCTATTAGAAACTTCTATTTCACTTTGAAAAAGAAATTAACACTACAGAGATTCATAAAATTCTTATATAATTCATCCCAAATTTCAAGATTATCATTTAATTTATCTAATCCAACATCACTTGATTCTACTAACATTCTTACAGTTTATTCTTCTACAAGACCTTCTTCATATTTATGATAATATAATCCTTTAAGAATTCTATAGACTCTATATCTGACTTCTCCAAAAATATCCTAATTTGGTAATCCTTCATATATCATTTCTTAAAATCCCTTCTTTTAAATTATATGCTTTATATCTTATTCAACTTTATCAATTTTTTCAATAAAATCTTATTGTCCAATCAAATTACTAACAGTCATCCAATCAGTCATATTATAAAATTCATCAGTCTCCAATTCTTTAATTTAATCCTACTGGATTACAATCAATTCTTCTAAATATTTCTTATAAACTTTCTTTTTAACAATTGGTTCATCTATCATTTTAACACATTTCACTAAAGTTTTGCATGTAGTTCCATTTATCATATTTGTTATTAAGGCCATGGCTGCAGCATAAAACACAGCTAAATGTCTAAAACGAGCAGGTAAATCTTCATCACAACCAACCATTAATGAAAGTGTTAATCCCAACCCTCCTCTTAATCCTCCATACACTAAGACAATCAATTCAGATTTTGATATTGGATATCCAAAACCTTAAAAATAATAATATAATTAATATTACATTTGAGGAATGGATAGAATGTTAAAACCATTAAAAATCTAGCCAATATCATTAAGAAATAGAATCCAATCATTTTATAATAATCTGAACTCTCTATTAGTTTCTCTTCCATTATTTCTATACCCACTATTATTCCTACCAATAAGAATACAAGTGTGTCACAACTATATTAGACAAATCCCCAAACTGCATGAACTGAATGTTCAACTGAAGCCCTTATTCTAGTTCTTCCATAAGCACACCAAAATAAACCTAAACCTACTACTGCTAAAAGTCCACTTGTCTCAAAAAATTCAAATTCTGCCCAATAAAATGTAAAATATGTAAATACAAATGTCAACCAAGTTACTTCAATATCATCACCTAATATTCTTTTAGTCCATAAAGCAACTAGCACTCCTAAAATTAGACCCATTACTGGTCCAAGAAGTGATGTTCTCAAGAAACTTAACACTATATCACCTCCACTTACTGCTGCTCCTTTGCCACTTGAAGCTTTTGATATATTGTTAAAAACATTAAATAAAACCATTGCAACTCCATCATTAAGCAATGCCTCTCTAAAATATAACATCTAATTCATACCCTTCAATCAAATGATTAAAAGCTGGATTTGCACCTAATTCTTTTAATAGTGCAACTACTGCTACAGGATCAGTAGCTGATAAAACTGATCCCAAAGTAAATGCTTCATACCAGTTCATATCATCATCGCTATATTAAAGAATGATCTTAAAACAAGCTCCCAACAATATAGCACCCTTTTATATAAATTATATAAAATTACCCATCCACATCCAGGGCCTGCCAAAAGCAAGATATTAATAATTTAATACTTGAAAGTGTACCAGTCACAGTTAAATGCTGATTCAAACAAGAGAACTGGAATAAATATGAACACAATCAAATGAGGATGCATTTTAGATAAGATGTAGGCACTATTCCCTATTTTTCCTAGATATTCCTATGAAAGACCAATAGCCAAACCAAGAGCGAGTATCATAGGTGAATAAGGGATGCTAAATTATGTTAAATTGTAATACTTTGTCTTTTTATTTAATTCCCTCAAGATAAGTCCACAAATGAGACCTAAAACTAAGAAATGTATAAGTTATGCTGATTCTTCCATCTTATGTTCATCTCTCCATAAAGAGTCTTTTTGTATTGAATCATAATTTTCATTTTCGCTACCCAATTCATCTGAAGACATTAATAAATAATACGATTTATGGATGGACTTTAATATGATTTTTATATTGTCTAAACAAAAAGATATGTAACAATTTTATATAATCCATATATAAATTTTAATCAGAATATTAATATTTTATTGAATATCATATTTTATTCATAATTCTTATTATTAATATTTCTATTGAACATCAATTCTTGAAAATCTTTGCTCTATTACTTCTTCATGATTCTCTAAATTAAATTATTCCAATCTATCCTACTTTATCACATCAATTGCATCATCAAAAACCAAACATATGAGTGGTTTTATGACATTAAAATCATTTTCTCTAGGTGGTACATAACTAAACATATATCCAATAATTACCAATATTCATTATATCTCTCGATGCCTTCACTCTCATCTTGAATACAACTTTATATTTCCCCTTTGATAATATAACCTCCAAACATGAATTCAACATTTGAATGAACATCGAACTTTTTGAATTAAGCCTTTTGTCTAAGGAATATATTTAAACGTTTCTATTCCATTTATCCCAAAGGTCCAGCTTAAGATTCATATAATTTTATAAGATATTCTAAAAAATATAAAAATATTTACCTATAGAATTGACATATATTTTCTATTCAAAAGCTTCTGACTTTTACATCAAAGACTTAAGAACATTCAAATTTAATGAATGTAGTACAGTTTCAGATGCTGCTCTAGAAGTTGTCATGCATTTACCATCTCCTATAAGATTGACATAAGATAATAATGATCCTAATCCTTTTTTAATTTAATGAGATCCAACTTCATCTATAACATTTCCTTTTTAGACAATGTATATATTTTAACAGGTCATACCTTTTTCATAAATAATTTCATCAGTTTGATATCTTTTCTCATATGTGGATTTAATAATTGTATCTAATTCCTCTTTAGGTACACCTGTAAATATTGGAAATTCCATAGCAAATGAATGGAAAGTTGGAATTTACCAATCAAAAACATGATTTTCAAGTTAAACAAGACGAGCATCAATATTGCTTTTTAATTAATTGAATTCTTTATCATCTACAAGACCATTCTTTTAATTTTCTTCAAGATGATGTCTTTAATGCATAAGAACTGTATGTGATGCTCTTTTAGTTTGAATAGCTCTAATGACTTCTGGGAATGTGTCAGTTAAAGTACCTAAATAGAGTTCAGCTTTATTGATTTCAGTTCTGATTTCATCCATAATCAATCTAACTGCATTCTTATTCATAGGCATATGTTCTTGTAATGTAAGTACTTCATTAGCACAAGATATAAATGTTGTTGTTACATCATAAACAAATCCCAAATGTTTTGTAATGTATTATTAAGCATATTCACCTAAAAATGTCCATTCTTTCACTTTGAAGAAATACTTGATACTACTAAAACTAGTAAAGCTATTGAATAATTATTCCCAAATATTCAAAATAGATCCTGTATGATCAAGAGCAACATCACTTGATTCAACTAATAATCTAACAGAATCTTCATCACATTGTCCATGTTCAAATTATGAATAATATAATCCCTTAAGAATTCTAAGTACTCTGTATCTAACCTCTCCAAAAGTATCAGTATCAGCTAATCCTTCATAAGATATTCTACTCATATTTCCACCTTAAATTTATTTAATTTCATTCTCTAATTAAACTACTTCCTATAAAAATTATTGTGATCCTACAAGTGATTTGACATGATTCCAATCAGCCATAGCAAAATGTTCATCCCCTTCCAATTCTTTTATTGTATCTTCTTAATTAACAATCATATCAGTTAAATAACGTTTATATACTCTCTTTTTAATTACTGGATTCTCTATCATGTTTAAATAATTCACCAAAGCTTTACAAGTAGTTCCATTGACAAGATTAGTAAGAGCAGCCATTCCAGCAGTAAAGAATACAGATAAATGTCTAAATCTTGGTGGTAGATCTTGATCACATCCAACCATCAATGAAAGTGTTAAACCTAAAGCTCCTCTTAGACCTCCATAAACAAATACTATCAATTCTGGTTATGACATTGGATAACCATATCTCTTAAGTAATGGCCAAAATGATATAACCATTAAGTATCTGCATAATATCATAAAGAAATAAAACAAAATCATTCTGAAATAATCAGATGTATAAATATATCTTTCTTCAATCACTTCTGTTCCAACTATCATACCTACTAATAGAAAAACAGTTGTATCACAAAAGTATTAAACAAAACTCCAAACTGTATGAACAGCATGTTCACTCTCTGATCTTATTTTAGTCTTACCAAATGCACTCCAAAACAAACCCAAAGACACAACAGCCAATAATCCACTAGTTTTAAAGAAACAAAACTCAGCCCAATAAAATGTTAGATATGTGAATATAAATGTTAACCAACCTACTTCAACATCATCTCCTACTATTCTTCTAGCCCATAATGCTCCAAAAAATCCTACTACTACTCCTAAAACAGGACCAACTATTGAATTCCTAAAAAAGTTTAATAGAACTCCACCAAAAGTAACACCTCCACCAATTCCAGCTGCAGCTTTAGAGAGTTTATTGAAAAATATAAAAAAAACCATTGCCACTCCATCATTTAATAATGCTTCTCCTTCAATTAAATGGTTAAATGCAGAACTAGCTCCTAATTCTTTTAGTAAAGCAACAACAGCTACTGGATCTGTTGCAGATAACACAGATCCTAAAGTGAATGCCTAATACCAATTCATATCTTCATCACTATAGAATAAGAACAATTTGAATACTATTCCTAGAAGAATTGCTCCCTAATTAATATTATTATAAAATACCCAACCAACTCCAGGACCAGCCAATAGTAAAATATTAACAATTTAGTATTTGAATATATACCAATCACAATTGAATGCTGATTCAAATAGTAGAACAGGAACAAAGACATAAACAATTAAATGTGGATGCATATGACTCAAGATACTTGCACTTTCTCCCAAATATCCAAGAGAACTTTATAATAAACCTATCAATAATCCACAAGTTAAGACCATAGGGGAATAAGGAAATCTATTTATTATTTTTGTTGTATTACTTGGTTTTCTTGTTCAATTCCCTCAAACCCAGACCTAAGAGTATACCCAAAGTAAGTAAATATGCTACATTCGCTGATTCTTCCATCTTCTCTTCATCTCTGTATAATGAATCTTATATCTAAGAGCCTTCTGTTGATGTATTGGATTCGGCTTCGTGACCCATAATTTAAAAAAATTTATTATTTTTTACAAAATTATTATATAAATGTATAATCACTTTAATTATATTCAATTAATTTATAATAACTTTTTGATCTCTTCAGCTGAGAGTGTCTCTCTCTTTACTAATTCTGTAGCCAAATCCTTGAGTTTGGATTCATTAACTTTTAACAAATTTTTGACTCTATTATATGATTCCTAAAGAATTATAAATCAAATGATACTTCTAATATTTTTTTAACTTCCATATCTACCATATAATCAAATTGATCACTAGTTTTCACTCTATCACTTTAAATTGAAATCAACGATATTTTATCATCCATTCCTAATTGTTTAACAAACATATAAGCTAGATCGGTGGCTTTAGCTAAATCATTACTACATCCACTAGTAATATCATCTTTTCCCAAAAATAAATCTTCAGCTGCTCTACCACCCATAGCTACATCAATTGATGCAATAATTCCCTTTCTAGTATAATTAAGTTGATCCTTTTCTGGAAGCATTGAAGTCTAAATAAAATAAAGATTAATAAATACAAATCCTAAAGCTCCACCTCTTGGAAGAATTGTAACTTTATGAAGTGGCATAGCTCCTTCAGTTAATAAACTAGTTAAGGCATGTCCACCTTCATGATAAGCAGTCATTAATTTTTCTTTATCACTAACATGCATATTCTTTCTACCTACTCCCATGGCTATTCTATCTATTGCAAATTCAAAATCATCAGTTGTTGCTATTTATCTATCATATTTAATAGCATTTAAAATTGCTACATTCACCATATTTTAAATATCAGCTCCACTAAATCCACTAGTCTATCTTGCCAAATTAGATGGCAATACTTTTTGAATATCATATTTAATCTTTTACAAATAATATGAAAATATCTATTCCCTACCTTTAACATCTGGTAATGGTACATGAATCATTTTATCAAATCTTCCTGGTCTTTTTAATGCAGGATCAAGAACCTTATATTTATATTATTAAAGTACCTATTCAAAATTGGTAGCCCCAATAACAATTACACTTTCACTTTATTTAAATCCATCCATTTCTGTCAAAATTTAATTAATTGTATCTCTAGAATAACCAGGATCTTATGCTCTTCTTCTACCTCCTATACTATCTATTTCATCTATAAAAATTATTGAAGGAGCCTTTTATCTTGCAGCTTTAAATATATCTCTAACACGTGAAGCTCCTACTCCAACAAACATTTCATCAAATTCTGATCCAGATTTATAAAAAAATGCACAACCTGCTTCACCTGCCAAAGCTCTTGCTAAAAGTGTTTTACCTGTTCCTGGAGGACCTACTAATAATATTCCTTTTGGTAATTTAGCTCCTGAATCAGTATACTTTTTAGGATGTTTTAAGAATTCTACAATTTCTTCTAATTCTTCTTTAAATTCATCTATTCCCAAAACATCATTAAAACGTGTAGGTATATTTCTTTCTTCTTAGATTGTCTAATTGTTGCGTAGTATATTATAAAAACGATCAATTCTACCAGCTCCTTATTCAGGAACATCTTTCTAATTTTTCTCATTTTTAGATTTAGATTAACCAGGTTAAAAGAAATACATCATTTAATAAAGAATAGCTGCAGTTATCAATAATTAGATCATTCCTGGAAGTAATAATGATCTACGTTTGTCTCCATATTAATTAGATTTCAAATTTGTTACTGCAATACCATATTATTCTTATAATTATTGATGTTATTTTTGAGTAGCATTTTCACGAAAATCATCTAATTATAATAAATATATCCTACCTGTTTATTTAAATATACGAAGTGCTTCATCATATAATTACATACGATTTAATTATCTAATGTACTTAAATGCTTTCTCAGGATTTTGAGGATCTGAAGCAAATTCTTTTTATAATAAACGCAAGTTTTAAATATTTTATTGATTCACAAGGAATGAAGCATCAGGTTAGATAAAGGGTTGGAAGTCAAATTTATGATCTGGTATATTGACAGACTTTTTAATTAAATCATCCTTATTTAAACTAAATGGACTATGTAAAAATTTAAAAGAAGGCTCTAGTATAGAAACATTACCATCTTACTTCTAAAATTGAATAATGATTTATAAACAAATCCCCATAGAAACTACAATAAGATTTATAATAATTACAGGTCCTTTCATATTGTAATAAAATGCACAAATAAATTATGTATTTAATATTATAAATCAAATAATCAATTAGCAATCTCTTTCAATATTTGGATTAATATATTTATTTAGATATCTAATACTATCACTTAATTTACAATTAACTCCTTCATTACAGAAATTAGTAATAAGCAATCTATCATCTAAAAATACATTAACTTAATCATCATCATTAATTTTAAATTACAACCTACCAGCAAATTTAACATAAGGCCATTCTTTTGTAATAACTGATAATAAAGCATATTGATTATCATCATGTCCATAAAAGAAACTTTCTTCTACTTCACTATAGAATTCTTAAAATAACCATTTCAATATATATGATAATGTTGCTTAATGTTAAAGTGGTTATGAATAATCTATTCCAAAATATTAAAATTTAAAAATATTCATCAAATATTCAACTTATTCTTAATTTAATTTGTAATCATATAAACCTTATGCTTCATTACACAAAATATTTGAATATAATTTTTTTAATTATGTAATTGTAATACTATCTTATGTAACATTTGAATTTGGATTACACATCTTAAATAACTTAAAAGTATTGTTGAATTATTAATGTTATCTTACTTATTTATTTATCTCATTATATTCTGCACTACTATAAATAGCATCATCAAGAACATCCATTAATGGACATTATTCACTTTTATGTCCATGAAACATAAAATCATTTTTCATTTTAAATGTTTCAAAATTTAATGAAAAAGGCTCACTGAAATTAGAATTTATTATTTTATTGAAATTCTATGGATCTGTAGAATATTGTTCATAATATTCTCTAAAATATTGTACCAGAATTTCATTATAATTTTAAGGACATAATCCTTAAATAAAAGCAATTACTGAATGTATAACTCTTGGTTTAGCTGATGATATCATATGAAATGAATCAAAATTGCAAATACCACTTCCATCATGAATTGTAAAATTATTATTTGCCATCTATTTCACTTAATCAAATCCTTTTTATGTCAAATATCCTTAAGGATAGTCTCCCCATAGTTCTTTATCTTATTCATTATAATCATTGGGTGATCTTATACCATGTCTTAGGAAGGAGACCTATTTCGAATATATTATTGTTAATAAAATGAATACTATCATTAATTATAATATTAAATTAATTCCACACTCTTATCAATCAGTATATTGAGGTATCTTTATAAATTCATTATATAATATATGATAATATTACTTATATCAATATAGAATTTGATTTTTATTGTAATATTGATAGTAAGTATAAAATTGGAATACTCATATATACTTAAAAATGAATTAGACTAAATTAAATTGATATGATCTCTTATTCACTTAAATCAAAACAATAGTATATTTATTAAATATAATAAATAATTTATAAATGGGAGCTAACAGCTCAAAATAAAATTTGGAAATATTAAATGAATACAATTTTCTCAATGTAGCTTAAGATGATGGATATGGAGAAATTCAATTATTTAGCAATAAGATCAAACGAACTGATTAGATGGCACTTATAAAATTTTACGATTAATCTGATATGGAAAAGAGGGCTAACTTAATTCAAATGAGGTAAATGATTAAGTAATGTAGAAAATAATAAAATAATCAATACTTTACAAAAATATTAGATTATTAAGTACAAACAACTGAGGATTTATGTAGTAATATAAATTTATTACATGTTGGACTTGAATATTTAGAAAAAAGTCTTTAAGATGATATCTTAAATAGAAGAGCTAATGATAGAACGTATTAAATAATAATATAATTAATATAGTTATAATGAGGGAGAACTTTGGTATTTAACATAAACCATACTATCTGGATTGAAAGATCTTTAAATGAATAATCTTCAATATTAAGATTTACATCCAAACAATATTAGGATCAAACTAAATGGTGAAATTAAACTATTAGAATTATGTTGCTTAGCTAATTAATAAAGTGCATATCAAAAAGTCTTTACATAATTAAGAGAAGTTGAATATCTTTCTCCTGAGCAATTGTATGTATTAGAAAATGAACGTTAAAATGTAATTATCATTATTTAGTATTTAAGGATAAATAAGAATATTCTATTGAAAAACAAAACGTATTTATACTTGGTGTTATTTTCTTGGTTTGTATAACTAATATGGATGTTAAAAAATATTATAATAATTTTACTTTTAATTCAGAATTAGCTAATTAAAAATTGAATAGTGCATTTGATAAGTACAATTATTCTGATCCAATGAAGCATTTACTAAAAGATCTATTATAACTTAACACCTATCATAGACCTACTTATCTTGAAATATTAGATAAAATATCTCATGTAGATTCTAGTAGAATATCTCCTAATTTATATGCATTGAATATGCAAGATTAAGCTATCAAATCAACATTACATTTTAAAAATCAATCTAATTTCACTTAAGAATAAATTATAGAAAGTTAACCTTAATCTCTTTATGAATAGCATAATCTTATAAATGATTCATTTAATAGATAAGTTACATCTAATTTCTAAGCCAATATAGAATCTGCTCATATTACTGAAGTCAATAAATAAAACTATGATTTTGAAATTGCTACTCATTCAAAATATGAATCAAATCATTAATTAACTCCACTAACTACTTAAGAAGGATTAGATAAAATCAGATAACTAAAAGAAAGATTTCAATTAATGAAAGGAGAAGTTCATTAATAATAAGCAGCTACAGTACCTACTACTTTTACTCATTAAGATGAAAGTGATACTTATAGAATACCTAATTAAAATATTTAAAATCCTTATCAACCAAATTTCTTAGATATGGATCCTATTATATAAAGAGCACTTCAAAAAAGTAGAGAAGTTATGTCCAAATGCAATCCTTATTAAACTGTTGATCCTTATGTTCCCATTTTGTCATCCTCAAATGCCTCATTTCTTCCATAACCTGGAATACCATCCATTATTTAACCAATTCAGAATTCATAATTAGATAATTCTTAATTCAATTAATATTATTAGACTTCACAATAGAATCCTTAATTCCAATCGCAATTTAGCTAATATAATCAAATCAATTAAGTTTAACCTCCATCAATATCTTTATAATAATCATAATTTTAGAAATAACCAACATTTTCACAACCATTCTCTCCAAACCCTTAGTACATTGAATAAACATCACCTTTAAAAAAACCATCCGTATCTTAATATGTTCAATAGTAAACATTTACACCACCATCATTTAATTAATAATAATCAATGTATATATCTATTATTAACTTAGGTATCAACCTTATGTAAGGAATGATGGATTTTTATGATTTGGGATTATAAAATGCTGAATAGATAGATTATTTATTAAAATATATTAAATTTTTCATTATATATATATTTATCTGTTACATCATATATGATCAATAATTTTCTATCATAATTTTTTTGTTTTCACTATTTAACATATTTCTAATTTTATTTGAAAATAATGTATTTTACTGTAATATTCAACTGATTTATTAAATGATCTTATTTTCAATTTTATCTGTATCATTTTCATATTTTTTTATAGTTTTTTATAGTTTTTTATCTATTAGATATAAATAATAAAATATATGTCCTATTGTAGTTAAATTATCAGAATCAATATAATATATAACAACTCAATTATCTCAAATTTTAAGCATTCTTTTCAATTAACCAAAGATAATTAATTATTGATAGAACCAAATTAATTTTATTAATTTTCTTATTATATTTCAAACTATCATTATTTACTATATCTAATAATAAAAAGTGAGTAACCCTTTTAGGACAACCAACTTTATTAGAAAATAAAGAGTTTTAATTATTGAATATTGTTAAAAATATTTTTATACTCAATTTGATTTTGTTTAGCTTAATTTAGTAAGATAAATTGTAGATAATATTGTAAAGATTTCTATTATTAGATCTCATCGTCACATTACAAAGGGTTAAAATTTGCTATACCATAGGGTATATTGTAATAATAGCTTTTTTATAATGAAAAAACTATTTCACTCAATAACCTCTCAATATCGTGCTTATCATTTAAGAGATTTTTTAGATAAACTATTTGATTCTTCATTTGGAATGTATATATGTATATGATATATCTGTTATATTAAATCTTAAAGTAAAATAAAATAAAAAGAGAAATTAGTTGATTATTGTAAAATATTGAACACCAATATTGTTAGGAAATCTCTGAGTTATAAATACTATAGAATTCTCATATATTTATCTGGATCTATCATCTAATAAGAGTTTTTAGTAGACTTCATATCTTTTGTCAATTAATTATAATAAGTAAAATTTTAAAGAATTAATAATAATATTTTATTTTCTATTTTTAATCATAATAAAGCATTTATGTTTAATTGGAAGAATGGACAGATTTTGCTAATAATTATTGAAATATGATAAGCTGAGAAAGATATTAAAGAAGATGAAAATATTTAAAATAGTGTTATATAAATATAATGTAATAAAATTTATTTAATATAGTCATTAAACTTTACTTTTTGATTTTTAAATGATTAGACTAGTTTAGTTAAAGTGATTAATAAATATAAATGGCTAAGAATAAAGTTCATATAAATTTAGTAGTTATAGGACATGTTGATTCTGGAAAGTCAACTACAATAGGACATCTAATTTATAAGTTAGGTGGTATAGATGAAAAAACTATAAAGTAATATGAAGAGGATGCAAATAAAATTGGAAAAGAATCATTTAAATATGCTTGGGTATTGGATAATCTTAAGGATGAAAGAGAAAGAGGAATTACAATTGATATTTCATTGTAGAAGTTTGAAACAAATAAATATAATTATACAGTGATTGATGCACCAGGTCATAGAGATTTTCTAAAAAATATGATAACAGGAACTTCATAAGCAGATGTAGCTTTATTAATGATTGCATCAACTGCAGGTGAATTTGAGGTTGGTATGTCTCAGAATGGATAAACTAAAGAGCATATATTATTGGCTTATACACTTGGTGTTAGATAATTAATAATTGGAATAAATAAGATGGATGAGAAATCAGTAAATTACTAAAAAGATAGATATGATGAAATAGTAAAAGAGTTGAAAATATACTTAAATAAAGTAGGATACAATCCAAACGCAATTCCATTTATTCCTATTTCTGGATGGAATGGTGATAATATGTTATAAAAATCATTCAATTTATAATGGTATCATGGTCCAACACTTTTTGAAGCATTAGATTCAATAACACCACCTTAAAGACCATTAAATAAACCACTTAGACTTCCATTATAGGATGTATATAAAATAGGTGGTATTGGAACTGTTCCGGTAGGAAGAGTAGAAACTGGAGTATTGAAAACAGGTATGATTATTCAGTTTGCTCCATCTGGAATAATCTCTGAAATAAAATCAATAGAAACATTTCATGGAGGTCTTGTAGATGCAACTCCAGGAGATCATATAGGTTTTAATGTGAGAAATGTATCAGTTAAAGATTTAAGAAGAGGATATGTTGCTTCTGATTATATGAATGACCCAGCAAAGGAATGTATTTCATTTATTGCTTAATTAATTGTAATAAATCATCCTGATAAAATTTCAAATGGATATTGTCCAGTTTTGGATTGCCATACAGCACATGTTGCATGTACATTTGATTAAATAATATCTAAAATTGATAGAAGAACAGGTAGAATAATAGAAGAAGCACCTAAATTTATTAGATCTGGAGATTGTGCTATAGTTAAATTAATACCAAGTAAACCCTTTTGTGTAGAAGTATTTTCTGAATATCCATCACTTGGAAGATTTGCTGTAAGAGATATGAAATAAACTGTTGCAGTAGGTGTAATTAAATCTGTTGAAAAAAAAGTAATCTAAATAAATAAATGATAAATATATTTATATTTACTTATATCTTTTTAATAATTCATAATGATAGTCTAGTTTTTTATTTCAATATCTAATTTAATTACAAGAGTATTTGGTTACATAGATATTTATACAATTATAAAAAGAACAAATTATAATTTTAATTGAAATACTCAAACTTTGTATCTATGTTAGCAAGCAAAACATTCATAGAAGATTGTAGCTGGTTCATCTGCTCTTCTAATTTATTTAGTTTCAATAATGTATAAATAATTATTATGACATCTTGGACATTCTTAACCTTTTGATTGAGTCATTTCCTTTATGCGAATCTATCTATAATAATCTGCATCATCATCTTTCATCTCAGACTAATATTTATATAGTAAAATTTAATTACAATTTTTCTATTCTCTAATTCTCTAATAACTTCTTCATCTAACCAATCCTTTAATTATAATTAACATGCTTAATTCACTGTAAAAAACCCTTCAAGTAATTTGTGTATCACTTTTCCTGATTTATCTTTACCCAAATACTTTATTTAAGTATTAATTATACTTAGTATAAAGTTTTTAAATCAGAACTATAATTTTTTCCTGGTGCTACTGTTTAATAATGTTTATTGTATAAACTGTTTTCAAGAGCATCAGCTAACTTATTACATTTATCAATTCTATCTAGTAGTTAAGTATTATTACAAATTTTCCACTTAAAATAGTTCTTATTATTATTTTTATTAAATTTATTTCTGTAGATATTCTGATAATTTTGCCTTGATCTTATCTCTCTATTCTTAAGGTAAATAATCACCAAGTTAAATATTGGATTGATTTCCTTGAAAATTATCAGACTAAAAATTAAAATCCTTTAAGTAAAATACATATTTGGCAACAGAAAATATGGTCTTTTTATTTTCTCGCTTAGGGGGCTTAGAAATTATTTCTTTGATCTAATTATGAATGGACTTGAGTTTTAACTAAAACTAAGTGAATTATTTAGACCAAAATATTGGCGATTTAATCCTTATTATATAATGCCATATCAGTTGAGGGAGCTTTCCTTATAGACTCCCTAAGGATATAGACACTCTTATAAATTTTGCTTTGGACAATCGCCTCTCTTTCTAGGGTTCCCTTCTAGAATGATAGAATATATTGTATTTACGCATAATTAGCCTAGAACAAAGTATATTGCATCAGGACCTCTCCATTTCCAGTCCACTAGGACTTTACGATATTCATAGAGTTCTTCAGTTGTAAAGGGCTTTTGTTCTTCTAGTATCATAAGAAAAATAAATTATTTGACTAGAAAAGAAGTTGAATTAAATTCAAAAAGCCTTTTAATAATTTAGTATTAATAAATAAATTTAATCTAAAAAAAATAAAACTAGGAATTTAAATGGGAACTTGTCAAACTTCTAAACAAAGAATAAAAAACAACACTTGGACTATAAGTGAAAGACTTTAATCATAAAAATTGGATTTCACTTGTCAACGGTTATCACTATATTTAGAATTGGTTGGAGACACTCACTCCTTAGGTGAATACTTACAAGAACGAATTAGAACTTTACTTTAAATTAAACAAAAACTATATATAGATGCAAGTTAATCATAAAAAATAAAATTAATGCAGGAAGCTTCCGAAATTATAGAATACTTATACAATGATAAACACTTTAGTTAGGCATTCCCTATTTTAAGGGAAAGTCTCCTAGAAATTACATAAGTGTCAATATGCACTGAGTGATTCTCAATAATTGTTTCAAATCAATATATTCTTTTTTCATTCAATAATTTTATTCATAAAAAAAATACTTAAAAAACTCATATTCTTATGAGATTATATATGATTCAATTCCCTAAAATAATAATTACTTAAAATTCTCATTTGTTTGAAACAGTTATAAATAGTTTTTAAATTATTTTAAGTTATTTCTTTAATAATATAAATGTTTTACTATCAATAATAAAAATCACAAATGATTGGAGATATTCTAAATGAAAAGCCTATCTTCACTAATGAACATTAATGTTATATTTGTTTCTAAACTTTTAGTGTCAGTATATTATTAGTAATTTGATTGCCTTCTTATTGTAAAGTTTTACGTTCATTTACTTTTATGATGATTTAATTATATCAATTTGATATAGTTGCTTCATTCCAAATATGATTGAAATTAAATAAATTAATGTTTCATATATCTAATGTATCTAATTTATAAATGGAATATATAAATTTGTCTTGATTATTTTCTAAACTTCAAATGATTTTTTATTATTTAGCATGTAATATTTATAGTAATTTATAGGATATGTATATTAACCTAGTGTAATCTTATTATTTAAAGGATTCAACATATAAATTGAAGAAATCCCTCATCTTTCTAAAGAAATTTAATTCATTTCTATAGAAGATGTTCTTTAAAAATTATTTATCAATTAAATCTTGTTCAACAAAATTTACTTTTAAGTTCCCAAATCAAATTTGTTGAATCATCCCCTTTTATGTTAAAAAATTATTCGATTTTATTATAGTTATATGAATTTGTTACTCCTTCTAAAAGAATCTATAAAATTGATTATAGTCCATTAATCTTTTGATTTAATATGTAATTTTTTAAATAATTTATTTTATAATTGATATATAATGTTTATTCCTTTATGAATTAATAAATATATTATTCAAAAATTTAAAATTATTAAGTCCTTAAACAAAACCTATAATTCTTAGGTCCTTTTAAATAACCTTTTTCTTAGAGTACTGATTTCATTAATATAATTTAATTTCTATTTTATTATAAAAATTTAAATGTATTTATTGCACTCTCACTTCTACTCTCTTTCAAAAAAGACTAATTCTTGATTATTTAGTCTTATTTTTCGTCTTTCTTCTTCTTATAAATTTAAAACTTTCAGCATAATTTCATTTATTTCAACATTGATTAATTATTTATCTTAAATTTAGTAATAACTCAAAATATCTATTTTATTCCATTTATATAGATTGTATTATGGATTTGATATATTATTTCTTCTTTTTAAACTCATGTAAATCATTTATTATAAATGTAAATTTTTATGTTTTTATTAATAAAATCAATTCTTCCACATCTACTAATTGGCTGTCTTCCTCATAAATTGCCTTACAGTTTCTCTCATTTCAGGATCATCACTCTCATAAAGTTCCTTCATCATACCTAAAACTCCTTTTACATTGTCATCTAATGGTCCATCCTTTTCATATTTCTTTTTTTCTTTCTACTCTTTTTTTTGATCGATCTCTAATTAATATAAATTTTTACAAGATTTTCTGTAGTTTTAATTTGAGTCCATTATTTTTTGTCAGGTAAAATCAATGTAATATGAATATTATTCTTAGTTACCTTAAAGCTACTCATTTTATCAAGAAACTCACCAAATGTTTTTATAATTTGTAACCTTCATTATTAAATATTATTACCTATGATTTGCATTATGATACCCTATAATTCGAACATCAAAGCAATTCTTCCCAAAATCAACTTGTATATTTTTTGGAGGTAATTCACCTACACCATCCATATTGATGATTATCTTTATCTTATTCTCCTCCTACTCAAAAGCATATTTAGTTATTTTCTCAAACTTTAATTCATCTATCTAAGGCATCTGTTACTCAATCTACTCATCTTTTTCAACTTTTTATGGTTGAAGTATCTTAATAGAATCGTTCAAGAATTTTATCCTTTTGTTCAAATACTCAATATTATTTGGTCTTTTTGCTGTTTTTAACCATTCTTGAACTTCTTCTAAGTCTTCTTAATATTGTTGTAATTCACTCATAAAATAAATTAATTTTTATGGAATCTCCCTTTCTAATTTGGTAAATATATAGGAACCACTCAACTGAGTAATTACCTTACTTAAGCAAATATTTTATAGCTGCAATAGTCACTCTAATCGTTATAATTTCCATAATGATGCTCCATCATGTTAGGAGTAATTTCTAGTTAGTAAGAAGAGTTCCTAAGAAACCAAAGAATAAAGAAAAGAATGTTACTTTCAACTTAGACTTGAATTAGATCCATTACTTTTATTGATTAGTATTTTCATAAACTCTAAATTAATTGCTCTCACTTAAATTTAGATTTTAATATACTTCCTCAATTTTATACACTCCTAATCAAATTCTCAATTCTATTCCCTTTCAAAACTAAATAATCTCATTCAAATATTTAACTTAATCCTATAAAGATAGATTTTTGAATGATTGGCACTTCTTTTAGAAAACACTTTAAATTTTAACAAAAACTAAAAATAGCTGTAATTGCTATATGGAGTTGTATTAATTCATAAATATTTATTAATATAATTTAAAATTTAGAAATATAATTGTACTCATATTAGATGTGTAAATGAATTGATTAAATTCATTTGTAAATCAAGGTTTAAAATATTTACACATCTCATTCTTTTATTACTTTTATTGTGATTATTAATATCTTTTTCAAACCAATTAGTATCAATTTTCAACAAACTCATTTCATATTTCAATATGTTTATATTTTCCTTTAAATCTTTTCTCAATTTCAAGTATAAAGGTTTCTATTTTGAGTTTAACTTATTCTATTGATTAAGTTAATATATTCTTTAACTTATTAATTATCTCTTGTTCTTCTTGAATATAATATTAATTTATTAATATTAAAATAATGAGTGCCTGTATTTATTGCTGTCTGTTTTAATTGATAGCATGTATCATCTATCCACTGAGATCAACTTATCAGGCTTATAAATTATAAGAGAAACTATAAATTTGGGTTGTTTATTGGATTCTAATGAGCTCAATATATTTATTAGAAGAAATATCATTTGGAGTATTTTTCATGTATTTATTGTATCTATTCCAATAGGATTCCAGGATACTCATTATTTAAGACTCTATATGCTGTCTGGCTTTATCATGAAAAAACTTAAGGAGCTTTGCTTGTTGGCACACTTCTGAAACCACTTTTTAACAAAATAAAATGTATCATGGCTCCATTTTAAGAGAAATTAGAAATTCTTGAAAAAGTCAAATGAATTATTTATATAATTTTCAAAGAACCAGAATAAAATAATTCATTATTACAAAATTTTGACTAATATAATAATTAGTTTTATGCATTTTTGTAATCTATAGATTAGAAGTGAATTTAGTCTACAAAAGATATCAATTATGATAAAATGTACTATTAAATATACAAACAATACAAATAGAGATGAATAGAATAGAAGCAACTTTATAAAAATAGATTTTATTTTATTTTTTTATATTAGATTAATGCTATATTATATCTATTATTAATAAGTAAATTATCATCACTTTGTCTCCTCTTAATAAGCCTTTGAAAAGTAGACTAAGACTGGGTCAAGATTAAGAAATAAACAGTAATGTAACAATTAATGAATAAAATTCATGTTCATAAAGAATTGTGTTATCATACTTATATAGTTAATAATTTATAGAATAATGTTATCAATTCTTGATTCTTAGGTGAAGTTGTTTATGTCTTTTAATGTATTCTTGATTCAACTACATTATTTAATTTTATGTAATTTGAGCATTAATAATTAGTTGCAATTTCTTGATCTTTAAAATATCTCTCTTAATTAAGTTGCTATTGTTGAAATATTTAGCATGCACTGACTAGAAAAGTGGTCAATATTAAGGCTATAAATATGGTTTTCATTTTTGATAATATTATAAGGAAATATCTTAAATTCAAATGCCTATAAATTATTGAATATCTCCCCCTTAAATAGCATCCGATAATATATGACAAAATTTATTAGTTTATTGTGTTTTATAATTTTTGTTTACATTTTATTTTCACCAAAAATATATGAAATACAATAAATTAATATATTGAATATAGTTGATTATAAAAATTACATTATGAATTATTATATATTAGTTTGTAGTTAAATGAAATAAAAATAAAAACAATCATTGCCACAGGTTATTAAAAGAAGTATTATTGAAACTTTTTGATGCCCAATCCATAGTAAGAACCTATATATTATTTATTATATACTGTTTTTTAATTGATATTAGGTTAAAAAGTGGGTAAGTATTTATTTTCTAATTTTTGTAAATTTTCTTATTTTTTTAATTGATAATCAAGTAATCTATCTTCAACTTTGGAAGTATTGTAATTTTCAATATTTCTTTTTTATATTTATGGTTTAAAGGTTAATGAGGATAACATATCCTTATCCTTTTTCATTTATTCAGATAAAATATGTTCATTTCTTTTTTCTAACCAATGTATTTAAGAATTAGCAAATTCTTCAATATTAATTTCCTATTACATTGATTTATTTGGATCTTTCTTTTTAGACCACTTTAATTTCTCTTTTTCCCATTATTCTTATTCTGCTCTAATTGATTCTTCTTCCTTTTATTTTTTAAGTTCAATCTAAGATTTAACCCACTCTTCTTTTTTTTTAATTACTTTTTATTAACGAATATGTAAAGGTACATAATATTAACATTCAGTTTTAATTCTTTATCCTTAAGTTTCCATAAAATCCAAACGTTTTTATCTTTAATTTTATACTTTTTTATTAGGAGTATCCTGGGTTGCAAATTAGGTTGTTTATTATTATTATTATAATGGTTATTATTATTATTATTTTTTAATTGTATCTCCAATTTTAAATTTAATTTCATTAGTTTATACAATTGCATGACATGAACCCTATTTATATTCGACGTCTTCTGCAGGATCTACTTGTTCCATAATATTCTCTTCCTTTATGATTTAAATTTCCTATCCAATATTGATTGATTTTTTAGCACTATTAATAAATATTTGATAATACTTTATAGATAGATAATCTTTCAATTTTGGTAAATTTGGTAATAGATCAACCTAAACATCTGAATCTTTAAATTAATATATCATTTTGTAATCCTCCTCTTCATTTACAAGTTATTTTAGTTTTCTTTCTAATAATTTACAACTTCGTTCATTTATCATAGGTCTTGCACTCAAAATTAATTTTTCTTTGTTTTTTTCATCTTCTATCATTTTATTTAATTATTTCAATCTCTATTTTTCATAATTATATAATCTGTTAACTGTTTCTTAAAATACTAAAATAAAAATGATTAAATTACCTTCATCAATATCTTCTTAAGGATGTTCTACTTTACTCTATTTCATTTTTTCTTCTTTTTATTTTTCTTCTTCTCTCTTTTTCTTAACTTCTTCTGCTTTAAGTTAGACATTTTTAATGTTTTATTGTACTTTATCCATTTCTAAAATTATTATTGTAATACTTTTTGGTTATTTTTACTTAATTTCAATTTCATATTTAGGAGCTTCGACAATAGGTTTTTGTGTTTTCTTATGTAATTCAGTTTTTTTTTTATTAAGTGCCTCTTTAAATACATTAGATTAATTGCTATATTTTCCATTCTACAATTTTAATATAGATGTTCCAACTTGAGGATTTCTAGATGTCTATACTTATCTTTAAGGAGAGAGAGAATTGCCTACAGATTCTGCTTGTAGATATCTTTCCATTGATTAAGATTAAACACTTTCTTTTGAGTCATCTAATTATGAGTTCATTTACAAATAAATTTTAATAATAATATAGTTAATAAAATTATCATTTAATACTCTAATGTATATTAAGTAAAATTATTTATTATACAATTATAGTATTGAATTATGAATTAATACAATAAATAAGAATTTATTCATTAAAGCAGTTAATAAATATTTATTATTATTCTTTTGTTAATATTGTATTAAAATAAATGATTATCTATAATAAATTTATATATTTCTATTTTGTAAATGACTTATTAAGATAGTATAATATAAAAATAAAAATATATTAATGAAACCTTCATTAAATTTTGATTTTAGTGAAGTCAAATTTGATGATGAATAGATACCAAATTATACAATAGAATTCATGAATCAAATGAGAAATTAAATGTATAATGTTAGAAAGTTTGGGGAAATCTAAAAAAATCAAATAACAAAATGGAATCCATAAAGACCAATGAGTGCTTAAACAAAATATTTATTGACTCCCCAAGAAAAACATAGATACTTAAAATATAAAGAATCTATTTAACATAGTTCAAATAATTAATCACCTACTCTAAATACTTCAAAAATGATTAAATTTGGAAAAACTAATATATCTGAAACTATTCCTTTAATTAATTCTAATCTCTTCAATTCTAGTTCAGATGTATAACTCACTAAATAACCTAATAGTTCTAAAGTATGTAAAAAGTAAACACAAAAACAAATGATTATTAATAAGCCATAACAAATTAATCAAATGACCATTGATTAAACTGTTAAAAATGAAGTATTTGGCCTTTTTGATTGGGAAGATGAAGTTGATGATTAATTTTATATTAAAGAAGCAGCTTAGTATCTCTTAAAAAATAAAAGACTATAAACGATCGAGAAAGTAAATAGAGAATAATTTCTATAAAAAGTAAAAATTAAGAATACACCAAAAATAAAAAATAAAAAATTAACAAAAGAAGAAATCTTAAAACAATAAGAAATTGATATTTTAAAAAAATAAGCCAAATTAGAATAATTAAGACAAAACCAATTATTTTATTAAGATTAAATAAAAACTTAAAATTTAAAGTAAAAAGTAGATGATTATGATAATGATTTTGAAGATGAAGAAGAGTAAATAATAAAATAACCTATTATTCAACAATAATTAATATCAAATAGTGAAGATGATAATGATTATGGAAAAAATGATGAATTTGAAGTTTATGAAGAAAATAAAGTTATTGAAATTTAAGATGATAAAATATAATTAGAATAACAAAAGAGTAAAGATTTTATTTAAAATAAAACTACTACAGATTCTAAAAGTAATTTAAATTTAAAAAATCCAAAGAAATTTGTATATAGAGCAAAAAATGCAAAAGAAAGAAAATAAGAATTAGAAGAAATGAGATAAGAACTTGAAAAGAATTTGATTGATAATGATGCTCAATCTGCTAATTTATATAATTTATTGAAAGATTCAAGAGAAAAAGAAAGAATTATGATAGAAGTTAATACTAAAAGAAGAGAAGACTTAGCCTTAGCTCGCCTAACTTTATAGCAATTATCTGAAAAAATTGATTAATAATTACACATCATTGATGTAATAGGAATATTAATATCATTAGGATTTGGATAAAAAGGAACATTATGCTTAATAAATTATTGAAAAGCTAAAAGAAAACAAAAAAAAGTAATAATAATAATATGATAATGAAATTGAAAAATACTTAGCTTGTAAAGTAATTGCAAGATAACTCAAATGCAAGAAAGAAAGAAAAATGTTTTTGGAATTAAAGAGATAGAAATTCATGAATATGCTCAAATAATGATTATAATTTTTATTAAATGTCATTTTTTATTGACTATTCTAGTTCACATTTTATGATTATATGAAGAATCTATCTGATTTAAATATTGCAATAAGATTAATATGATAGTTGTGAATAGCAATCAATTAAAAAGAAAATCCTTAAATTCTTTTGGCACTTATAAAAACTAACTAATTCAGTCCCATATTAATTCGAAATTCTTCAATAATAATATTAATCAAAAAGGAATAAAGTAATGAGTTTAAACAAAATTTATAATATGGATTAAATAAATTATAAAGTGAAAAAGTCTAATTATTATAATCATGTTAAGAAACTCATATCTAAATGACTTTTCTGAAATAAATAAAAATAAGAAATTAGTTAAATGTATTTTTACTCCATCAAATAATAAATAATAAGTTAATTCTAATATCTTGTATCTTAAATTTATTTAATCAGAATAAAAACAAATTTTTGATAGAATATTTTTAAGAATCTATTCAACAACTAAATTTAAAGTTAACCTATGTTTCTATTCAAGAATAAAAGAAATTATAGCAATACACATTTAAACCTTATATATAATTGGGGATTGTAATAATCATTTTTGTATTGTCTGGACAAAAAACTAGTTTCATTAAGATATATAAACTGTATTATTTTTTAATAATATAACAAATTAAAGTCTAATATTTTATATTTCAAATTATGAACTTTTTAATATGACTATATGAAGAGTTTTAGGATATTACTTAATTTAGAGTATTCAAATTTAAGATGGAATTTTAAGTCTAATTTTTTGATCTTAATAATTAAAAAGATGTTTATGAGGTTCCCTAAGAAAAGGTTAAAATTGAATATATGAATAAATCTAGTTTTTCATTATGAATCAAAAAACACTAAGATCCTTATTAATCGTAAGAAAATTGTTATGAAAAAGCACAGAAAATCATGAAAGAGAAAGTTCGAATTATTTTCATTTACAAATTTATTATTTAGGATTAAAAATACACTAAGATTTTTGAATAATTAAATAATATTAAGTAATTGATGTAAGACGGAGGGAATGTGTAAGATAGAGATTTATTTATGAAAGAGATGGATAATTTGATATCTTAAAACTAATTTGGTTAAGCAGAAGTTTAATTAACAAAATACATTGAAAAGAATGAAGCTGATTCAGAAGCCTTAAAAAAGAGATCCAATTTACACTTGAAAAACGGAAAATATATATAAGCATTGCATGACATAGAGAAGGCTATGCTTTTGGATTCTTCAATGCCTTGTTGCAAGAGCAGTTATGAACATTATTAAATCAAAAAGGGATTAATGAGAATGAGTAATGACATTTGATTTTATACAATAATAAAAATTTATAATTTATGGCATAAAATTTAATATCAGCTATAGCATGGGTTTCTAGAGGGTATGCAATAAAGTAGCCAAAAGAATTTGATTTAGATGAAGAGGAAATCAATTAGATGAAGTAAGATAAACTAATAAATAAAAAGTAATAGATTTATTTNATCTAAATGACTTTTCTGAAATAAATAAAAATAAGAAATTAGTTAAATGTATTTTTACTCCATCAAATAATAAATAATAAGTTAATTCTAATATCTTGTATCTTAAATTTATTTAATCAGAATAAAAACAAATTTTTGATAGAATATTTTTAAGAATCTATTCAACAACTAAATTTAAAGTTAACCTATGTTTCTATTCAAGAATAAAAGAAATTATAGCAATACACATTTAAACCTTATATATAATTGGGGATTGTAATAATCATTTTTGTATTGTCTGGACAAAAAACTAGTTTCATTAAGATATATAAACTGTATTATTTTTTAATAATATAACAAATTAAAGTCTAATATTTTATATTTCAAATTATGAACTTTTTAATATGACTATATGAAGAGTTTTAGGATATTACTTAATTTAGAGTATTCAAATTTAAGATGGAATTTTAAGTCTAATTTTTTGATCTTAATAATTAAAAAGATGTTTATGAGGTTCCCTAAGAAAAGGTTAAAATTGAATATATGAATAAATCTAGTTTTTCATTATGAATCAAAAAACACTAAGATCCTTATTAATCGTAAGAAAATTGTTATGAAAAAGCACAGAAAATCATGAAAGAGAAAGTTCGAATTATTTTCATTTACAAATTTATTATTTAGGATTAAAAATACACTAAGATTTTTGAATAATTAAATAATATTAAGTAATTGATGTAAGACGGAGGGAATGTGTAAGATAGAGATTTATTTATGAAAGAGATGGATAATTTGATATCTTAAAACTAATTTGGTTAAGCAGAAGTTTAATTAACAAAATACATTGAAAAGAATGAAGCTGATTCAGAAGCCTTAAAAAAGAGATCCAATTTACACTTGAAAAACGGAAAATATATATAAGCATTGCATGACATAGAGAAGGCTATGCTTTTGGATTCTTCAATGCCTTGTTGCAAGAGCAGTTATGAACATTATTAAATCAAAAAGGGATTAATGAGAATGAGTAATGACATTTGATTTTATACAATAATAAAAATTTATAATTTATGGCATAAAATTTAATATCAGCTATAGCATGGGTTTCTAGAGGGTATGCAATAAAGTAGCCAAAAGAATTTGATTTAGATGAAGAGGAAATCAATTAGATGAAGTAAGATAAACTAATAAATAAAAAGTAATAGATTTATTTAAGGTTTAGTTTGACATAAGATTTGGGTAAAATACAAGAGTAAGATGAAGATTCAAGTGAAGACAATCTTCCAGTATTTTGTTAAGATTTAGAAATGCATGGAAAGTAGTAATTGCCAGATGATGGATATCCAGTAGCAATAGAGGATTTGAGTGATGAAGAAAAAGAAGATTATCAAATCAAATCATCGGATGCTTTGATTATAGCTGCCAAGATCGTATTAAATAAATAAATGCTAAATTTTAGGAAAATGAGTTTTCATCATTAGAAGTGTATATCTATGAAGAAGAGAAGGCCAATTTATTTGTGCATCATGAGATATAATTATCAGCATTCCCTTTAGCAGTAGAATGGTTACCAATATAACCAGGTTAAATTGAGAGTACATCTGCAATCAAGGGTAATTATGCAATAGTCTCATCATTTTTACCTGAAATAGAAATTTGGAATTTAGATGTAGTTAATGTATTGGAACCATCTTTAGTTTTAGGAGGAGAGATTGAATAGAATTATAAGAAAGTTAAAAACTTAAAGAAATAGAGTAAGAAATCTTATAAACCTGACAGTCATACTGATTCAGTTTTGAGTTTGTCTTTGAATTCATTTAAGCCAAACATTTTATTATCAGGATCAGCAGATCATACAGTTAAAATATGGGATTTAATGCTTTAGAAATGTGTGTTTACTTACAATCATCATAAAGATAAAGTTTAAATCTCTAAATTCAATACAAAAGAGGAAAGTGTAATATTATCAGGAGGTGAAGATGGAAAACTTTGTTTATTTGATGCCAGATCACCAGATTCAATTCATTAACATAAAATGTTAGGATCTTTGGAAAGTGCTTGTTGGGATCCAATTAAAGGATATTAAATAGCATATTCTACTGAAGATGGAAATTTAATATTATTAGATGCTAGAAAAATAGGTGAATAACCATTAGCTAATTTTAATGTAAATAAAAAGGCACTCAGTAGTGTACATATGAGTTCAGGAGTTCCAGGTTTATTGGCTACTACTTGTTTAGATGGAAAGATTAGAGTTTTTGATACAGATGCTCCTATAAAGAATGGTTAATTATAATTGATAAGTTCATATAATCCAAAATTAGTAAGAAATTAAATAATAAATTTAGGAATCACTTTATTGTGGTTAATTCTATTAAGATTCTCCATGGACTTATGGATGTGGATCAAGTTAAGGTGAATTATTTGTTTGGGATATGCAAGAAAGTTAATAGATTGTTAATCACTTTAGTAATAGAGTGGCTCCAGAATAAAGACCTAAAGTTGAAGATGTATATTATATTATTAATTTAATAGTGCACTTCAAAAAATACAGATGATCTATGTATGAAGGAAAGAGAAGAAATATAAAAGATGGAATAAGAAGATAAAGAGGATATAGAAGAAGNGGATTTGAGTGATGAAGAAAAAGAAGATTATCAAATCAAATCTTCAGATGCTTTGATTATAGCTGCCAAGATCGTATTAAATAAATAAATGCTAAATTTTAGGAAAATGAGTTTTCATCATTAGAAGTGTATATCTATGAAGAAGAGAAGGCCAATTTATTTGTGCATCATGAGATATAATTATCAGCATTCCCTTTAGCAGTAGAATGGTTACCAATATAACCAGGTTAAATTGAGAGTACATCTGCAATCAAGGGTAATTATGCAATAGTCTCATCATTTTTACCTGAAATAGAAATTTGGAATTTAGATGTAGTTAATGTATTGGAACCATCTTTAGTTTTAGGAGGAGAGATTGAATAGAATTATAAGAAAGTTAAAAACTTAAAGAAATAGAGTAAGAAATCTTATAAACCTGACAGTCATACAGATTCAGTTTTGAGTTTGTCTTTGAATTCATTTAAGCCAAACATTTTATTATCAGGATCAGCAGATCATACAGTTAAAATATGGGATTTAATGCTTTAGAAATGTGTGTTTACTTACAATCATCATAAAGATAAAGTTTAAATCTCTAAATTCAATACAAAAGAGGAAAGTGTAATATTATCAGGAGGTGAAGATGGAAAACTTTGTTTATTTGATGCCAGATCACCAGATTCAATTCATTAACATAAAATGTTAGGATCTTTGGAAAGTGCTTGTTGGGATCCAATTAAAGGATATTAAATAGCATATTCTACTGAAGATGGAAATTTAATATTATTAGATGCTAGAAAAATAGGTGAATAACCATTAGCTAATTTTAATGTAAATAAAAAGGCACTCAGTAGTGTACATATGAGTTCAGGAGTTCCAGGTTTATTGGCTACTACTTGTTTAGATGGAAAGATTAGAGTTTTTGATACAGATGCTCCTATAAAGAATGGTTAATTATAATTGATAAGTTCATATAATCCAAAATTAGTAAGAAATTAAATAATAAATTTAGGAATCACTTTATTGTGGTTAATTCTATTAAGATTCTCCATGGACTTATGGATGTGGATCAAGTTAAGGTGAATTATTTGTTTGGGATATGCAAGAAAGTTAATAGATTGTTAATCACTTTAGTAATAGAGTGGCTCCAGAATAAAGACCTAAAGTTGAAGATGTATATTATATTATTAATTTAATAGTGCACTTCAAAAAATACAGATGATCTATGTATGAAGGAAAGAGAAGAAATATAAAAGATGGAATAAGAAGATAAAGAGGATATAGAAGAAGGTGGATTATAAGAGGAGGAAGATAATTGATTGTTTATTAATATATGTTGTATTTTAGATACTGTATTGCAATAGTTTTTCAATCTTATTATCCATTATTTTATTATTATTAATGAGTCTATTCATTCAATTCTGGTTCTTTCATCAATCTTACTATATTTTTTACACAAGTTCCAACTACTTTACCATCAGCTGTAGTATCTCTATATAATAATATAGTCAAATTATCTATTGTTGCTCCATAAACTGTTGAAAACATTACAGATATCTAAATTTATTTTTATCAATATTTACAAAATATGAAAAAATGAATGAAATTAAAAGGAAATAAACTGGTTAATGAATTCCTATAGTTGTACTTGTAGTAATAATTAATATGTATGTTAATGATACACATAAATTAGCAACAGCAAAACAATAAGTAACTGATAATTATTCTCCATGATATTGAACTTTAGTTGTTTCTTTCAATTTTTAATCAAAAACATATTAAGATTTAGCACTCATTAAGAATTCATCATTTCTTAAATAAGCCAATAAATAGGCTCTTTCATTTATACACAATATCTATGATAATTTAGATGGAATTTCAAAATTAGCATCCCTCTTCTATCTAATCCACACATAAATCCTTATGAATAATCTTGGAATCATCAATAAAAAGATAAGTGCTTCACCAAAAACTACTGAGCCAAAATTATTAAAAGCATAAATTTCAAAAATATCCATTAATGATAATTCTGAATCACGAGAATCTATTTTCTATCTTTAAATTCCCATACGTTTATACACTTCAATTACTTTTCCTATTAATAGTATCTATTCACTTCCTAATATAGCTAATGTCACTATTATCAATTCAAAAATATGAATAGATCCCATAATGAATGTTGTCCAACTCAATTAAAATGTATTAAAGGCATAATATCCTTATTCTGCCTTTCCTATTGAAAATAGATTACTATTAAAATATAATTAATTTATATTACGTTGCCATCCAAACCCAAAATCCACAGAAAATTAATAAAAAACCTGCACTGCCCATTAATAATATCAAAATTTCTCTAAATCTAGATGGTTGATCCTCTTATTGTTATATTCCAGAAGATGAAAAGTCAAAAAAATAATTAACAATTTAAATCTTTATTCCAATTGTCTTATATGTCTTACGATTTAATATTAAATCTATTAAAAAATAAACACCACATAAAAGGAAAAAGATACTAGAAATTAAAATAATAGTTATATTTGATTCTTCTACTTAAATAATACCTATTGCCTATTCTCCTGTCAATTTAGTACCATTAGCTAGATCAGTATATTAAGATTATTTTAAATAATAAATTAGACCTAATAAACCTGATAAAAATAGACCAAATATTGATGTGATTGAAATCACCCATATAGCAGTCTGTTATAATTTGATCATCAAGAAATAGAATAATTAACTAAATTAATTATTAAATCAAATCTTACTTTAATAATAAACAAAGTGTCAGAGTTGCAAATATCATAATCTTTCCATTACTAATATCTGATAAAAAGCTGATAATTCCAGATTATTCTAATCCTTCTTGAATGTTATTGAAATAACTAATTTTTTTAGGAAGACAAATATCAATGAATGGTACAGAATCATAATATAACATTGTATAAGTTGGATCATCAATAGATGGTCTATTTCTGCACGAATTGATTACTTAATTTGGGTAACATTCTAATTCCAGCGATTCTAAAGTATTAATAAAAAATAGAACCATCTGATTCATTATCTACATTTAAAACTGGACATTCCTAAACACAAACTGTTCTTTCTAAATGTTTTGAATCCGTTGGATTTGTAAAGTATATATATTTATATGATTCCAACCCTACATGCACTCCACATACATTCTCTAAAAACTTATAAAAACTATTAATATACAATTTGTATCATATGGTTTCCCTAATTAATCAGGATTCCCAAATCCAAAACTGATTATCGCAATCAAATAAACTAATCCTTAAAACAATAGAAAATATAGTCCATATTTCTTATCTTACAATTCTTTATGAGCCTTGTGTTCTTCTTCAGCTTCCTTCAAATCTTACTTTATATAAGAACCAGGGTAGTTGTTTTATTTTGACAAGATTGTTTAATCCATTATTCAAAATAATATATTATTTATATTATTATTCGTTAACAAAATCAATAATCACTAAAACATGCCCAAAAATAATTAATATTATTAAATCAAGTAAAATAATACTATTTATCAATAAAACAAAATAATTGATTGATATTTATTTTTTAGATTGGAAACTTATTTCAACATTTTGATATTTTACATTGAAAATAATATCAATTAGATATTGATTTACAAACCAACTAAAATGATAAACAAGTATTTTAAATTCAATAAATAATTGATTAGGAATTTCTAATAATAATTATTTATCTTAAGAGCTATTAATTGAATTATCATAATTTTTATTAAATAAATTCTAACCAAAACAAAATGTAATTTGATAAGATATTTTTATTAAGTTTCTGGATTGGTTTGAAATAGAAATCTCTGAAATTAAAACTAATATTTTTGGAATTGAAATTGATAGGAATAAACAATCTTTATTTTAATATGTAAATAAAAATGATATTATTATTATTAATCATAACTCATTGTGATACTCTATATATACAATTATTATTATTAATATAATTTGTAATATAAATTTAAAATATTGATCAATAGAATATATTTGTTATGATATAAAAATATAATCATCCTCTAAGTTTTTTATCTTCTGATAATTATTTAAAAACCCCAAATAAAATTAAACATCCTCCAATAAAACCATTTAAACTTAATATTTTTCTAAAGAGTACATAATCTATAATAATCACATATAATGTTTAAGAATATGTATAATTACATATCTTATCATATGTAACCATTGTTTAGGCTCTAAATTAAAGCATTTATCCAAAAAGAGTAAATACTGCAAATCCCAATATATAAAACCAGTATCCTGTAAAATATTCAAATCTACCAATGTATTATTGCCATAGACTTGAACTTATGATGATCATAATATGGAAATATGAAGTTACAATTGTTGCTGATACTTCAGATCCTATTTATTTCATTGTTATATAAGAAAATGATTAGACTATACTACAAAGCAATATACTAAAGCATCCAATTATATGCATAAAAGGATCCTCAGTACTAAGTGTAGGATTTGACACTAAACCTATTCCTACAATACAAATTATTGAGTTTATTAATCTTGACTTAGTTATATGTTCTCTTTTCATACAACTAACAATTAATTAACTCCAAATTGAATTTGTGGAAAATAAGATTGCTGCTTCAGATAAAGAAATAAAACTTAATCCAAAAAAGTATATAGAGGATCCAATAGCTCCTAGAAGCTATGATTTTATTAAATACTGTGTTTTACCCTTAGGATAATAATTCTGTTATTACTGAAATAGAAAAATAAGAATTAAGGAGGAAATTGATCTAATAAATAAACTCTATGGAACTATGTCGAAATGACCATATTTAAAAAATGTAATTTACACAGCATGAAAAAAATAAGCAACTAGCATGTAAATAATAGCAGCTCTTAAAGTATTTTTATCTTCCATTTCTTTTAAGTATCTAGAGATTTTGGATATGAACATAGTTTGATAAATTAAAAAATATTCTTTTATAAATCATTTCAATTCTCTATAATAAATATATTTTACCGGAAACGTGTAATTAAATATCTACATACAAAAAAATATAAAAATTCAATAATTTCCTAATTCTTAACTCAAGTGTTAATATTTTATTTTTGAAGTACTATAATTGAATAAATAATAATTAATTCAGTTATTAAAATAAACCTATTAATTTAATTTTCAATAATTATTATCTTATTACAAGAAATATATATAGATAATATTTCCCTAATTTATAAGAATATTAATTATTTTACTCAATTCATAAATAAACTTAAATATTAAATAATCTTTTAGTTTTAACAGAAGTTTTATTTTTATTTATTAAAAATTTAATTATCCAATTTAATTGATTTTTTATTTCTTTCTATATATATATATATATGACTTCCACCAAATATTAAGCTAGTACTTTTCTTAATTATTCCACCACTATAAATCTTTATCATAATATATTTAAATTCATTTTAGACATGACACTACTACCGTTTGCTTGCTAGATCTTATAATTTATGTGATTGATTTTTGTGTTATTAAAATAATTTTGATTCTTTAAATTTCTTATTATTTTTTAAAGATGAGAGATATGTTATTAGACAAAGCTAATAATAAATATTTTAGAATATAAAAACATTTATGAAATATATAAGATAAAAATATATCTTTATTAATATATATAAGGTTCTGTCTTAAATACAATTATTATAATGATTTTGTAACAGCAAATATATATAATAATTTAAGATAGTTTATTGTATTTTTAATAATAAAGGAACCAATGCCATTCATAATTCGAAATCATATATTGGAACATTAAGATTTGAATATTTTAGCTTCTTAAATTAAAGACTTTAAAATTCAGGAACATTCATAAATGATTCCAATCTAGAATATAGATAGTATAAATTACTTTTCTTTCAGATAAGTATAAATTTAAAATCTACTAAATTCAATAGCCCTTTCATCATTTACTATCACTTATTCTTAAAAGGCATATTAGAATAAACAGTCTACAACTTATCTTTCCCCTTCCTGAATCAATGGTTACTCTCCATCATAAATATCAATTGTTTTAGGATCAAAATCCCATTTTCCAACAGGTTTAGCAGGCTCAATGGATTCTTATTATAGTTCTGTGGTCTATTATTATGATGCTTATTATGGATCTGGATTAACTTGATCTTATTATTACTCTGGTTATTCTTCAACAAAATAAGGAACAAGTAGATTGACTACTGCAGTAACATTCTCAAGTTATTATTGTGGTTATTTGAATATGAGATTAATTTTCTTTTTTGCTTCAACCATATCTAAATCATGTTATGTAATTTCAGGTTTTTGATATTCATCTTCTATTGGTTGTTATTCAATTTATTCTGTTTATTATTATTACTATTAATCTTCTGTTTATTAAGGAGGTGGTGGTTAATCATTTTATTATTATTATTATTAATCAGCTTCTTCTGTTTTAATTTTAACTTCTGTTTTTGCTTTAGGTTCTTTATAATTTACAGATTTAAAATAAATATCAAAGAAACCATCCAATAATTTATTTAATATAATTTTTCTAATATTAGGAACATATTATTATGAAACATAAGATACCCAAAATGGTGTTTAATTTTTAATTTAATCTATAGTACCTTATTTAGAATTCTTCTCAAAAATGTATAAATCTTCTTCCATCTTTGCAAATGCTTCTTAAATAATTTATTAAAGGGATTAATTCACAGTAATATTAAATGTATTACACTTATTCATTAAGATATCCATCCATATAGTTTAAATAATTGATTCATCTATTTAATCCAATTAATCTCCAGTAATTAAATCTAATCCTTCTGCTATTAAAAGAAATAGATCTAAATGTAAAACTACTCCCTTTTATCCTACTTCTGTTGTACCTTCCTAAATATTAGCTTAAAATATTGAATTAAGAGACTCTGCTTTTGAGAGTGTAAGATTATAAAATGCTCCTCTTTATATTTCTCTTTTTTCTTTTAATGCTCTTCTTCTTTTGATTTCAGCTTTTCTCTTTTTACGTTCTTCAATTTCAATTCTAATTCTTTCCCTCTCATCTAAGATAGCTCTTCTTCTTTATTATTCTTACTAATAAAAACTTGAATGTTATTATGTGATTGGTATTTAGACTTCATTTAAAAGATTATTGAAATTATCTAAACAATTTTAATTGTTTTCACAATTTTATTTTATTCTCTGAATTAACCATGGCAATGAATGAACCTTTAATTCCAATAAATAATCATTTTTTAATAATCCCAAATTTTCAAGATCCTTAAGAATTCTATAATTCACTCCCTTCACTACATTTTTAGATAGTGTTCTTGCAATAAATTTTTATTATGACAGTTTCATCTAATCCTAATATAATTTGTGTTACAAGACTCTTCTTTCCTAAGTTAATTATCATTATAATTATATACTCTTTCTTCTTTTCTTCTAACATAGGCTGCTTCCATTCTCTAAGTTACCATTAATTCAGCATTTCTTTTTTTTTCAAAGGCAGCTTTCTATATTTATAACTCTTCCCTTTCTAATTCTTCAATCAATTCCATCCTTGCCTATTCCACAGATTTGCCCACTAAAACTTATAAAACAGGCTCCACCTCTAAAATGTAATCAAACAAATCAGGTTCATATGATTCAATCTGTGTTTCCACATCTATTCCCTTAGGTAATGGCTTATATTCAGGAGTTGGCTTGACTATTAAGTTACACATACAGGTCGATCAATATAATAATCTGGTTTTATCTTTGATTCATCATCAGGAAGGTCTGTTAGATCTTCATATATATCTTAATCTCTGTATTTTGGGTGAGATACTTATGGCTCAGCTTCAAACTAATAAACATTGGCTTATGCTTGCATATTATTTAAATTAATAACTGATGCATATATATTATCATAAACAATCATTCCCTCTATTACTACTTTTAGACTTCCTACTTAAAGATTAATCAACATTACTCAATCCTTTCATATTTCACAAATATATTATAATCAAAAATCCCATACCTTAAAATATTATAATTAATTTTTATCAAAACCAAATATTGTCTTTCATTTTTTTACTTTCTCTTCACTTTTTCAGTAGAATTTAAAAGAGAAATGATAAATTAAAATCTCATTTATAAAATCTATATTCAATTTGTTTTCTATAACACTTTATTTTTTCATCCTATTATAACAATTTACTTTGTGATTTCTTGTTATTTAATTATATGTTTAATTGAAATTTAATAATAATAATATACTTAGAATTTTATTATCATAACTAATTTAATTCATTATTATATTTAAGAGTATTATAATAAATAGATTTTGATAATATTTGTAATTTATAATAGATTGAATGATATTATAAATGTAGTAAGTTTATTTGATATTTCAATAATTATTATTATAGTTTAAATATTATTATGGACCCTCCTTAATCTAGAAGACCTCCAATATTTGGTCCTCCGAGATAAAATAGATTTGAAACAAAGTGTAAATATTGCAAAAAATGTATTATTGAGAAAATTTTAAAGAATAGGATCCATAACTCCTTTAATGGCATGAAACTTAGTGTTAAAAGTAGTAATAAGGTCCTCTTACTTAATTTGTTAATGTTGGAACCTAATTCATTAGAGGATTTAGTTAAGGTGTTTAAAGAAATGTAGAAAGATTAGGAAATGCTATCTCCAATGAGTTTACTTAAATTGAAAGGATTTTCAATAATCGACCAAATCCAGTAACGATAGATGTTTACTAAGAATAATTTAATAGATTATATTAAGATTAAAGAGATAGATAAAGTATAGACTAACCTAAAAGTGAGCCTAACTTTATCGAATATAATTTTATAAATAAACGTAATTTAACTCCATCTGCTAAGATGTGTTGTATTTGTTAAGATGAATATATTGATAATGAGAAAATACTGATTCTATAATGTATGCATAGATATCATAAATAATGTCTAAGTGACTGGATTAAGAAAAAGCCAACTTGTCCAATTTGTAAAATGAATATATATCAATAATATTAACAATGAAATTAATATTTTTGTTCCTCTTAGCTAGTTGTTTAGTATTGGCTTAAGATAATATTAATACAAGTGGAGATGAAGCATTAGAAAATATAAAGAAATTAGAAGAGTAAGAATCAGAGGCAATAAATTCAACTCAGGATTTGAATCCATAAGAAAATACTAATGAAATAAATAAAAAAGAAGAAGAGATAGAATCTATAGATAGTGAAGAATTGGCAGATATTATTGAAGAGGCAGAAGAAAATATGTTTGAATTACTTGAAGCATTAAGACCATTATTTGGGGTAAATAATGCAATAAAATATATATTAGCTTAGATTTGGTGATTAAGATAGAGATAGTGATGGATAAGTAATTGATGATCAATCAGATTCAGAGAGTAATGATGATACACAAGAGAAACCTGCAATTTTAGTAGATCCTGTTGAGGATTTATTAAAAAAAGTTGATTAAGATCCTTTAATGCTTTAATGGGATTAATTAATGAATGATTTTGATCCTGAAGATTTACTTACATTTGAATTATAATCTGGAGCAACAGAAGTATAAATATATTAATAACTAATTATAGATTCTATGTGAAACAATTAAGAAGCCAACTACTATAAGAGGAGCATATTTTATTCCTTAATTTAGATTAGATTAGAAGATTGATTTCTATATTAAGACATCTAATAATACTTTATTGTATTCTAAAGAAAGAGTTCAAGAAGGAATCTTTAAAATAGATATTCCAGAAAAAGGAGAATATAAATTCATCTTTACAAATAAAAGAGTATTCTTTATTTTATTATTTTAGACTAAAGAACCATTAACAATAACTTTTGCAATTGATGTTCATGATTCTCATTAAGAATTCCTTAAATTAGGTGATTTGGATCCATTAGCTTTGAGAATAGAAAGATTATCAACAGCAATGAGAGTAAATTAAATTAATATTATTAAGGATAATTATTTTTATGATAAGATGGCTGCTTAATAATTTGAAGGAGGATTGAGAGAGGTTTAAAATGCTAATAATAAATTGTTGATATTCAGTTTGATAGAAGTCATAGGTATAATTGCTATTACAGGATGGTAAGTCTTTTATCTTAAAAGAATTTTGAGTAATTAGAGAATTATATGATTATATAATTGTTGTATTGAAACTTTTAAATATATATATATATATATTATTAATTGATCATTTTAATAATCAATTCTAATCTTTTTTAATAGATTACATTTTTTGATAATTGTTAATTTATTTATCTACATTATAATGAGGAAAATAATCATCATATGAATTGAATTTCTCAAATAATTCTAAAAAATTATTCTCTATAGATATTCTTCTATTATAATTATCTAATTATTCAATCTTATTTGTAACCATTGTTTAATTCTTTCTTTAATCTCTATTTTTAATTTCCGATTAAATATCAGTTTGATATCTTTACAATTACTATACATCATCCATTTTTAATCTATTTTAATTGAGTCTTTTCTTAGTTTATAATACACTATCTTAAACTCTTTACAAAGGATGATTATTATTAAATAAAGATCCTTATTAATCTTCTGTATAATCAAGTTTTTAAAATTTGGATTATCCTATTGGTTCTTTAATTTCATTAATAAAGATTTTTCTACTGCTAATACTGCTACTCACTCCTTATGAAGATATAAAATTATCAGAATCCATTCTCTTTGATTATAAAGTTTAACCACTATGTGAATAATTTATGTATGGAACTGAACTTAATTCCAATTAATTTATGAAATTGTTATTGTTTTAACTTTGTAAAGAATTAGAAGATGGTAATACTTTTTAATATGATTCAACTTTATCATATTCTTCAGAATTTTAAGATTCGGAAGGATCCTATATTCGGATTTTGGGTTAAGCAATATACTTTCTCTTTTTTACGCGTACTTACTAATTAAATAATAAAAGATAGTTACTCTTCTAAAATCAATAACTCTATTTTAATCTTTATTTATGATATAATTATTAATAACTTAGGTTTTATTTGGCTTATAATTCACAACTGGACATTCAGTTATATCATGTTATTTAAAACAACTAAAACATTAAATATTTATCAAATGATATTGATTTTCAATTAAAAGTGTATCAATAAGCATTCTATATTTTTAGAATTCTTAAGGACATTATCTAATTAATTACTAAAATTGATTTTAATCTAAACTAGCTATTTTAGAATATCCAATACTTTAAAATTCTATTCCTTATAATTAATTCTTAAAAAAAGCGATATTATTAAAAATCTAAAATGTATTTGAAATTTTAGTTAATTTGAATTCTTTTTAAGACAATTAACATTTTTAAACAATTCCAATTTATCCTTCTAATAGAAAATGTAGACATTATTTTTACTTAATTACTTTATTAGGTTTTAAAATATCTTCCTCTATAATATCACATATATTTAAAATAGTTTAATTAGAAAATGATTAATTAAAGATTGGAATACTCTATAATATTTTGAAGTATTTTTCTCTTTTCATTTGTTATTATAAATGTAATGGTAAAGATCTCATATCAAATTTGACAACTCTATTTTTTTATTAATAATTGATTATATTCTTTAAAGTCTTTGGAGTATAATTGATATATGAATCTAATGGAATAGTTTAATAATTTATTATCTACTTAATTTTGTACACATAGAATATCAATAAGAGAGTTCTAATCAAATATATAATAAAATAATAACGTTTTATTATATTAGGATTCTAAAATAACACAGCAAAAATATTTTGAATGTAATTAATATAGTCTTATTGTTATTCTGCAAACATATATACCAATGTTTAAGCAATCAATGTACTAAAATGAATTTATATTGAAATTTAAATAACAAAAAGCTAATCATATTAATTTATATAACAATTCAAATTTTACATGTAATCAATTATTTTATATATTCTTATTAAATAAAACATATAGAATATTTTCTAGTATTCTCCTAAATCTAATAAATATGCAAAAAATGGTAATATTGTTATTACATCTGCAAACATATTAGCGATACAAAATTTATTAATTAAAATTTGATAAGCACAATCAAGTAATTAAAAAATAACCATTAAATAATGGAAAATATTATAATTACAAATTGTTAATTAATTACATCCCAATTCTATTAATAATATAGTGAAATAGAAGATTAAAAAGCAAATATACACACTGTAGATCACTTATTTTATGATAGAATCTTATTGTATTTGATTTAGAATTTATCGTTTTAAAGGTATGATATATACTGAAGATAAGTCATGGATGATTTTAAATTGCTATTTAGTTAATATTTGTTTTGAAATTAGGTTTGATTTTGAGAAATACAATAATCTTAATGATGGATGAAGGATATTTGATTTATTGAAATTAGATTTGTGATATAGTTATTCATAATCATTTGATTTTCTTATCACACTTAATTATTGTGAGTCCTCTTTATTACTTGGTTCTTCATTAATTAAAAGCAAATCTTTTTGATTATTAGAAGTTATTCTATCAGATGCTAATTATAAACTAATCTAAGTTAATGTAGGTGATTTTGGATGAGTAATTTTAAATTAATGACTGTCACTTTATAGTTTATGACTTTCTTAAGATGGATTACGTACTCTCATTTATTAAGAATTAATTTGAGTCATGATTTAAATGATTGGCTTTCGAAATGAGTCTTCATTTGGAGGAGTTGTGGTTGAATTTTAAATCATTAATTATTTTATTGAATCATATTTATCCTTCTGTTTATTCAAGAAATTCTTAAATTAGTTTGACAATACTTCTTAAACAACATTCATATTCATATTCTTTAATTAAATGCGATAATCATATATCTCTTAACTCTTAATTAAAGTTTATAAAAGAAAGTGTTCAGCAACAATTTAATAATATATTATTAATACTATGTTTATAAAGAAACCTTAGTTGTCATCTTTTGTTTATAAATACTATATAAGATCTAATATTTTATATGAGTCTTACCAGATATATACTATAATTATATATGGAAAATTCAGTAAATTCAAATGATATATTATTTTAGATGTATACCTAAGTAGGGAATATTCAATAATTTAAATTTTACAATTTTTACTATAAGAAAACATTTTATTAAAGAACTGTTTTAAAAATTTGTAATATTATAAGTATTATCAAACTTTAATATTTTGAATCAAAATTAATATATTTATACTAATATTAAAAGATGAGCATTTAGAAATATTTCTATAAATTATTAATAAGTTTTTTAAATAGTTTATTTTAAACAAATAAAATATTTATTATAGAGATCCATTATTTTAGAATTACTTATTATATTAAAAATGGATATAAGAATTAATACTATATTATTATATTATCTGGTATTCGACGCCGATGTAACCATAAATTGAATTACATCGGGCTTTTTGAATCCATATTTATTTAGCACCTGTGAGAAATTATTTGATTGATCAAACAAACTCAAATATCAGCAACAAGTGCAATAATAATTGTAATGTTTTATTCGATTCTTTCATCTCAACAAGCAATCAAACTGCTGGCTAAGACACATAGAATCTTATAGTTTTGGTTTATCTGTGAAGTACGTGAGATGTATCATAACAATGTTCACGTTTGTAACACTTAAAACCTTAAATTAATTATTTTAATTAATAAAATAATATCTAATTTATTTGGTTATAAATGAAAGGGTATCAATCCAATTGTATTAAATATCATAATTAACTAATTCATATAAAAATTGAATTGAATACAATATTATTTACTCTCAAAAAATCCTTTTTTTAAAAAATTTATTATATTATTATCCAAATGTTTGTGTTTTCTCATATCTCTTTTCTTCCAAACTCTCATTTGGATTAGCTCTTTATCCTTCTGATGATCTCATAAGTCTAGAAGAAATGCCTCTTCCTGGGGATTTTGATTATGGTCTTTAATAACTTTTAGTGGTAGGCCTTTCAATAGAACTTGTGTTAGTAATATTGGATGTATTTTAGTAAAAGTTCAATTTAGATTTAGCATATTATTAATTGTTTTGACTCAAATAATATGGAGATTTGTAAGTAGATGATACTTGAGTATATTATTAAATTTTAGATAGTTATGCTTTTTCAATAAAAGTTGTATTATTGATACCTTTGACACTTGTCTTTCTAGAACTGACCGTCTGTTTTCTACAAGATGAAGGATTTGATAGGATTTCTTTGTCTTAAGTTAAAAATGTCTGCTTTCTCATTTGTAGATGACATTAACAGGCACAACCAGTTGAACAATTTTGCTAGATTTTTAATAAATCACAAATTTCTCCCATGACAGCACTAATATAAGGTTCATTATATTTTTAATGTTCCATTTGATTCAATTTCATAAGAGTCTTTATAATATAAAATTATTACTTCTTCAACAACTCTTTTGAATTATTATTCATCTGCTTATTCATTCTTATAGAACTTAATTATTCTGCGTTATAAAATTTTGAGTAAAGAAGTAATCAATTTGTTATATTAACCTTCCAGTTATCTAGTTGCAAATCCTGAATAGACAGACATTAAACAAAAAATGAAAAAAAATTACAATATTTTATTATATTTCACTTTTATTTTTAAATGTTTCCTTTATTCTTCAGTAACAATTGAATAGTCTCAAACTTAAATGGAAAACCTATAATTTATATATTGAGTACATGGTTACTATTATTCTGTATTAGTTCTAGGTCGATTTTATGGAGTTTTATTTAAATGTAATTACTATTATTTTAGTTTTTAAGAATTGATATAAGATGAATCAGGAGATCTATTGTTTACTCTATAACTAATGGGAGTATGTGAATTTTATTTATCAATTCCATTCTATCTCTCAGTTCTACAGACATCAGAAAGTAAGGATTTTAATTAACCACTGTTATTTGTAGGACTTTATTATTAAATAGGATTTGATCTGAAATTAGGATTATTCTTATGAGGCTACAATTAAATAGTCATGGTACTATTAATGAAATCTTAAGTTAAATTGATATTGCTATTACTAGTATTACAAGGATTAGAGTATTTCTTAAGATACATACTAAAATCTAATTATCCTTAATTTATATGGTTATTTTATTAATTAGAAGGTGAGTAATCAGATCCTCTTTTCTAATTAATCATTTATTCAATCAAATCAGCTTAATTTTTAATTATATTTTTAATTTTAGATTACTATTATGTTTTTGGTGGAGATCTAGAATTCAAAAATTTAGTAATAAAATTATTAGTTAATTTAGGAGATTAATCTTATTTAATAATATTTTTATTATCATTATTAATTTGAATCTATAATATTTAATTTTATTTTTAAGTTTAAATACATTCTTGATTAATTATACTTTATTTTTCAGAAATATTAGATAATATAGATTCTTCTTTTATTATATCTAAATTAATATTATAATGTTTATGATAACTAGTAATTAGATGACTGATATAGGGAGATTAAGTTGTTATATGACGACAAGCTATTTCAATAGATTTTAAGTGATATAACTCACTTAATTTAAATTCTTCAGTATCTATTTTATCTTCTTTCAAACCCATTTATTTAGCTTTTTCTAATTCTACAAATCTTAATTCAGTAGCTATAGTAAAGTATGAAATAGAAAAATAGATTACTTTTTCTAAGATTTATCTTTTTGCTAATTCATAAATCATTTCACCAAATTGTGTAAAATCATCATAAATTTAAGGTGCCATATGCATTATAGATCCAATATTAAAATTTTTAATCCATTCTGCTATATTTTGAATTCCTAATAATGATCGATATTCTTCATTCTAAGATACTAATTTCAATTCTTTTCTTAAATGTTTTTCATTATTTTCTGGATTATTTCTCCAATAATATAATTACTTTTTAGCCTCTTTTAATAATTATTTCTCATTTATAGGAATTTTTTCAAGATCAACTTATTTTATCATATCCTTTAATATATCTTATGCTCCATCAATTACTAATCTACTAAATTCAATTTCATCCTTCATCCTATACTTTTGGCCTCTCTTCTATTTATGTTAATCTAATTATTATTATTCTTATTGATTGCTTCTAACTGAAATATTTGATTAAGAAGTAGTGGCAGTCCCTGAAGATCCATTACTCTGCAACCATTATTAACAGAATTAATTCGCTATCTTAAACAACTCTCTCATAATCGAGGCTGCTTTTTATGAATTGATAAGTGCTTTATTATGCCTATCAATTATTCTTTTTCAATTACTTTCCCATTTGGCTTAAAATTGCTGTATATTGTAAATAAGCTTTGGCTAAAAATGTTTATCTCTTCACTAATTATGCTTATTTTTCTTATACACTAGCAAAATTCTCTAAATCTTATTCATCCTCTTTAATTGCTAATTCCATATTATAGATAACACTATCTAAATATTTAGAACATTTATCTAAAACCCATTAACTTATAATAAAAACATTCTTTTTACCATTAATAAGCACAAGCTTAATTATATAATATTATTATAATAAGGTTCCTGTCAATGACTTTACCACAACTTGCAGCAAACTATATATATATTAAAATCTATCATACTTCTAACATCTATTCAGATTATTATAATAATTTTAAAGCCTCCTTGTATTTCTATTATTTTATTTTAACAATTGCCTATTCATTCAATTAATTGATCTGTTACATAAAAGAATCTAAAAATTATTGAGTTTTTTTGAAATACCTGAGTTCTTTAATAACTATTTTAGGTTTTATTGCTGAGTATATTATTCTAAATCTTCATCCTCTTCCTATTCATATGATTGATCCTCTAGTACTTATTCTTCCATTAAGTTATTTGAAATTGTTTGTTAATTATTCATTTTATAAAATAATAATGGTCTAAAGTAGGTGATTTATTATTTTAAAATAATATAACATTGTACAATGCAATCACCTTTTAGATTGTATTCAGCATAAAAAACCTTTACTTGTAGAAATATGGATACTAAAACCTCTTTTTTCATTTCCAAAAGTATGTTCATTACTTAATATAAGAAACCAAATAATCAAAAAAATAACAAGAAATTGATAATCTAAATGAATAATTATTATAAGTAAAGCAATCCAATAATCAACTATTAGAAGAGAATAAATAATTAAAATAGCAAATATTGCATATAGAAGTTTTAATATATTCTTATATAGAAATAATTAAATAAATAAGAAAAGTTACTCATTTTGAATAAACAAAATAAAGCTGAATCTAAATAGAATGAATTAGATTAATAAATAAGAATGAAAACAGAAGAAGTATAATAAGTTCTTAATCAAGACATGTTCCATAATTGCATATTAAAAATAAATCAAAGATTATAAAGCAAGAGAAATGTATAATTAATAGTAGATTGAAGAATTAAAAAGAGATACAAGAAGAACAAAACTTTAAGAATGTTAGGTTAAATATTATATCTATTCTTTAAGATAGAATGTAAAATTATTAAAGAAGAATATGATAAAATTAAATTTAAATATTAAGCATTAATTCATTAGATGTATATTTATTTATATTTACATTTATTTAGATAATTTAATCAAAAAGATTAATTATTGAAAGATAATATTAAAATTAGTTAAGAATTACTTATTTCTTAATAAAAGATTTTGGAATTAGAATTACACAATAAGAAAATTTAACAAGAATTACATCATTCTGATTTTAAAAGAATTTAAACAGAAAAGTTAGTTTTTGAAAAGGAAAGAGAGTTACAATTAATATAATTTGAATATAGCAATCCAAAAAAAACAATCAATGATTTAAATAAATAATGGTAAATCAGATTAGAAAACTAAAAATTAATCTATTAATAATTAGAAGAAGAAATGAGATTACGAAATGATAAAATCAATCTTTTAGAAAAAACATTAAAGGAAGACAAAACTGCTTATTAACTTAAAGAGGCTTATTATAAGAGAGAAATTGATAGTTTGAATATACAAATAGGATAATTAAAAGAAACTATATAACATATTGAAATATAGTAAATGGTTGAATAAAGTTCTGATGAATAAGAGTCTTAATCTGAAAAATCAGTAAAGTAAACTTCATAACCTTAATCAAAATAAAAAACTATAGTATTAAATAAAAAAAGGGTTTAAAAGGTTAGTTTAACTGAAGTAGAAACAATAGGGAAAGAAATAGCATTGAAATTCTAACTAGCTTAAATACCATTTTCAAGATTAGACTCTTATTTATATTCTAAATCCTCTAAAGGTATAATTAATCTAAGTGAAATCGATGAAATACTTAAACAATTTCCATTTGATTTATCTGATGATTAATCTTTATTGGTTGCAAGATTTCTTGCTGAACCAGAACAAGAAGAATGGATCTATTATGATAGTAATTAAACAAATGATGTTGTAATTGTTATTAGTATCTTTCGTAATCTGATTAAACCTTTTGAATTACTCAACCCTTAATGTTATGATACAATACATCAAGAATTAAAATAGATTTTCAAACTTAATAAGAATAAATTAATTGATTATCTTATGTTAAATGGTGATACTTGTGATCTAAATTACTTTAAGAAGGCATTTGAATATTGTGATATATCATTAACATTAGAGTAAATTTGTATTTAATTTTTAGATAAGAAACTTATATTTCTATAAGAATGTATGAAAAATATAGGAGAATTATTAATTTAAAATATTAAGAAATAATTGATTACTTCAAATGATAATAATTAAATTCAAAATATTAAACAATTTATACATGTTTCTGATGAACTTTCTTTTCTTTTACTCTTTATTTCTTCTTATTTTAATTAATTATGATATTTCCCTCTTTTTGTCTCATAATGATCATCATCTTCATCCATGTAATCTTAAGACACAGAAGTTAGATTTTATAAAGATTTAGTTCCTAAATATAATGATATATTTTAATTACTATTAATAATTTGACTTGAATCATTTTTTTATTTAATTATCTCACAAAGTTGATCACGATATTCATCTATTAAATTAATGATATCAGAATAAGATTAAATTTGTTATTGTATTTTAATAAAATTTGAATCATTTATTATATCACAGAATGATTAATACAATCTATTTAATCTTTCATTCTTAAATGATTTTAATTATTAAAACTATTATTATAGATTTTCCACTTCATTATGATAAATTTAATGTAATCTAAAAATGCAAATACCTTCAAACTCACTCCCATTATACATAACATCATTTATTTCACTAAGTTCTGTAATTTAATTAAGTTTCAGAATTATTTTCTTTTGTAAAGTAGTTACACTCCTACAATAAATATAATCAAATACAAAATGCTTTCCTGTTAAATAAGCATATGACTCTTTTTTAGCATCCATGATCCTTCAATCGTTGTAATGTCCAGAGCAATTTTAATATCCTACATTGTATTATTTATTTATTTAAGCTATTAATATTTATAGAGATTACCTCAAGAATTTTATAGCAATAGTTCTTTATAATCTTTTCATCTACGTTATTAAATTGTTGTTTTATGAGATTAATTTTTTCCTAAATTTACTCTAACTCAATATAATACATCTATTTAATCTTTAAGATTTGGATAAATTGGTCTAGATTCCTTTTTGAATACTTGAACTTTATCGAACAATTATTCAATGTCTTATTTTATTTTAAGAAGCATGAGTAATTTAATAATAATAAATTATCTTTCATTTTTAATTAAGCATAACTTTAATAATAATACGAATTAATTTCCTTATTTCATAATAAAACAATATCTTTTTTTAAAATTTTCGTATTATCATAAATAATTGAACTATAAATTATTCATATATTATCTATATTATTTATCTTCGATATCCATTCCATTTCCCTATTTCTTAATTAAAAAATTATCAATTAGTTTTTCTCACCTTTCTTAATATTTCTATTTAATCCTATTATCATCAACAATATTTATAATTCCTTATTCTTTTATTAAACTAAATAATTTTAAGTGAAACTAAAATAAATCAAAAGCATTTACACCAAAAAATTTACATTCTATCTTAACATAAAACTAAATGAATTCAGATTAATTTTTAGTTTTAATCTTAATTGGTGATCCTTTCAAATTTATTAAGATTTTTTTTAAATCATTTTAAATTATTTGTATTATAATAAAGTTTTTGTATTAGTTTGTTCTTAATATTTGTAGGAATTCTCTTTATGGTTCTTAATCTTTGCTATTAATTGATTTAAACATCATTAATCTAATGAATATCTTTATATTATTTTAACATCAAAATAAATAGAATTTTGAATATTTCAAATATTGATACAATTTGACTATTATTTACCAATCTATATGATATCTAAAGTATTTATTCAACATGATTTAAAATATTCATATTTAAAATTGTTTAATTTCAATCCCTTTTGAATAATTTTATTTTTATTTAAAATTTTAGATTATTGTATAAAATCAGCTACTATTATTCTAAGAGAAGTTTATTATTCAAATAAAAAAAGTGAGTAAAAATAATGGATATTTTTAATATTCTGAATATATGATAGATTTAGAAAAAATAAATCAAAATTATGTATCAATTATTTTAATCTTTATTTAAACTTTTTGTTTCTTTTTCTCCTAACTTAATTAATTATATTTCTAGTTTCTTTTTATTTACTTCAAATTCTTAATCATTTTTATCTATATTACTATAATCTTCATAAACTACTGATTCTCTAAAATAATATTTAATTGTATTTCTCTTAGAAAAATTTGAATAAATAAAATTCTATTCATTTTTAATTAAAATACATTATATGAAATTTATGTTTTATCATTAAAATTAATTAAATTTCAATTGTTTAATTGCTTTTCCTTATTTATCAACTAATTATTTGCCAATAATCTCATGATTTTCTTCATCCATCAAAAAATCATCATTAATATCTTTATGAATCTCTTCAATCATTCAATATTTTTTGAATTCCTTTTATTTAAATTAATTTTCATAATTCATTAAAGATTACATTCTTTTTGCTTTTATCAATTAATATTTCTTATTATTCTTTTGCATGTTTATTTATATTCTTACAAAATAATGAAATATATTTTTAATCTTTAGGATAGTATTTGACATAATTAATCTTCTCTTATATTTCTGATTCTACTTCCAATAAAGATTATCTTATTTCTGTAATTTCTAGTTCTTTATATATTTTCTCTAATTATCTTTTCAACTTTTTTAAATCTACTTATTTAATTTTCTTATATTTTCTTGCAAAATAATTAATTTTTTTCATTTTTTATTTGTATTCATTTTATTTTTAATTTATTTATTTTTATTTGGCTTCTAGATCTTATCATTTAATCAATTTTCCTTCTTCATTTAAATGACCCTTTTATTTATTAATTAATTATTATACCTTATCAACTAATCTTTGAAGATTTCTAATTTTTTTTTTAGTTTCTTACAATTTTCACCTTATTTTTGAAATGTTTTTTATCTTTTGATTTAATGAAATTTATTTAAAGGAAGTTCATTTCTTCTTTTAAATATTTTTTTATGAGTTTCCTTAAATTATTTTATATATAAATTAAAATCAACTTCTTTTAAAAAAATGATAATCAGATTACTATGAATATTAGCCTATATATGGTTTCATTATTATTTATGATTCATAGGGATCTGACATAAAAGAATTATAAAATAGATTTTTTGTAGCTTCAATTTAATCTGGAATTAATTTTGAAGAAAATCTAAAGATTGTACTATTTCAATACCTTAAATAATGTTTTAATTTTGGATTGTGATAAGTAGTGAATTTATTATAGGTTTTTAAAGAAAACTCTATTCCAACTTAATCAGAATAATAATTATAAAACTAAAGTTTATAATTAGGATTTGGTTTAGTATTCCAAATCATTAAAAATGTTTAATTTCTTTACTATTCTTCAGATTCTTAATTATTCTTTTCATCTGAATCCTCAATTTTAGGGTCTTGTGATTAAAATGAAAACATTTTAAATGGTTAATTAGCCATATATAGTATTTAATAAAATAAATAATAAATATGTCTACTCCAAGTTTTCTATCAATAAAAAATACCATAATAATTATTAATATATATATATATATAATGATATATAATTGATTGGATTAAATATTACAGAAATTATTATTAATTCCATATGAGTTGGAAAAAACTTCTTTCATTAAATCCAATTGAATTTATAGACTAATAATTAGCTATTTGCAAAGGAGAACTTCCAAAAGGTTTGAGAGGTTCATTGTATAGGAATACAGTATCAACAAAAAAGAGAAGAAATGGATATCCTGGACATTTATTTGATGGGGTTGTTTATTTAAATTATATCTATTAGGATGGAGTGGTATTGAAGATAGAATTTAAAGAAGGAAGAGCTATTGCTACCTATAAATTTGTATAAAGTGAAGGATTCATTAATGAATAATAAAGAGATGGTAGATATTTGTATTAATAATTAGAGTATATTTATGCTGGTTTGGGTAGAACTTATTCAGGAAATTTTTTGACTAAAATATTCAATTCTTTCTCATTTAAGAATCCTGCTAATACATCGGTATTACCTTTAAGAAATGGAGAACTTTTAGCTTTATGGGAAGGAGGATTACCAACAAATATAAAAAAAAATAATTTATCTACAATTGGATTAACTAATGGTAATAGTCTATAAAATTCTGATACATTTTCTGCTCATCCTAAAATAGATCCAAAATCAGGAATGATATATAATGTAGGATTAACTCATGGAATGAATTAAATGGTGAATGTTTATGAAATGAATTAAAGTGGTTAAATTTTGAGAAGAAATTCTACTTAAGTAAATGGAAGAAGATTTATGTTACATGATTTTATTTTAGCAGGTGATTATTTAATAGCAATTATGTATTCTTAATTTGTGACGGACTTTCATAAAATTCTATTAGGTAGAAAATCATTAGGATAAGATGTACTAAATGATGAATCTTAAGGAATACAAGTATTTGTATTTGATAAATCAAAAAATCTTTAATTAATTGCAAATAAGATTAATTATTTAAAATTTAATGTTTGGCATTATTCAAACGGCTATGTTGATTAAAGTGGTAATGTAGTGTCTTAAGCTATTACTTATCCTAATTATGAATTATATGAAAGCTTTTTCATTGAGAATCTACTTAAAAATGGACTAATAGATTCTAAATCTTCTTATGATCGATTGATAATAAATCCACTTACAGGAGAAATATTATAAAAATAACAAATATTAAATGACTATCTTGAATTTCCTGTTGTGCATGATGATGATGTTGGTTAGAAATAGAAATTCACATATGCAGTAATTTAATAAAGTATATTTATATATTAACTTATAAGAGAAGGATGATTGGTTTAATGGAATTATTAGAATTGATGAAGAAAATCCTTAAAATAGTTAAAGAAGATATTATTAATAAGAACAATATTTAACTGAAGCATTATTTGTATAAGATAAGAATAAATAAAAAGGAGAAGGATGGTTAATTTTTATAATCTTTGATGGAACTGTAGATAAATCATTTGTTGAAATAGTAGATGCATTATCCCTCTAATCTGTCTGTTTACTTTAACTACCTTAGTTAATTGCACCTAGCTTCCATGGTAGATTTGAATATGAACAATGATTAAAATGATATGGCAGCACATTCAATATAAATAAAATAATTAGAATTTCAAATTGTATAATTTATAATAATCTAAATATTCTTAGATGTGATAATGTTATTTGTTATTTAATCAAAATATCATTATGGAGTTTAAAATTAATTTATACAAATATATAAAATGTTTTTTAGTGTTCTAATTGATTAAATATTATTTTATTAAGTAAATGCATAATCATTAAAAAATATTATAACATTTTTAATTGATGTTTAATAACTTCTAAATTTATATTTGAAAAATACTTATTATCAATTACAAATAAATTAATTAATATAAATTATCATTATTGTTATTTTTTTTTGGTTTTTTGAAGTCTCAATTCTAATAAGCGTCCTATTGGTCCCAATTATTAATCAAGCTTTTAAGTAGACATCTTAAAGTTTTCAATTTTATCAATTAATTCTTTTTACTATTAAAATAACTTGCCTTTAAAATATTCATCCATGTCATCTTAATATTTAATATATTCTTAAACTCCTTTACTATTTGAATGCTGTTCTTTAGCATATTATCTTAATTTGATATTATTACTCTAACTGTTCTTTAATTATAATTTATTTCTATATTATTTTTACTTGAAATAAAATTATTTCTCATTTTCAGGACTATTTATTTAAGATGTAGGATTAGCAGATTTTTCACAAATTTATGGTTATTTGTATTTTCTTTAGGAATTAAATGAAGTAATAGGTGTAATTTATGGGCTAAGTTCTATTGTATGCATAATTTTTTATGGTTTTCTTATTGTTACAACTGTAAGCTAAGAATCATTCATCGAAATCTTTCTATACTTTTCATATTGGTTCTGTGAGAAATCTATTTCATTTGTATGTTAAATCATAGAAGTATTTGGCCTATCAATCTGATTTTTTATAAACCTTTATCTTGCTTAATTTGCATGGGATAGTTTATATTGAAGAATATTATTAATTTGATCTTTAGTTTTTTCAATGAATAAGGATTGAAATGTGGTTTTTGTTTAAGGAGATAATTACATTAATTAATATAATAACATATATATGTAATTATCCAAAATTGTAAATGACAAAAATACAATACCAATACTATAACATCATCATATCCAATAAATTTATAATACTAAAAATTTATGTTAGTTTTAGAAAATGCTGAAATTAAAATTTTAAAGCATTATATATTTTACTCTTTGATATTTTATCTAATAAACATATATTTTGAATAAATATTATTGTTTATTTCTAAAAGTTCCAATATAATAATGAAGAAAATAAAAAAGAATAGATTAGACATTCAAAATTTCTTAGTTTTTTCACTTATAAATATTATCATACTTCATCTGATCTGTATAGAACTATTATATATCAAACAGTATGATTTGAAAGAATTGCTGTAATAATGATTATTAATTATAGAATTTTAACTTATTACATACAAACAAAAAATAACAATTAATATCATACACATAGTATTGTTAAAAGATATATAACAAATAAAAGAAGGGAACAAATAATGATCAAAGCTCTAATTGCTTTATTTCACTATTTAATTAATTGATAATATGAGCCATTTGTATTTTTGATTCTTTTATATAATGAAAATATGGATTACATATTTTAAGTAAAAAATCTATTTCTCTTTAAATCAATATTGGAAATATGAATAATCTTGATAATGAAAGTATTCATATTTAAAATCTTTGATGAGTCTCGTTTCAGATTAGTTTAAATGCGATTATGAATAAATATTTTGATATTATTTATTTTTTCTAAATTATTCTGCAAGAAGAACAAATGTAATGAATATTATTATTTTAGGTTACCAAGAGGATAGTAATATATTAGATTAATATCTTTATAGCGCTTTTATTAGTAATATTGGAATGATATTGTATGTTTCATGCTGGATGGCATAATACTGTTATCAAGCAAAATCTTACAATATTGCAGACCTAACAGGAATGGATCATTATTAAACATGGGTGATAATGAATATAGCCGGAGCAAGTTGCCTGTTATTAGGCTTGTTGATTAGCTTGGCTAAAATTGCTATAGATTAAGCTGCCTTAGGATATGGATCATTAGGGATTAGTTTGATCGGTTGGATTCTCATAACAATCGGAATGGGAATAGGATCTGATACAGCTTAAGTTTGAATTTTAAAATATATTAAGTTCAAAGACACCTCCCTTGATTATAATATTCCAGTTTCAAATTGGTTTGCTGTGACAGGTATTTGTTTCCAAATTGCATTTAATGGATATGAGCATTCAATATAGGAAGATGATAGCACTGGTTAAACCAGCAAGTAAGTTGAAATCTGATTAATAAAATATATCAAACATCAATAAATTTATTCATAATATAAAATATGTATTCTTCTCTTTCAACAAATTAAATAAAATATAGGTTTATGAAGAATAGAATACATTAAGTATAACTTTTGCAGAATGCAATTTAAATAAATATTATATATTAATAATAATACTTTCTTTTTTTTAATATTTCAGATACACATAATACTAATAAATATTTATCAATAAAGATCTATTTAATAGATAGAAATAAAGAGTTCCATTTTAATGATTCTTTTAATTACTTAAAATTCAATTTAAAAATAATAGATTCAAAGAGAATATGAGGATCTTTAATTGTGTATTATTTTAGATTTTATATGAAAAATTCTATACTTATTATTTGAGTTTTGCCATAGTAAATGAGAATATAGTATAAATGAATAAAAAATATTATGATAATATCTTGGAGTGTTAAAATTATATTTAATGATATTAAATATAATATTGAGATATTAACTTTAATTATTGATTTTAGAATCTGAGCTTTATTGATTTATCTTTAGATTTTTTAATTCTAATAGAGTTATTAATGAAATCAATTTAGATAATATAAGATTTTTAAAAGTATATATTATAAAATGATTCTTAAAACACTTAATTACTTTATATATTATAAATATCTTTATAATATTAAATTTGATTTATAATTACAATCATCTTAAAAGAATGTCAATTCTATCTTGATTTTTATATAAAAATAATTTAAAAGTTAGTTATATATCATCATTATTTTTATTAATTAACTTTCCAACTTTCCTTTTTTCCATCTGGACCTGTAGTTTCTATTTCTTAAATAATTATATAAAATCTATAATACTTTTAGGAGATTGCTTATTTAATTCATTTTCATCAACAGCTTGAATTTAATCTTTTTAAGATGATTTCATTTTATTCTATGCAGAATCAACTCTAATATTTTAAGATTTATTTCTTTAAGGTTATTCTATTTTATAAATTAATAAAATACATTTTTCTTAACTTTTATCTTTTCCTTCCTTTTATCCAATTGACTATTTTCGTTTTGTTGGTTACTTAACTTCATCTGTTAACTTTTATTAAACCACTATAATTAATTATTATAAATTACTTTATTTTTTATCTCTTTATGCTGCTACTTTCTAAAATTCTAATTTTAATGCTCTTAATTTTGAATTCATTTCAGTTTTCTCTTCAGGCATATCTAAAAAATACATTAAACCTTGCATAGTTTTTGAACTTGTTGCATCAACTTGTTAATATTGATCTTCTCGTTTTTCCAATGGTCCTTCTTCTTAAATTGCTTGATCTTTTTTCAATGCAATCATATCAATGGTCTTCATATTATTCTCATATTTCTCATTTAGAAGATCAAAATATTTCTAACCTTTTATAGCAACTCTTAATAATGCCTATTAAAATTCATGATAGTTCATTCCCTTTGGTGGTACAGCATTAAAGCCATTTTTTTCATTCAATTATTATTATTATCTTTCTCTTTCTCTTGTTATTGATCTAAAGATTAATTATGCATCTTCAGGAGTTATAATAGCAGGATAAATACTGAATTAAGAGGCAAAATTAGTAAACCCTTTAAATTATAATAATTCTTTTTCTACTCCTGCATTTTCAATCTTCCAATCAGTATATTCTTAATAAGCATGATAAATTGCTTATAATTATTTTTCATATTTCTTATAAACTTATTGAATATCTTAATTTTGTTATAATTATTAAATTTTTTAATGCATTTACTTTTCCCTTTATCTTACTTCTTATTCTTATTAAAGCATTACCTCAACATTGTTTTTCCATTCTTTTATTTCCTCTTTTGCTTTCTATTCTTTTTATTTCTCTTATTATTCTTTATCTTTAAATTCTTTTTTTTTTTATTCTAATAATTTACTTACTTCTTCTTTTTATTTCTTTTAAAACTCTTCTCTTTATTTTCTTTCTAATTCTTATTTCTGTTTTTACATTTCAATATTCTAAGCCTCTTTAATTTTACTTTCTTCTGCCATTTTTTCTTTATATTCTCTTAATTTTAACTTTTTTTCTTCTGCTTCTTTTTTTAATAGTTCTTGTTATTTTTTCTCTCTTTCTGCTTTTTCTATCATCTCTTATCTGTCTTCTTACTTCTTTAATTATTCCTATTCTTCCTTCTCTTTCTTTTTTCTCAAATATTCTTATTTTAACTTTTCTTAATGTTTTTTTCTCTTTTCTTCAGCTTCCTATTTCTTTTATTCTTCTTCTTATTATTTTAATAATTTATCTTCAATTGCTCTATTAATAACTTTCTTCTATTATGAATTATCTCTCTATTTCACTTAAACAACTTATTCCTATTATTATTAAGGATTTGGTTTGACTTTCCATATAATCTTTATATCTGATAATGGTTCCATAACATTAGTTTTAAATGTATCTGAAATCAATTAATTGACTATTTCATGACAATCAAGCCATGCATTTTCAATTCCTAATATAGCTTATTATCTATATTCGTATTGTTAATTCAATTATTTTTCTGTAACCTTTTTGAATTTACTTGGAACAGGTACATCTTAAGTTTAAAGCTATAAATTTAACTATCTAATTATATCTCTATCTGGATCAATATTGATATTATCAGGATCTAAAAATATAAGATGATTTTCATCTAAAATATTATAAGAATTATACTTTTTGATTTTGCAATAGAACCAAAACTTTACATAAACTATTCTAAACATTAACCTGCAGGTCTTCTTTAAAATGTATATACTTCAATTTTCATAGAAAGCTATGCTAAAAATCTTTCAAAATTCTATTAATCTAAACTAAATTGATCAGTCTTATTTTCAGAGTATTTCTAATTTATAGCTTTAACATATGCTTGTACTTCTTCCTTTTACATATTCACTTAATAATCTTTTAACATTCTCATTATATCAGATAACTATATAATTTCATATTATTCTTAAAGTTCTCCAAAATATTATTTTTTACTTGCTTAATTAGTTGTATTAGAATATTTGGAAAATAAATATTTCATTGCTTTATGATTCTTTTTAATAGCTACACTCATAGATTCATAATCATGTGTTTCATGATCATCCAAATCAATCAATTCAACTTTCTTTTCATCAACTTTATCAATAGCTTTTCCAGTAGTTCTTTTCTAAATCTCTTATTATGCTTTCTTTTGTAATATTTCAATTCTTTTTCTCTTCTCTTCTTCTTCTTATTATTTCTTCAGTAATTCTTCTTCCTTTTTTAATTTAATATTAGCTATGTTTTCTAAAACTTTAGGGTCTACCTATTAAGGCTTTTTCTTCACTTATTATGATTAGGTATTTTGAGTAGAAGCAATTGGTTACTTTCCTCTTTCTAATTCTACTACTCTCTTTTTGAATCCTACACCATTTTAAGCCAAAAATTTCTTTTCATCTTCCAATTCCTTTTATCTTAAATCATTAAAAGGATCACCATCATTTTATTATTTTTTCTCACTCTTTATAGTTTAAGGAGTTTATTCTGCAGAATGCAATTACTAATTTTACACAAATTCATTATCAATTATTAATTGAGATTATTTCAATATTTCATCCTATTCCTATTTATCAGCTTCCCATTATTATTTAATAACTTAAACTATTTTCTCAGGATTACCAAACATATTTAATAATGTAATTACTCCCTTATCCTTAATATTTATATTTTATCTAATTATAAACAATAAAATAATACAATTCAATATAAAAATGACATAACAAGGGTTTTATTTATTCATTTAATTCATCTTATTACATATTTATTATGAACTTAATTAATTCAATTATTTGAGCTCTTTTTTAAGCTTCAAGTATTTCATGATCATTATTATGTTACTATAATGCTGTGAGGATAGACAAATCATTTGTTTTTACCTATTGTCTTTTACTCTTTAAACTGCCATAATGTAATGCTAGACCAATTTTACACAATTTAAAAGCATATTCTCTCAACATAGGAGATTCTGCAAAACGTGCCAAAAGAACTTAAATTGGATTAAATGATAAATGTGACATTGTTACACTATTTAAATATATTTTAGCAAGCAAATCCAATAATAATATAGCCAATCTTATTTTCATCTTTGGATGTTTACTAATAAATTTAAACAATATCATATCTGTTAAGTTAACTAAAGCATCATTCAACATAACCTATTTTATCAAAGGTTCTAATAGAATATCAATAGGAATAGATGAGTATTTTTGTATTAAATACATAAAATTGTTCAACATGAATTCCCTAACATCCAATTCATTATAATTTTCAATTAGAGTAAATGTCAATTTCTTATATAGAACTGCTGCATATGGATTTCTATCAGTAGCTAATTTATCAAGTAATCGAAATAACATATTAAGTGAAAAATATTTCAAATTATTTGAGGAATCTCTAGTGCCCTTTTTCATTAAGAATAAATATTGATTAGGATAGTTTTAGTCTTCTTCAAATTAAATTGGATATAATAACCAATTTAATGTTAAATACTTAAGACCTTGTATCTTAATTGGCAACTGATCAGAATCTGACATTTTTAATGCTGCCTATGCCCAATATTGTACAATCCCTTGTGAAATTAATTCATCCTTTAGAGTTTTCTATTAGTATAGAAATTCAATCAAAGAATTTAACATGTCAACGCATTTGTCAGCTAATTATTTTTTGAATTAGACAGTAAAAAAATCAACAATATTAAATCTAGCTACTTAACTGTATAATTCACAAATTTAACTCAATAAATTTGGATGTCTTTACATGCATAAAAAGGTGGCTGCCAAACCTCCATTTTCCTTGCAGAACCATTCATATCCTAATTAATGCATTTCCATTTCAGAAAGTTCAAAATATGTTCTACCCATTATCCTTAAGGTCCAAAGAGTAATTTCTTATTCTTTAGATAAAAGACCTGGTTTTATGGTTGCAAAAAAATAATGAATATTAGAATCTTATTATTCTAAAAAATTGAATACTCTAGAGATGTTAGCATAAATATCACTTAACCAATTGATCAAAGTTTCAAATTCTCCCTTGACTCCTTTTACAAGTAAATGAGCTAAATATTTATTACCATTAGATAATAAAGATGCAGCTTATTAAGGTTTTAAAGTTAGATGTTTAGATAATCCTGTAATAAAAAATTCAAGTAAAGACTTAGACTCATTTAATGGTTTTTTAGTATCTAATTCATCTAAAATTAATTCATTATTATTTCCCTAAATATCATATTTAGTTTATGGTAATTTCGATGCTGGTCTGCTTGGAGGTTTCTTTTAAGTTTCAAAAGAGGAATCCTCTGAGGATCTAACTGACCCTCTAGTTTATGATTTTCTATTGATTTGATTATCTAATTCCATCATATCCTTGAGTAGTTCATTCATCATTTCGGTGTCTCCATTTACAATTAGATTTTTAATATCGTTGTCCAAAGGCAAGTTAATTTTTTGAAATGCATCTTATAAAATATTCCAATTGAATAATTTAACTCCTGGAGTAAGTTAATTTTTCATTTAATCACTTAAATTTGGGACATGCTTTAAATTAATTGTAATATTTACTATAGATCTTGCTTCAAGCATTTTATTTAGGGCCTCTCCAAATTTGATGCCATTAACAAATAATTTACTTTGGTTCTCATCTAATTCAACTTTACCAGTGTTTTTCACTTATTAAGGTTTAACAATAGTAAGAGACAATAACCATTTATAGACATCATGATCAAGTGAAACTTTCATTAATATTTTTTATATAATTATACTAACATACTAACATAATTTAATAAACCATTCCAAATTTTGTTAAAAATAAGAATTTTTCAGATTCATTTAATATCGAATCAGTTGTTTTCTTGATTTTTTTAGAGTCAATTTTCAATTTTGAATTTGATATCATAGCAATAACTTTATTAAATATGTAACCAAAATTAATATATTGTTATTGAATAAATAAATGAAAAACAAACAAATTTTTTAATTTATTCAATTTAGACATGAATTATAGATAAATTTATAAGAAATTTTAAAATCTTTAATTTGTCTAATTTCTATTTAAATTTTATTAAAAAGTACTAAGATTTTAATTAAGTCATCTTATCCTATTTAAGTATTATTAATTATGTATCAATAATTTTGAGTAATTTAGCATGAATACAGAATATGAAATTAAATAGTTCTCTCTAAATTTGTATCAATTTTTATATAAAATTAATTTTAAATGTCTAAATCAAATTTTTGTCCTTCTACTCAAGATTCTATATATTAAATTAAACTAAACTGAATGTATTTGAATATATGAAAATAATTCATTAGTAATTTAAAAAAATAACTCTAATACAAAAAAATAAAAAATCAAATTTATGCACATCAATGAATTAGAATCTGCAACTCTATTCCTTATTATTCTTAATCGATATGACTAGTATTTTAATATATAAAGGCTATAACAAATAATGCTCCACTCATTATTACACTAGTTTTATCAAAACCTACTTAATCTATAAATATTCCTCCTATAATAGGTCCAATTAAATCTCCTAATGACCATCCTGCAATCAAAAGAGTTGAACCAACCTCGGCTGCTTAATCTTTATGTTTATTTTTCTCCATAATTTAAACAAATAAAGGCATTATAATAGCAGGTCTAGAAATTAAAAAAAGAATTACGCTGATCCAATTCCTATTCCTCTTATTACATCTGCAAAACAAATAATATAAATAGACTATGGTAATCCTATCATAGATGGACCATAAAGTAAAAGACTAATAGCTCCAACATAGAGGCAGTAGGTATAAAGCTAATTTAAAGTGTACTTTTTCTATTCAGCTATATAATAAGCTCCAAAGAAGCTTACAAAAGTGTAAATCATAAATAGGAATTAAGAATTTGCATCATCTAGATTATAAACTTCCAATAATTAAACAGACTAATATTAATTGATATATATTACTAAATAAGTACGTAATGCTTATGCAGTTACTCCTAAGAAGAAATAAGAAGTAAATGTCACATTCAATTCATGAATTTTAAACACTTCATAATAATTGATTTAAACTTCTTGTTGCTCTTGATTGATGTTGAATATCCTTTCATCAAGAAATAACATTACACAAATAGCTATGAAAAAGTATAAGAATGCCACAAAATATAAGGAATATTGAAAAGTATTAAAGCTATAAATATTTGCTAGAATAAATAGAACACCACTTATCAAAGGGCCGCATATTAAACCAAAGTTGCAGGCCATTTCTAATTTGGCAATTTTTTCTGAAATTTGTTCTGAAAATAAGTGTCCAGTTATTGAATATGAAGGTACCTAAATCATGGTATTTGACTAAATATTGAATAGATAGATTTACAATTCCTTAAAAGAATCTTAAAATTGATGAAAGAATAAAAAAAAGAGGTCCATTCAAAAAATATGAAATCCCCAAAATAATTGATATAATCAACTATCCTACTAAACCCTATAAAATGATTTTTTTAGTACTATGCATTTTCCCCAACATATAGGAAGCTAATATGCATCCAAGTGGGTAAAAACACATAATAATACCAATTCCAGCTTCTGTGAATCCCTTTTCTTTTATTAATGGAGGAAAAAGTGGTATCATCATCATATAACTTGCATTTGCCATCAATATCAACATTGCTATGATAATGAAGGATCTATCTCTATTATATTAGAGAGAACTTGTGTAGACGTCAATCATTTTGTTAAATTTAAAAAATAATAAGACTTGATTTTTAATAATACGCCTTAAAATGTTTAAAATTACACTGATAATTAATATTATTTAAAAAAGTGAATGTTAAGTTCTAATAAATAGCATAAAATTAATGTTTTATTATTGATTTTGAAATATCATCTTATAATAAACAAAATTTATTTTTTTCTTTTTTATATACATTTACTTTTTTATCTTAGAAATAATCAATAAAAAAATATTAAACTGATTTCCAAAAATTTGATAAAGAGTTTAAAATTTGGCTAATTTGTTTATAAATATGTATATTTTTTTATTTTAACATAGAGAAGTATCGATATTAGATAATTATATAGGACTTATTTATATTTAAGATAGGAACTTCATAAATAATCAATGATCATAAATTTAGGTTATACAAATTTATTTAGCAAATGAAGTTTAAATAAAATGTTCACAAAACTAATCAAATTCATATGAGAACTTTATTAATTTATTGGAATCATATTATTTTTGATATCTTTTTTCCATTATAATCTAAATATTTTAATTAAATTAATATGTCGAAGTTTTCATAATTTTTAGAGGACATCAGCGATTTTAAAGAAAGGCCTGTCAAATTAAAACAAATAAAAAAGGTTCTAAAGATTAATGAGAAGAGCTTTCCTCCTTGCAAAAATATCTTGAATTATTATTTCTAAGAGTTTTCAAAGTAGATTATAATACTATAATGTAGACGTACAAATGAGGAACATCGTACTAAATGGCACAGAAAGGATAAAATTTTATTTGTTTGGACTGTGTTGAAATATTTTGAATTTACAAATAAGAGTGATTTAAACCCTGTAATATGAATTTAATACGATAGTCTGAAGATGATTGGCATTATCTATCAAATGTCTTAGGAGTAACAGAATAATTATTGAATTTAAAATGGATTAGCATGCTAAAAACTAATCTTAAAATGGCCCCTTGGAACCCTGAGGAAGATGAAATATTGTAAAACTTAATCACAGACCCAAATGAAAACAAAAATTGGACTTAAATTACAATAGATTTCAATAGAATAAATCCAGCTAAAATAGTTAGACATGCTAAATAAATTAGAGAGAGATGGAATAATTATTTGAATCCTGAATTGAAAAAGTATAGCTAAATATTTAATTAGATCTGAATGGTCATAACCTGAATAATTACAATTATTATTGCTAGTTTAAGAAATTGGAAAAAGATGGTCTCTTATTTCAAAAAAGATATCAGGAAGAACAGAAAATTAGGTAAAAAATCAATACAATTCGATGATGAATACTTATCGAAGACAAAATGTATGAAACAACTTAAATCTTTAGTAGCTAGATAACGAAGATATAGCAATTAAAAAATTATTGGCTAATTTATAGGGAAAAGATTATGAAGGTCCCTTACCATTGACTAGTAAACGCATAAGAAAAACAGTTAATAATAATAATAATAATAATAATAATAATAATAATAATAATAATAATAATAATAATAATGTTACTTTATATTAAAATACTATTAATGATTAAAAGAATATATAAATTGAAAGTAATGAAATAAAAGAAGAACATTAATAAGATTAATAATTGTAATCATAATAAATACTATAATAATAATAATAATAATAATAATAATAATAATAATAATAGTAATAATAATTATTATTATCTTAATAATAATAGATTTAATAGTAGCAGCAACAATAATCACTAATGCTTGGATTACCTGTATTTTCTCCAATGTTACCTTTCTCTCCTTTACATTATTTAATTAGTATTTATTTTACTTATTTATGAAGAATCAAGTCCAAATAATATATCCTCACCTTATGAAATGAGAAATAAGAATTATTCTAGTTAATTACAGCTTTTTGATGAATATATGAAATCTACAAACAATCTTGATTAAAGTGCCCCTTAATCAGAGGTTCCTTGTTTATTAAGGTTATTTAATTCGCCTGCATTTAACCATTAAGGGTTTCCTTATGCAACAATGCCTTACTAATAACCTACATAACAGTAACCTGCATATAATACAAAAAAAATAAATAAAATTCAAAAGGAATTGCTAAAATTTGATAAAGGATTAAATAGAGATTGATCTTTTTAATTTTATCTAATAAAATAGTATTTTTCGTAATTTATATAATAAGCATTAAATATTGAAAGTTTAATATAGAATATTCATTATCAATCATTCAATTTAAAATGATCTCTGATAATAATATTTAAGAATTACAAAATATTATTTATATTTGATTTTATTTTAGCAAGTAAATTATATCATTTGGTGTTAAATTATTAGATTACTTATTAGAATTGAGATTATGTTCCTGCAATACCTTTTAAGTAATAAATGTAAAATAAAATAAATAATAATATTTATTTGTTACTTAACTTAATTTTTATGTTCATACTATGTCTTAACTAACTTAATAAATATAATAATTTATCATGAGTAAGAGTTTTTAATAACAAAAGTTAATCAAAATATTTGAAATATTTGTCTACTTTTAGATTGTGATAAATAAATTATAAAAATTTCAAAAAGAAAATTATTAAAATATAGAGAAAAGTCAATCAATAATATTACAATCTAATAGAATTTTTTAATTTACAAAAATTGGATGTTTTAATTTAATAATGAGAAAATATTAGTTTAAATGAATTAATCAAAAAAAACAAAAATAAAAATTAAGCTCACCCAGAACTATCAGCATCACTGCTAAATGAACTGTCTCCAGTGTCAGGTTGTTTTTGTTGAGCAACTGGTTATGGAGCATAGTTATATGTAGTATTAGCTGTATGAACCTTAATAATATTTTTAATATTTTACTATCCTATCAGTTTTATCTTATGCTTTCGTTTCTTCTGCAACTTTTTTACTTTATTATTTTTTTAAGTATTCCAATTTCGTATTTACATATTTTTCTAATTGCCTTGTTTTTTTTACAGGTAATGTATCTATATCGAATTCCAGTTCATCACTTTATTCTTAGATTTTTAATCCATCAGAAACTATTTCCCAAACTCCTCTCAAGTGTTCAGGTGGTAAACTATTTATATTTGAAACTAAAGCTCTCTTTTCTTACATATTCATTGGTTATTCCATTAAACTTGGTTATTTTCTAAAGATTTAATAATATATTTATACACTGGCTTCTTGTTATTGACTGGTGTTTATTGCACTGCGGGAGGTTTCTTTTATTATTTATCAGCTTTAACTGGTTAATCAATTATTTATTTTTATGGATATGGTTTATCTAATTCTTTATACAATTCATTAAAGTGTTATTCAAGTTCTTATGTCATTGCATATAATTAAGAACCCTTGCTGTTCATCGTATAGGACATTTACCATATTTTCTTTATGTCTACCCAAAATTGAGTAGCTGTCTGATAAACATCTTATCATTGTAAAAAGATATAGTTACTATTTTTGAGATTCTGTTCGACTATTTATAAGTCAACATATTCTAATTCTTAAGGATAATTGACATTATCCAATTTTCTTAAAAATGGTGCTGCTAATTAATGTTTCTTCAATTTTTAGAGTAAAGTCATGCATCTTTTCATCTCATCTGTATTTTCTGCTCGATAAGGTGCAACATAAGACTTTTTAATGACTTTATTATCTTCATCTGAAGAAATATCCTATTGGACTTTCTAAAATTTTATAATTTTATTCTAAAACTTTGACATCTCTTTTTGATTATCTGCTTAAATTTACACTAAATCCAGGAGGTAATTTTTTAGCAATCACTCTAGCCTGATCAGAGGTGAGAAGGACTTAAAAAACATCATCTATTTGCTAATAATCAAAAATTAAAATTAAATCGTACACAAAAGGTAGTCATAGTTGTTGTTATGGTTTCTAAAGGAAGAGAGGTTCTTTTGAAAACAAATTATTTTAATTATTATTTTTTTGATTATTTCAATTTAAAACCCTTAAAAAATATGACCGGGGTATGAAAAATCATTAAAAAAATTTAAATATTTCAATATATCGTAAAAAAAATATATTAAAAGAGAAGAGAGAGCACCAAATGTACTTTTAAACAAAATTGTTCATTATATATAGAATAGATTACCTTTATTGTTGTTTGAAATTCCTCTAATAGATTTTATTCAATGAATATCACAATTTAATTATTCATAGATCAATCAGAGATTCTTTCTAATTTTGTATTTTACCCTAATAATACTCAAATATTCATTCAGTAATTTGGGCTTACATAGTTTGTTCCATAAGAAAATGATAACAAAGTTTTCTATAATTTTTTATTTTTATATTAATAATTAAATTCCAAGAAAACTGTAGATCATACTTAGTTAGAATTCATATCAATATGAAATTAACAAAAACAAAATTGAATTAATTGTTTCAAAGCATTTTCCAACTATTCTTACTTGGTTAAGTAGTATTTATATTTGAATAAGAAAAAGAACTTGAACTCTCTTAATCTTTGTTTAAACCTATAATCAATCAAATTCTTACCAGGTGAAGAATTTCTAATCTTCTATCTCATGTTTTAAGGATTACCAACATGACTACTTTTGCATTTTTGATCATCTTAAGAAATTTCATATTATATAATATTTACTTTTAATTGCTGGTGAGAATGTTCTTGTATTCACTGTTGATGGTTTTTACACTAAGGTTATGCCGGCTGATTAAATACTATCCTTTCCTTTACTAATTAGACTAATTCTAAATAAATACATCTGTTTAATGCTATAAGTTTTTTCTGTCAATTCTTATAAAACCCTAATGGGTTGATTTTTTAAAAATTGTGCTTAACTTTTTGTCAAACATTAAGGTGATATTAATTTTTTGAGATGATTAACATCAGAAACTAATCCTTAAACTACTTTTTATTGCATCCTTGAATCCATTTCTATGTTTGAATTACTATTGTTGTTAAAACTATTATTATTCTACACTTAATTAGCACTTTGATTTAAATATTTATCTTAAAATGAATTATTAGGTTTCTGCTGATTCCTTAAAGTAGATGCAGCTTATCTTCTACATTAAACATTTCTAAGATAGATTTAAGAATTTGATTAAGGTAAAGGAGGTCCATATTATTGCATTTTCTTAATTGGATCTTTTTGAAATGGAGATAAACTTTCTTTTTTTTAAATGCTATTGTTTTTTTATTGATCTTTTATATCAGCACTATTTGGTCTATTTTTACTATCTAAATCATCCCCTTTTTTTATGAGAGAACTGCTTCTATCTTAAATTTTAGATAAATTTGCTATATTTGCAGTATTTAATTCTGCTGAAACTTTATTGTTATTTTGTTATTGAATTTGAGTAGTTGATTATGATGGTTTAATTTAATTTTTCATTTATAATTATTAAAATTTTTAGTAACTTGATTATAATTATGATATTGATTATGTTAAGGTTTTTTAAATTTCTGAATGTTTTGTTGAACTCATTGTAGATATGAATGTTGGACTAATTAATTGATCTAATTTAGTTTTTTATTATGACCCTGAATTACATTATTATATTTATAATTTTGAATCATTTTATTAAGATGATAAATTTGAGATATTAGATTATAAAGGTTATTAATATTATTATTATTATTATTATTATTATTATTATTATTATTATTATTATTATTATTATTATTATTATTATATAACATTGATTAAATTTCTATCCATATTTAATATAGTTTCAGACTATTTATTAAAATAATTTAATGATTATTACACTTAATTTTTAAATTCTTAAAAATTATTTAATATAGATGGAGAAGCATCCTTTTATTTAACAGAACTTGGACGATTATTTGTAAGATCAATTTAAGTCTTCTTTTCATCATTTTATTATAAAGATGTACTTCTTACTCCACTTGGTTGATTAATGAATTAAGGACTTTGTATTTAATCTGATGATATTGGTGAAGTCTTTTTTTCCAATTATGAATTTTACTTTTATCTTTATGCACAATGGATTAATAAATTTTAAAAGGATTAATTATTACTCATTTAAGTATTTTACTCATAATTATCTTATTAATAAATGTATTTATTTTAATTAGGGCATTTTGGAAAATTATGTTAAATTTATGGCTATTTTGCAGGTTAATTTATTGTAGTTTTTTATACTCCCTAATAATTATTATTAGCTTACTTTTAATATGGATTAACAATCATTATCTTCTTTCACCTTAATTTCTGAAGTTGACACAAAATCTGGAGATCCACTATAGACTAATGTGGATAATTAAATGTTTTCTTTATTTAGTTAATCTTTCCATTTAATTTTTTGATTATAAATCTTTCCTAATACTTACTATTATTTATTTAAAATTCTTACTAATTTTGATTATAAATTGGTATAGATATCATCTACAGGTCCATTTTATGAATTGAGAAAAGTGTTTCTTATAATTAATTCTTCTTAAATTTATTGAGGATTCAGCTCATCTTTTGTTAATTCATTCCAAGTTGCAGTTCTCTTAGGTCCAGATTTATTCATTTTAGATTCTAATGCATTTAGTTAATAAAAGAAGGATGCCCTTATTTCAAGATCTGGTCTACGAGAATTGAGATATTCAAGTGTTTTGTAGAGTGTCCATGAATACCTTATAATTTAAATAAATTAACGAACTTTTTCATAAAATAGGCAGCCAATACACAACATGCTCTACTTTAGCCTCTGAGTGAATGAACTAAACAACTTTCACCTTATTAAAAACATTCTTCAATGAATGCATAAATTTTATTTACATTTTCATTTTTATCATCAAATAAGACCTTTTTAATGGTATGTTTTACTTCATTATCTTATTCAAGCCAATTGAATGTAAGATATTTAACATTCATCATGATCCACTTATTCTGAACTTCTGTACCAGAACAATTGATTATATGTGTTACTTTATTATTAATAATGAATTCTCGATCCTTTATAATAAAAAATATGTTACTTGTGATGCATACTCATCTCCTATAAATAAACCATCCTTTATTTTAATAGCTCCCACTATAATATTCTAGGCCATAAAAATGTTTTCAAAAATTTATATAATAAATATTTTATTTAACATGTCATCACTACTCAATTACAAAGTGAAAAGTAGTTCTTTATCTTTTTTAGGAGTTACAATATTTTTTTCACATTTATTTAAATGAAATAACTCTCTAAAATATATGTTAGATTGTACTTTTAGAGAATATGTAATGTACTTCAAATTAATGCTTTTAAAATAATGATAGCATAAATGTAATTTTCATTTTAATTGTCGATATTTGTAACTTAATACAATTTAAAATAATTTGTATAGTATTTAGGAAGTTATTATAAGAGTATTTCATAAATTAATTTAATATTAATGAATACCAACCTTTAATTACACTTGCCAAAATTACAGCAATTCATTTTGAATTTTACAGAGGAGAAGAGTTCAGTAGATTTATCAAAGCTATAGAGTACACTTGAATTAAGAATCCAATAAAATTTTATTACACTTAATGAAGTACTTCACTTTTATGAATATTGCTAATCGCAGTAATTGAGTTTTTTACAAAAAAATTAGGGAGTTCTTAAAAATGCATGGATCGAGGAATTGGACAGATGAAGAATGGAAAATACTATTATGGGTAACTTAATAGTATTCTTTATTACATTTAAAAAGCAGTGAAGAATTTGTAAATCTATATAAGTTTACTTTAGTAAGGATAGGATTGGAATAATATTTCTGAAATAATAGCTTTCAAAGACTCATTAAATTGTTAATTTAAATGGTTTTCTCATTTGAGAGTTGTTCCTTCAAATAAAAATTGGTTGCCTGAAGAAGATAAATTACTTTATAAAATAATGACAAAAGAACCAAACATCAAGTGGTATGAAGTTTAATATGAAATGTTTATTTAATCATAAGGAATCTATTTTAGAAAAGCAAAATAATATAGAGAGAGATGGAATAATTATTTGAATCCTTAAGTAAATAGGTAAAGTTTTGGTTTATCATCTAAGAGGTATTTGGACTGAGCTTGATGATTACAATTTATTGTAAATTACATTAGTGGAAGGATTGAGATGGTCAAACATATCCAAAAAATTAAAAAATAGGACTGAGAACTAAGTTAAGAATAGATTCAAAAGTATAATAAACAAAGAGAAAAAGATAGTCTAAATTCCATAAGAATTATTATAAGATTAATAAGAAGATCCTTTAAAACATGGATTAGATAAAATGACTGAATTCTTAATTCATTCAATTTTAAGTAGATTAAAACCATTAGATCATGTTTAGAATTCAAATAGCAATCAATAAGAATAATAAAGTTAAAATAATGAATAATCATTCTCTTAGATTCCTTAATATCCTTATATGATAGCTCCATAATAATATTATTATTAACAATTTCCATAAATACCTTAGATCTAATAGATTTAAACAATTCCTATAATGCAACCATAATTATAAACAATTAATCCTATCATTCCTTGTTAATAATAACAATTATAAGGAATGAATATTTAGATTCCACAAAATTAATCTTTAATTTCGTAATAACTTATGCAATAATAATTAATTCAATAATAATAATAATAAATGATTCCAAATATTTATTAAGCCTAATTTATTCCTTAATAATTTATTTAATAATAATAATAACAATATAAATTCAATTTATATTCATCATAATAAAATACTCCAACTAATTCTATTGGAACTTTAAGTTCTTAAAGATCAGAAAAACTAATTTCAGATTAAATAAAAGAAGAAGAGAATAGTGGTTCATCTTCAAATAAAGAGCCTAAAGTTTAAAAATTGGTATGTGTATCTGCTTAATCATCTATTAATGGTTCAACTAGTTCTGTGAATTCATTAGATGCAATTAAACAAAATTTTAATAATATGCATTTAGATTCTGAATAAAATAGTCCAGATCCAATTCAAAAGAGAAAGCATTAACGATCATAATCAGGGGCCTTTGATGTAAATAATTAAGGAAAAGTTAAGACTAAGAGATCGAGATTCTTTTATGCTTCGAATGATGGTTGAATTAATTTAATTAATGAATAAAATTTTATCAAAATCATTAAACCAATTGCGTGGTTATTGGATATCTAAGTCTTATAATACATCTTAAGAAATCTAAATTTGTAGTTCAAGATTAGATTTAACACGTGATGATTTATAATCAGAAGAGTTGACAACATTGATTTGCACATAATTAGATCCAACTAAATTGATTGATATTTACAATAGATACAAACATTAATTTACTGATCGTCATTTATTATAGAGTTTAAAAATTACAGCAAAAATGTAAGGAATGTATAATTTACCTGTTCATAATCATTATTTTAATGAATCCTATTCAAATTTAATAAGATAATTCAATCAATATATATCAACATTAAATAATTTAGATCTTGGTGATTTTATATATTGGTATAAGAAACTATTTTATGACAATCTTAGTGTAGGATATCTAAATTCAGTGGATCGTAAATAATTGTAATAAATTATTAAAAAGTACATTGAAGAAAATTAGTTTCTACCAAGGTAATTAAACATGATATATGAATGTGTAGAAATGATATTTCCAAATGATGAATTTCTAAGCAAATTTTATATTGATTATGTCTTTTCTACTAATGATATCACTGTTGTTTAACTTATGTAATTTCTTACTTCTATAAATAAGAAATTTATATTAAAGAAGAGAATTGATCTCTATTGTATATTACAATTTTTAAATTACTCAAAAAATGTATGTAAAAGTTTCGATGTTGATTAATATGCATTTATGACTAAAACATTTATAAATATGAGATTAAAATATCATATAACAGAAAAATAGTATCTGGAATAATTAGATGATAAATTTGAATCTACTAAACAAAATGTTAAATATTTAGAATCAGTATCTATTATTTCCATTTTATAGAATTGTAAATATTAAAATGATGATGAATCAAGATCATTATTAATTCTCATTCATGAATAAGTTTAACAAATGATACAAAAACATTAAAATTAATAAAGTAATCTTAATTTTGATTTCTTAATTTAATATTTATAAAATGTGATATTTGCTGATTACATAGATAATCAAGATATTCTTAAACTTGAATCAGTTTGTTTAAATTTACTTAAAGAAAATTACAATTTAAATAATATCTACTAAATGTCATTATACTATTTAGAAAAAAAGACTAAATCTGAACCTTTTGCAGAATATTTAAAAATTATTCTCAAAAATCTTACATTTTAGAATATTAACTTTAATATAAAAAATCTTGTATATCTACATTTTATATGTGAAATTGATATCTCTCATTTTTTAGCAAACCTAAATTATTAAAATTTCTCTACTGTTGAAGAAATATCAGATGATATTTAAATATCTAAAACATCTATCCTTAATATTGTTATTTTATTTGAAGAATATCCATAATTACCACTTCCTCAATATATTAGTAATTAATTTTATAAAATGTCCTCTATGCCATTATTACTATCATTATGTAATTGTCAATATTTTAGTCCAAAAATTAGATCACTTTACACTTAAAAATTAAGAAATCTAAGAAGTGAGGGAAGACTTGATAAGCGTTTTAGATAAAATGTGTTAGAAGCTATTAAAACTGATGAAGATGCCTTTCATTTATTTAAATGGTTTTTTTAAAGCAATAAATTTTAATTGAATATAGCTTTACTTTAAGTTCTTATTTCAAATGATAGCTATAATGTAAATTATTTAATTTAATTAAAGTATAGATCACTAAGTCTTAAGCTTACTTTATATATTTAGTAATTTAAAGTTCTATTGATGTTTTGAATATAGAGATAATAATAAATTAATTAATTTACTAAAACAAATTGTTTGATCATCTATTACAAATAGACTCTGAAATAATTAATTAAATATTTGAATAGTCATATAAATTTAATGATGGACAAGGAACAGCAATAATAATTTAATTATTAGAATAAAGGTGTCCAGATAATTTAAAATAATTCAATATTCCTTAAAACTTAATGTTAAACTATTAATAACTTGAATTATATGACACAAATTTCATTTTAATGATGATTAAATATAATTGTTATCCTCTAAAAGATAGTTTAAAGATTTTCAATAATTTAATTAATTTTTCATAAAATGAATTAAGATTGTTTGTACTCTATTTAGAGATGAGTTAAACAATAGGATTAGAGAAAATGCATTCTTATATTTTAAAATAAATAAAAAAACTAAATGAAACCTATATTATATAAATATAATGATGAACTTAATAATGTTTAATTTTATATAATGTTATTCTTGATGATTATCTAAACTCTTTTATTTTTTGTTAAATAAATTAAAAATCATATCTTTATACTATAATGTTAAAGTTATGTTATAACTTGATTTATAATTAATTTTCATATAAGAATTAAGAAAACAAAGCCATTAAAAGATAGCAATTATTAGATAGATATATTGGAAAATTATTGTATTAGAATACTTCATCTCTTAATATATTCATTTAAATTAGCATTTTTAGGTGAAGTTATTTATTAAAATCTAATATAATTTATTCATTAAATATTCATTTTTCATCTAAGAATATTCAAATTAATTACATAGATTAGTAATTAATAATAATAAATTTTAATTTATTTGAATATAATTATTTTTAATTCTGCCTTTGATCAAGTGGATTATATTGTTATCTTGATTTTTCTTTAGTTCTAAATAGATATATATTTTTGGCAAATTTGCTATTTTTTCATTAACTTTAAGTGAATACAAAATTAAATTTAAAAAGAAAATAAATTTAATAATTTTTTTAATGTTTATGATTCAAGCTTAAAATGGTTGTAATGAATCTAATAAAAAACAGAATCAAGATGGAAAAGATTAAAAACAATAACAATAAGTAAAACCTATTAACGATGTAATTAAGGAGATCAATAAAAAGTAAATTAAGAATAAATGATAAAATATAAAATATTCAAAATTCATATTATTCTAGATTATTTAATTTGATATTTTTGATATCAGTAATTTAATTTTGATTAATTTCCTTTTGTAAATTATGAAAAATATGATTTTAAAAAAATTACTCTATTTAGGATTATTAAATTAATTAATTTTTAACTTGATTAATACTGTTTAAGTTGATCTCAATTGATATCATAAATTTTATTAATTTATTGAGTTAATATCCTTTTTTCTAATTGTTTATTTCTTTTTAAATAGAAATGAATATAAAAATAGATAATAAAAATGAAGATAAAACAATTGATACATAATTAATCATTTCATTAATTCTTTCATTTTTTATTCAAATTATTTTTGTAATATACCTTATGGATCAAAGTATCTTAAATCACCAGTTTTTTTAACTCTTAATATTCTTGTGTAATATTTATGATGCAATTATGTTAAATTATCAAGTTAATTTGTTAACGATTATTAAAATAAGAAAAATGGGCTAAAAAAGACAGGTATTCTTAATGGAATTTTAACATAAATAGGCCAATTCAAAAACTTTAGAAATATTATTAGATGTTACTTTAGGAATTCTTTTCATTTACAAATTAAGCACTGTGCCTAAAAAAAATATACCCAATGTATTTCTAACAAATCCTATAGCTGTCTTTTTGAATTAATTCTGAATTAATAATAATCAATCAAATACTTCATCTTATTTTTCAACAAAATCAGTATTTTGCATCAAAAAGAAGAACATATTTTGTGAATCTACTTAAGCTAAAGACATTAATAATAATTGATTATTTGGATCATTAGGATTCCCTATTGGACTTTGAAATGGATTGTTCATTTAATTTTAATTTAAGGTAAATATTATTACAAAATAGTTAGAATAAATAAAAATATTTATTGTTATGCAAATCATTATTTTTATATAATCAATTTACTATTTACAAAATTGAGCATTACTGCAAAAATTTGAATCAAATCTAAATTTGACAATTAATAGTTCTTTAGTTGTTTTCCAATAATATTATCAATACCTTTAGTGTCAATATATTATATAGCACCCATACATTTATCTTCATTTTTAATAGGTATAGTTATAGTAGGTAGATTAGTTTCAATATCAGCTAATTTATTAAAATATTTATCTCTATAACAAGAATCAGAAATATAGAATTATCCTGTTTTATATACATATCCAATAATTCCACATGTTTTTGGTATTTTTTTTCTTTGTTGTTCAACAAATGTGAAAAGACCTTCTTAATCTTACATATCTTTAAAATAAATCTATACTTATTTTAATTCATATGTTTTAGATAGTATTTATTGTGCTAAAATTATAAATTATTTTTAATCAACAGATTATTATAAAATTAACGAAAACTTCAAGATTTATTATAAAGCTTCACAAGTTTTAGAATTATACTCTTAAAAGATATATTAATTGAAATGTATTGCAGCCAATTGAGAAATTATTTAAATCAAAAGTTCATCATCTTTTTTAAATTGTTGTTAAATTGATGAGATAATTATCACACCAATAATGTCATCTTTTTCATATATTGGACAAGCAAGCATTGATTTTGTTTTATTCTGTTACTTTTAATCATAATCCTAATCAAATCTTACATCTTAATAAACATCATTTATATTTAACATTTGACCTTATTTAGTTACAAATCCTAATATGCCTTTGAATGGATAATACACTTTTTATTAACCATCTTATCCTTTAGTCCAAAATACATGAAATTTCGAATCATATAAATAAACATATGCTCTATCACATTCAAACAAATCTAAAAGTAATTTCTGATAATTGTCAAAAGTTTAAGATGGTGTACACTATTGTATTTCGAAAGATAGTTTTATAATTTTCTTTAATTTATCAATATAAATAATGCATTTCTCTGATAAATCCTTAACAAATTTAAGTGGTTCAAAAAGATATAATAAATACTCTATCATTTGAACAACATAATAAATACCTTAATATTCTATTTTCTATAAGTATTAATATAAATCTTTTTCATTAAGTGAAAAGATCTAAATAAATTTTTTATAAGACATAGATTTTAAATTAGATGGCTTAAAATCTAGTAAGTTAATTATAAAATTTTGATCTATGGCTTCTTAACTAATTTTTCTTAATTGATCCTTAATAAATATTAAAATAACTATTACTTTTGTTACTTATTAATCTACATCTAGAGAACCTCTTCTAATTAAAAACTTTTATTTTGGAGTTGGATCTAATCTGCTGCTAGATGTCATCTCTATATTTTTAACAGAACATTCTCTCTTTGTTGGACTACTGTCTTTAGATTTATTCCTATCTTGATGAGATGACGGTTCTTTTTGAATTAAATCTCCATTTTAAATGCTAGAAGCCTTCGATGATTGAAGAGCATTCTAAAATTTTGTATTTTATTTTTCTAAATCAAATGCTATTTTGATTAATTAATTTAAAAGGTTCTAAAACTAAGGATTGAGTTATTTCCTTCTATTATTTTATTATTTTACATCAGGTTCTTAATTTCTTCCACAACATTAATAAGGGTTGAATTCAGAGTTGGTTTTATGGGTCGAGCAGATTATGGCATTCCTGTGCTGCTACGTTTTCTTTAAGGAGAGATTGATATTCTAAAACTCATTATAATAAAAAATAAAGTAATTATATAGATTAATTAAGAAATCTATAATTTTCTAATCCCTTTTAAAATTTAATAACAATAAATTTAGTCTTTTTATAATATTATTTATATATATAAATACCTCAAACATTATTCAAAATCATTATGATTCAACCTTAACTTGAAGTATTTATAAAGTTTTCTATTTGATCCATATATAAGAGTTTAAATATTTTTATTTTATTTGATTTTCGAAAGTTTATTCTTTTTCCTTTTTATTGATATCATTCATATTTTAATACCTATAAGTGAATGAATTTTTTGAATAATTTTTACTTATTAATCTGAATCGATATAATTTTAGAAAAATGAGAAAACAGATTTCTACATTAATAATGTTATTATAATCAAAAATAAAATGGTTTAATTTAATATTGATATCTTAAACTATCCCATATTATTTTATTTACAAGAAACATTCAATTTTATAGTAATAATAACTTTTGAGTAATATATTTTATGTTACTTTTTGATTTGAGTGTTTTTGAGAATTGCTAAATTTTTTGTATTATTCACCTTTTAGCTAATTTGACTTATTATATGTAATTCTTTAATTTATCTATGCTATTTTTTATATACTTAATTATATTAATTAATTTCATCTCTTTAATTTTAGATAAAAAGCTATAATTATATTGGAACCTATAAGTTTCATTTGTAATATTTAATACTTCATCAAGAATCTGTTTAACTTTTAATATTTATTGAAAGTAATGATGGATTAAAATTAGAATTCTTATATTGATGACATTTGTATTTTTTTTCTATTGTATGTATAATCATTGTATCAATTTTCATATTATTATACTTTTAATTTAGATTGATGAGTATGAGTATGGATGATACTAAATTTTTCAAAGGTATATCTTTTAATTATAGAGAATTAAAAGGGTTCTCATCAATATGCTATAAATCAAATTGAATTATAAAAGATGTATTTAGCTAATACTTTGAGTTATTTTTGTTTTTAATTTGAATTTACATATTCTTTTTAGTTATTAGATAAAGGTATTTTCTAATTTAACTATTGATTGAGAATTTGGTGATTTGTAAAATTTATGGTCTTTACAAGAATAATAATAATTTCTAATTAAATTATGGTATCAATAAGAAGAGCTGAAATGCAAGATTTATAACATATGTAACACTGCAATTTATGGTGTTTGCCAGAAAATTACACATATAAATACTATTTATATCATGGAATGGTTTGGCAATCATTATTATATGTTGCTGAAGACATAGTAATTAACATCAATAGATTTTGAATAGAATAGTGGTAGAATTGTTGGATACGTATTGGCAAAATAAGATGAGGAAGATGAAGAGGGTACAAAGTTAGAGCATGGACATATTACATCATTATCAGTCTTAAGAACACATAGAAAATTAGGATTGGCAAATAAAGTCATGTAAAGTACCCATAGAGATATGGATAAGATATTTGAATCACATTATGTTTCTTTGCATGTTAGAGTATCTAATAGAGCAGCTCTAGGATTATATAGAGATAAATTGGGTTATGAAACATTTGATACAGAAGAGAAATATTATGCTGATGATGAAAATGCATATAATATGCGGAAATGGTTTAGAAAAAAACTAGAGAAATAATGATTATATATCAAATTATAACAATAACCAAATATTAATTAGATTATCATACTTTAACTTTATTATTATTGTGTTATATTTTTCTTATAAATTCTTTACCAAATATATCGAATAATGGTAATTTTGTAACATCTTCAGAAAATGTAATTTCTGGCCATTAATTGATTTCCAAAACAACTAATCCATATTTTTTTGAATCAATAATATCAACTCCTCCAATTGTTAGATTAGGATCAATAGCTAAACATGCCTTTTCTGCTAATCTAAAATATTCCTCTTTTTTTATACTATCCATTTTAGATTCAATTTTAAAATCATCACTATAACCATTTGATTTAAAATCCTTTTATAATAAAAAGTAGTGTTACAATATTATCTTAAAATTCGGTTACAGATACTGCATTACCACCGATAACTAAAACTCTAATAGATCGACCAACAGAATCACCCACAAAATCTTAAATTATTGATTACTCTCCATTCCAAAAAGATTTACAGAAGATTTCTGTACTTTAAATTTTATTACTTGACAATTTAACTCCTGTTCCTTCATATCCTACAACCTCTTTCATTATTGCCTTGTTTTCAAATTGAGATAAGTTTTTTTTAAACTATTAAACAGAGAATGAAGCACTACAACGAGGAAATGGCACTTATCCTTCACTAAACTTTGCATATTGCAATAATTTGTTTTATAATATATTTTCTGTTTGTGGTGAATATAATGTAATCTTTCCAGCTGTAAATGCAGCAAAATTAAAGTACATATAATCCAAATAATGCTTTGGTGCCATATATCCATAACATAAAAATGCATCAAATTATATTTACTCTCCATTTCTTAAAAATATAAATTGCTATTATTTATTTTATTGAATACTTCTCCAATTATAACACTTAATTCTTCTAAATCAGTTACAATTATTTTCACATTTTCTTTTTTTAAACTCTAAATCACCAGATCATCCATCATTTCATAAAATATAGGATCTGGGTTTTTCATATAGAGAATTATAAGATTTTCACTCAACATGTTTTATAAAGTAATTCAATTCTCGTAAATTTATTAAAGGCACTCTAAATTCCAATCAATACTTCAAGAATTATTGTAAATTCATGAATCACTCTATAATAAATCAATTGTGAGTTTATAATTATTTATTAAAATAATAAACAATTACAGTAGATATATCAATATCATTCTTCTTTCTAAATATCTATTATATATATTTCAAATTCAATTTTTATTTATTATATAATATTTACTATTGTTAATTAATTCGCAAAAAAATAATCACTAAAAAGTGTTATATTATTTTAAATAATAAAATGCTTATTCGTTATTTCCTAATTTCTTATGTATCTACATCAAAGCAAAGCCAGCCTTCCATTTTACTGGATGATCTTAAGGGATACTTAAAATGTCCTCTAGAATTTCCATCCCTTTGTTTACTATATTAATATGTAAATATATTCTATATAAAATATAAATATTACCTAGCCAAATTATATTTTACTTCTAATGAATCAACTTAACAATCTTTATAACAATCAAAATAATAAAGACTTTTCTTGAATAATTCTGCTTAATCAGTTGCTAATCTACCAGTCATCTCTTATAAATATTTTACACATATTAATAAATTATATAGAGGATTCTTTTAATCATTCTCTCTTAACTTTAATAATTAATCTAATTTATATGGTATAACACTTTATTAAAAACAAGAAATTTTTCTTGTGAAACTGTTAAAAATACCTCTTAATTTAGGTTAAATATTTTAATCTATAATCTAAATTAGATATAAAATCAAATTTTATTCATCAATATATTTTAAATAAATTGGAGCATAACTATATTTTCTTTCCTTTAAAGATGCCCATAATCCATATTAAGCCAATTTTTAAATAAATTCTTCATAATACTTATTATCATTATTAGCAATTTTTTTTAATCTTAATTAATAGACCATATGTGTCAATTTAAATAATTCCTAAGATTTATCATTCTCTAATAATGATTCAAATACATTTAATATAATAGTAAAGAAATTTTAATAACCAATTTCGACTGAAAGACTTGTTGTTTTCTTTCTTAATTAACTACTGATAGTATGAAATTTTCTTAATCTTCTCTTTTTATGTTTTCTACCAAATAATTATTCATATTCTTCTCTCTTAATTCCATCAAAGTATTTCAATTTATTATATGATTTTTCTTCTTAAGTTAATATTTTTCTTAAGAAATCATACTTTTCATTAACATCAGTTGTATGTTTCAATTTCTTATATAAAAATAGAATTTAATCTTTAGTACTTGGTTAAACAGGAATTGGAGGTTCTTCAATTATTTATTATGCATCAGAATTAAAATTAAAATTATTGAATTTAGTTAAAATTTCTTATTTTAATTATGGACTGAATTAATCTCGATAGTTATATAAAACTTATAATAGTTCTTATTTAGGTATATTATCTAATTTATCAATTAATTCAATTAAACTTTTACAAGATTATTCTTATAATTATGTATTTTTATCACTATTTAAATAAAAGTCTACAATTTATTGATAATCATTAAAACTTTATTATAAACATTATAAATAAAAATTGACTAATCGATAACTGTGATTTTTTAGTATAGCAGTCATAGTTTTTGATCCAAAGTATTCATCTAATAATTCTCTCATTTCTTCTAAATTTTTAGATTTCTCTAAAATTTCACATATCATAATAGTAGATTTATCTGTCAAAGGAATAGATTTTAATATTTATTTTGCATCTTCTAATTAATTCTTTTTTACATATAATTTTGCCATTCTCTTAATACTCTCTTAATGTAATTGATGTTATTATAAACTAATTGCAATATCAACCAAAACTTTCAATTATTTAATACCTTTTTCATATTCATAACATTTTTCTAAACAATCAACTCTTTCAGACATTAATTAAATATTTGGAGCTTTATTTCTTTATCTTAATAATTTACCAAGATATTTAGCAGCTTGATAATAGTGATAAAATATTGCTTCACTTTATATTTATTCTTATTCTAATTTTTATGCTAATTTCTTCTCTAAAATAGCAATTTTCTTCCATAATTTTGGAGATGTTTTTATTTTAGTGGCAATTGTAAAATGATGTATTGCTTTTTCATAATTGCCTTATAATTTCCATATATGACCATACATTATGAAGGCTCTTTAATATCTTGCATGTTGACTAATAATTTCATCAAGAATTTGTTTAGCCCTTTCAATATTGTTATTCATAATAATCTCTAATTTAGCTTCTGATAATTTAATTTCTAAATCTTTAGGTTTCTTATTGAAAGTTTTTTTAGATTGAATAACATTTTCATCTTAATTTGAATTTTAACTTTCCTCTTCTGAATCACTTGACATAAAATAATTTTTATAAATATATAAGATTATTTATATTGATGGCTGAAATAGGAGAGGAAATTACAATAAAAAGAAAGAAATAGTATGGATTATGTTCTAAATTATGGTGTCTAAGATGTATGAATTGTTGTAAAGTATAAATTTATTTAATGATATATTTTTACTATTTTAGGCTGATGATGTTTCAATTTTAACATCAAGAAATAGAAAAGAGTTGTCTGTTAAATTAATGGCAAAATATTAGAATGCAATTTAATTGGTATTGATTAATCATTAAATATTCAGAATCCAGAAGAAATTCAAGTTTTGGATGTTCTTATTTTATTGTATACCTTAGATGAGAAATCTTGGGCCTATCAATATTTATATTAATGTAAATTGATTTCAAATGATGAGAGTCCAAGAAATGATTTAGAATTTTATATTCCATAATTGATGAATTACTTAGTATTTCATGAAGAAATGTTGAATGTAAAAATATTTATTAAATTTAGGAAAATATAAGTTAATTTATACTTACTTCATGTATTCATAATTTCTATTTTGCATAATTGGTATATTGGACACTTTATTCAATAAGTGCAATTATATTTAACAACTAAGTAACAGAATTTTAAAAGTAATTATTATAGATATATGAAATAGAGTAAAATTATATTTACAAAATCTAATTAAAAGAATGGTATTGAATCATGAAACAAATTATGAAATAAAAGAATAAGATGAAAAAATAAAAGAATTGATTTCTACTTATGGTACACCATAATTTGATTAACATTCTTTAAAATGTTTAATATTACCTGAACATATATAATTGTCAAAATATATTCCTTTAGATTAAGAAGAAGGGTATGATTTTATGTCTTGTATTAATTTTTGGAATGATATCATTTCTATTTCAGATAAATTAAAATTTGCTGATCCAAAAATAATATCTTTACGAGCTGATTTATCATTAATAAACACTAGATTACCTGCTAATGTATATATTCCATTTGTAAAAGGTATAATTAATTTATATATATATATAAGATCAATTGAGACATTATACAATTTTAAATATTGTTTTTTAAGAAACAAAAATCTTTTCAACTAAAGAAAGAGCTCCTTTTTATATTTGTTTAGAAGTATATAATGTTGAAAAAGAAGAAAGTAAATTTGAAGATAAAAGAGAAAGAAAGAATTCAGAATTTAATGTTGAATTGTCTATGTTAAGTGATTTTAAAAGTCAATCTAATTTAGCTATGTCTTAGGTGTCAAATTAAAGTTTAGGTGTTTGTAAATAAATATTTATTTAAATTAGCTGAATGTTATGAAATAGAATTAAGTAAAAAAGAAGATTAAAAGAAAACAAATAATGTAGTATTAGATTTTGAGAAAATTGGATAGGAGATTTTTGGTGAAGATTCTAATTAAATAAGTGAAAGAATTAGATAATAATCTCCTTATAGTCATTTCAGATCTTGGAGATTAGTTCATTTAATTGTTAAAACTGGTGATAATTTAAAATAAGAACAATTTGCACTTTAATTAATCAATTAATTTTAAATGATATTCTAAAAAGAAAGATTACCATTAAAACTGACAACTTATGATATTTAATCTTTAGGACCTAGTTCAGGTATTATGGAAATGGTTAAAGATGCAGCAACAATAGATTCACTTAAAAAGAAATTAAATTCAATTGATAAAGATATTACTTTAAGTCTTTTTTTCAAAAAATATTATGGATCTAATTTACATAAGGCTTAAAGAAATTTTTGTTGTAGTTTAGCTGCATATAGTTTAATTTGTTATTTTTTATAAATAAAAGATAGACATAATGGAAATATTTTATTACATAAATCTGGTAAAATCTTACATATTGATTTTGGCTTTTTTATTAGTATATCACCAGGAAAAGGATTGGAATTTGAAAAGAATGTTCCATTTAAATTACTCTCTGAATATATTGATGTTTTGGGAGGAACTAAATCTGAAATGTTTAATCTTTTTAGAAAATTATTTTTTAAAGGATTTGTTGCTTGTTAGAAACACTAAGATTAAATTTTATTACTTGTTAAAATGATGTATAGTGGACATGGATACACTTTACCATGTTTTAGTAAAGGTGAAAGTGCTATACATGAACTTGAATCAAGATTTAATCCAGCTTGTTCAAATGATGGAGAAATATCAGTATTTACTTAAAAGTAAAAATAAATCTTATATAATTATTTAGTTTAATCAATTAATCTCTTGATAATTGGAGAGCAAAGTGGTATGATAAATTTTAATATTACTTTTAAGGAATATTTTATTGATTATGAAAACTAATATTTATTTTTTTAATCAAAAATTAATAAATTTATATTAAAATTTATATATATATGATTGTAATCATTTTTTAATTGTTGATCTCTTGAATTTATCATTAAACTCATTGATATCATCAATTAAAAACATAATCTCATTGAAATCAGTTGATGTTTCTTTACTATTGTGATTACTCTTAGGAGTTTTAGACAAGATTTTAGGTTTAAAAGTACATGCTTTTATTTCTTTCTCTTGCTTTTTTGATACTTCATTCTTTATCTTATTATCTACTCTTTATTTCCATTATTCATTCCTTTTACTAACAATTAAATTTTTCTCTGGTTTCTATTAACCTATTACTCCATATTAACCCCATTTTTAAGGAGAATTAGATTATTTTCTATGTAACTTTGCATAACTTGATGTTTAATTTTAAAAATAAGTAACTGAATTCTTAATAGGATTTTTAGTTGGACTAAAAAAATGTTAAGCAGAACTTGATTTACTATTAGGTGATCTTTTAACTTTGCTAAGATCAATTTATATTACATCACTCTTTTCTAATCTTTTTGATGATGGATTTTCAATTTATGCTTATGATTTTTAAATTTACTATAATTATTTAGTTTTTTATTCAAACCATTCTTTATCAATAACTGGTTTAGGATGTGGTTCAGGATTAGGAGATGTTTAAGAAACAATTAGTTTTTCTTATTATTGTAGATTGTTAAGGAGAGTCATTAAAATTCTTTGTTATTATCTTAAAGTTTCAAGTTCCTTTTCTGTTTATTCTTATTATTTAAGTGGACTCTCACTTTAATACCTTCTAGTAGATTCGCTAAATTTATTATCAGTCATTTTTCTATTAGATTCACTCATCTTAATATATGAATCATATTTCTTTAGAGTCAATCTAACATCCTTCTAAATATCTCTAATTAATGTAGATGAATGTTTAGCCATTTATTGAGCTTAAAATAAGTTTTCATTTAATTTGATATTTTCTATATCTGGTTTAACAGAATTGATGACTCTTTAAGCATAAGTGACTTCATGAATTCTTTTTTTCTTCTAACAATGTAAATTATTCATAATAAAATTAATAATTTTAGAATATAAAATAAAATTAATCCAAATTAATTAATTTATGTAAGAGTAATAATATATATCTTTAACTAATAAATTACAAACTCTATAATTCTAATTATATGTAATAATTAGATTATATTATATATTATATTTATAATTACCAAACTTTATATAAATGTTTTTATTTTAAAGATATCTCTCATAATCAAAATAGCATTGTAAATTATCATTCAAATTGTTTTATTAAATAAAATATTTTAAAGATATATAATCAATAAGATGGCGAGGTTGAAATATTTTAATAAATTTTATAAATAATTATAATGGCTGAAGTCAAACTTAGCAATTAAACTAAAGATAGAGTTGCTGCATGCAAATCATACATTGAAAGAAAATATCAATTAAGTCTGTAATAGGAAATGGAAAAGAAGATGATTTGGCAACAATTGTAATAAAATATGCAGAATTTGAATTTCACTCCAATTGAATAAGAGTTAATTAAGAAGGAGATTTTACATAAAGAGGCCATTTAGCTAAGAAAAAAGTGAATAATTTATCATTTCAAGGCGACAGAAGATCACAGTGATGGATTTTGAACCAATAGCAATAATTGGAAGAGGTGCTTTTGGTGAAGTTCGTGTTTGTAGAGACAAAGAAACTAAAGAGATTGTAGCAATAAAGAAAATGAAGAAGTCTGAGATGATATTTAAAAATTAATTAGGACATATAAGAGCAGAAAGAGATATACTAGTATAAGCTAATTGTCCATGGGTTGTATAATTAAAATATTCATTTTAAGATGAAAAATACTTATATTTGGTAATGGAATTTTTAAGTGGTGGTGATTTTATGACATTATTGATAAAAAAGGATATCATTCCTGAAAAAGAGGCTAAGTTTTATACAGCCGAAATAGTGCTAGCAATTGAAGCTGTGCACAAACTAAATTATATACATAGAGATTTAAAACCAGATAATATTCTTATTGATGAAAATGGACATCTTAAATTATCAGATTTTGGTTTATGTAAACATTTAGGAAATAAATAAAATGAAATATTATCAATTCCATATACAGAAAGAAAATAAGATGCATAATAATAATAGACAAGAAGATAATTAGCATTTTCAACTGTTGGAACTCCTGATTATATTGCACCAGAAGTATTTTCATAGAAAGGATATAATGATTTAGTAGATTGGTGGAGTGTTGGAGTTATATTATTTGAAATGGTTATTGGTTATCCACCATTTTATAGTGATACTCCTTAAAAAACATGTTAAAAAATTGTAAATTGGAAGAAACACTTTGCAATTCCAAAAGAACCCAAAATATCACCTGCTTGTGCTGATTTAATTAAGAGATTAATGGCTGATTCTTCTGAAAGATTAGGAGATGTAAATTTAATCAAAAAACATCCTTTTTTTAATGGAATTGATTGGGAAAATATGAGAAATTTAAAAGCACCTTATATTCCTGATAAATCGAAAATTACTGCCAACTTTGATAAGTTTGATGAATAAGATCCATGGTATTAGACTTAAGAGAAAAGAGGAAGAGAGTAAAATCATTTTTAAGGATATACTTTTAAAAGAAGTCATGAAAATGAAGTCAGTCCTATTAAAAGAGCACTAGAAGAATTAGAGAATATTAAACCATCTGGAATAAGAGCAAATTTCGATAAAAAGTAAAGATCTTAATCACCTGTATATAATGCTTCTCCTCTTTTGAATTAGGGACAGAGATCTTAATCACCTTCAATTAAGGAATAATTGAAGTAAACTTATGTTTAATATTTTGGATAATATTTGTCTCCATTAAATAAACAAAAGAGACCTGAAACAGCTTAAATTAAATAACAAATAGCGAATAAAAAGAACTGATAGATTACGCATATAAATATATTATATTAATTAAATAATGTTACCATAAATAAAGCAAAATAACTAGAAATCAGAAAAAGTAAAATCTGCCTTTAAATTACCAAAATTAGAAGAATACTTCTAAAAGGCCAGAGTATTGTAAGATTAGAATTAAAAAGCCTTAGAAGAAATGGTATCCATCAAACGCTACTTGATGAAATTCAAGTCCTGATTGCAAATTTTTTTTTTTTTCTTTAATATTCTAATAAAATGCTATTTTCATAACTTATTGTGAAAACCATTCTTAAGGATTCATTGATATATTTCAAACACTTGTTTTTGATTAATTGATTCAACCAATCCATTTAAATAAAATAATTAAGGTATCATTAATTCAATAAGCAATATACTATTCCATTAGAATTCTCATTAAGTAAAATATATAGAGTAATACTCTCCTAGTAATAATAAATAAAATAAGGTGGTTTTCTCTAGAAAAAATTAATAATTTAAAATTATGTAAATGTCTGTTGATTTTTAATGGTTTTTTGTTATATAGATTAAGAGATGAATAAGTTAACAATGTGAAGATGAATATATTTTAGTTAAATTATTTTTATTTATATTAAACTATATGTAAAATCAATAAAAGATAAGAGTGGCAGTTCGTATTAGACCTTTGTTAGATATTGAAAAAAAATAGGGAAATTTTAATTCAAAAATAGATTAGAATGGATAGGAAATAGTAATAAAAGAAGAGAGAAATAAAAAAAGTTATAAGTAAGATGTAAATCAAGTAGATTCGATCATGTGTTACCTGAGACAGCATCATAGGATTAGGTTTATAAGAGTTGTGAAATAGATGAATTAGTATAATCTGTTATTGATGGATATCATGTGACAGTTTTTGCATATGGTTAAACAGGGTCTGGAAAAACATATACAATGGAAGGTTAACGAGATAATGAAGGAATTGCAATCAAGCATGATGGAATAATTCCTAAAACCATTCATAGTTTGTTTAATAAAATAAAATAGAATGCACTTCAAAGAGATTACTCAGTCTATTGTTCTTATTTGTAAATTTATAATGAAAAAATTTATGATCTTTTGGGGGAAACAAGTAAAGCTAATTATGGTATTCCAATTAATGGTTTGAAAATGAGATGGAATGTTAGGGATTAGTTTGTAGTTGAAAATCTATTTGTTTATCAATGTAAATCAGCTGATGATGTTATTAAATTATTTAAATTGGGAAGTAGAAATAGAATAACAGCAAGTCATAAATTAAATTTTTCATCTTCTCGAAGCCATTCTATATTTGAAATAAAGATAGAAAGCATAGATCTAAAAAATCCAGATTATTTCATAACATCTAAATTAGAGTTAGTAGATTTAGCTGGATCAGAAAGAATCAGTATAACAGGTACTGAAGGTAAATAAGCTAAGGAGAGTATAGAGATAAATAAATCATTAATGACTTTGAGATAGGTAATAGCAATTTTAAGTGATACAAATAATAAAACTATTCCTCCTTATAGAGATTCAAAATTAACTTGTTTATTGAAGTAATCTATAGGAGGGAATTGTTTCTGTTTAATGATTGCTTGTATTGCACCTTTAGATATATTCTATGATGAAAATGTATCAACATTGTAATATGCTACAAAAGTATAGATCACACATTAACTTAGGCAGCTTATATAACCAATATTCCTGTAAAGAATGATGATCCAAAGTTAAAAGTTATTAATGAATTAAAATAATAGATAAATAGTTTAAAATTAGAATTGAGTAAGGCTAATTAACAAATAGAATTTTTATCTAATATTGTTTAAAAGAAGGATAATAATTAAAATATTAATAGTATTAAAACAAAGAGTAATTTTGATAAATTATTAAAAAATCAATAGAGATAATTAGAATAAGAATCTTCAGAAGATGATGTTAATAAATTTGAATAAGCATAATTAAATGATAGATTAATTGATTCAATAAATATGGTAAGAGAATTGTTATTATCGAATAAAGAGATGAGAGAAAGAGAAGAGTAAATAAATTAGAAATGTGAATCAATGTATAGAGAAATTCAGTTTTTATAGAAGGATAATTTTGAATTAAGAGAAAGATTGGGAGATCCTGATTAATCAAGGGAATCTCATTAAAAAAGACCTTAAACAATTAGAAAGAATACTATGATGGTAGAGGAAATAGGATGTTTACCTGAATAGATGACTCAATTTTAGAAGAATTTTTAGAAAGATTATAGAGATACTCAAAATAAAGATTCACAAATGTTAATGAGAAATCAAAGTATTTTGAAGTATCTAAAATAGATATTAGAGCATATTCATAAAGAACTTAGAGTAGGTAATTGCCTTTGATATCTAATTATCAATTAAGTTTTGAGGAAGTTTAATAAGATGAAATGACCAATTTTCGTAGAAGAAGTTTATATTAGAAATAATTTAAATGAATTTATAATAAGTGCTTTTCTCTATCTATTTTGTTAATTATATTTATCATTAAAATAAATATGTCATTGAAAGATTTTTAGATATTGTAAGAGTTAGGTAACAATAGAAATTATCAATTTTATTAGGTGAAGGAGCTTATTCAAAAGTTTATAAAATTAAAAGAATTGCAGATCAATAAGAATATGCACTAAAAAAAGTTAAACTACAATCACTGTCTGATAAGGAGAAATAGAATGCTTTAAATGAAGTGAGAATTTTAGCAAGTGTTAGACATGCAAATGTCATTCAATATAAAGAAGCGTTTTTAGAGGAATAATCATAAAGTTTATGGTAACTTTCTCAATATAACTTTATTAGTATTGTTATGGAATATGCAGATGATGGTGATTTATTCCAAAAAATAATAGAGAGTTAGAAAAAAGGAGTTCTGATGTCTGAAAAAGATATATGGAATATATTAATTTAAGTATATTGAATAATTTATAACTAATTCAGATAGTAAAAGGACTAAAAGCTTTACATGATATGAAAATATATCATAGAGATTTGAAATCAGCAAATGTATTTATGAATAGTGATGGAACTGTAAAATTGGGTGATATGAATGTATCTAAAGTAGCCAAGAAAATATTACTCTATACATAGACTGGAACACCTTATTATGCATCTCCAGAAGTATGGAAAGATTAACCTTATGATTCTAAATCAGACATTTGGTCATTAGGTTGTGTTTTATATGAAATGACAACACTTAAACCACCTTTTAGGGCAGAAGATATGAGTGGTCTTTATAAAAAGGTTGTTAAAGGATTCTATCCTAAAATACCAACTATTTATAGTTAAGATTTAAGCAATGTTATAAGAGCCTTATTACAAGTTTAACCGCATCTAAGACCTAGTTGTGATAAAATCTTATAATTTCAGGCAATTGTTAATAGATTGGATGATAAGATATTAATTGAAGAAGAAGGTGCCAAATTTCTATTGTAGACTATTAGAGTTCCTAGAAATATGCATTATCTTACTGATAGATTACCAAAACCAAATTATAATCCTATAAGAATGACAAAAGTTGATAAATATTAATTTATTTAAACTTTGGCTGTATAGAAACAAAATTAAGAAAATTTTGAAGAAAATCATTCAATGAATTTTGATTTTTTACCTAGATTGAATAATAAGAAAATTGATGATAGTTATGAGAATTCAGTTATATCTAAGAATAATAAAAAAGTTGATGATTCTTAACTTGAGATGTATTAAAATAATTCAAATAAAAATAATTAAGTGGCTGCTATTTACAATCCACCAGTAAAAAAGGTTGGCAGAATTTCTAATAAATAATCTAAAGTAGATCCTCTTAAATAACCTAAAAAATTGGATATTGAAGGAGAATCAAAGCCTTTAATTATTAAAAGGTAAATTAATTATTTATTTACATTTATATAGTACTAAACATGGAACTGAAGAGAGAACACCATTATTACCACTTTTACCAAGTATTAAAAAAGAACCTTAAAAATTAGAAGAAGAATAATAACTTAAAAGAATTAAATAAACTGAAGAATTAATCTAATAATTAAAGGATAGATAATAAAAATAAAGAAGAAAGTAAAAATTAAGAAATCTTGATAATTGATAATAGAATATATGATTTGTAATTCAAACTTTTTATACATCAGTAGCTTCTAACATTTCTCCATCTTTTTGATTAAATTTTAATGCATATCTAATTTCTGATCTACAAAGAAAACATTGTTTAGTTGTTTTTATAAGATTTTCAGAACAACTATTACAAATACCTCCATGATTACATGGATGTAATACTACATCAGGTTCATTTTCAAAACAAATTAAACAATAATCTCCTGAATCTTAATTTTTTGGTTTTGGTTTCATTTATTTCCCTAATGTTTAGAATGGTGATTGACGAAAGTTAAGTGAATCTGGTCTTAATACATCACTGCATATAGGAATAGAACTAGTATTACGAGTACTAGTATCTATAGATGATTATCGAGTAAGCATTTTATAATAGGATGCTGAAATCCTAATGAACATAATTGGAATTTTTAATTTTCTCCATTTTTTTGAAGCATTAGTATTTGATGGTATTTTTTATATATTATTTTATCTATTCTCAAATTATAATACAACACTAAAGTAATAGAATTATTATACATTAATTTTTTCCTCATTTTTAAAGTAAAGAAAATAAATAAAAAGAGATATATTAAAATACTGACTAAAACAATAATAGACGCCAATAAAATATTACTTTATTTAGTTTCCTCTTCATAAAATTGACAAATAGTCTTTAATAAAAAGAAAGGAAGGATTGTTAATCCAAAAATGTAAAATACAAACCAAAAAATGATTGTTCCTTTATACTATTATTGTCATACCATTTATTTAGGGTATATTTTTGAGGAAACAATTTTCAACCATAGTTATCAATAATAATACTATCAGGAATGTATTTATTCCTAGGGCTGTCCATGCTATTATGAATGTTTGATAGTAAGTGTATTCAAATAGTTTGTTCCACTTTAAAGTTAAGAGTAGTAGTTAGATCACATAAAGAATAGAATAAGAATGAGCTATCTAATAAATAAAATAATATATTACAATGATATGCTTTCTTTTAGATAAATCATGATGGAGTACCTAAAAAAGAAATAATCCAATAGTAATTAATAATTAAGCTATTGGTACATAATATAGTTTAATTTCTTATACTTCAAAGTGAATTACTATAGTAATCTTATAATCATAAAATAAATGATTTTACCTTAAATGATATGCTCAATACTTTCTCTAAAAAGTAAACCAAAGACAAAACTTTGCCTATATTTCTATCAAGCATAATAATAACAAAAGTGACTAAATCCATGAACCAAGCAAATATTATTACGTATTTAGAATCAAATTACCAGATTAATTTACAACTAAAGATTAACATGTAAAATTAGCAAACACAATTAAAAATACAAATTCTGATAACTTCTTTTGTTAACTATAGAATTAATCAATAATTTAACTTCTTTATCTGTTTCCCTTGAATTAATCTCTTCTTATGAACGATTCATAAGTGGGTGATATTTTTTATCTTTTTGATTATTTATATAATCATCATTTAGAATTATAAAACAAATTTATTTTTTTTGATTATTAGAAAGATATATATTTTTATAGTATTACTAATTATAACAAACCAGAATCCTTATAAAAACTACTCCACTTAAGTTATTTTATAGTAGCCCTTCTCAATAGATCCACTGAAAAACTAAATCTTTCATTTCTATTGATGCATATTCTGAAATTCTAACATATTCTCCTCCGAATCATAATAAACTATTTGCAGGATTATCAAAATTTAATTGTTTACTCATGAAGGCCTACACGTTATAATTTCTAGAATCAAAAATCAAAAAGACCAAAAATATTTGTTTTATATTGAATTTTTATCTTTTTATTTACTATTTTTTATTTTCTTTATTAAATTAATAAATATCAAAAAGTTTTATAAAAAAAGAGAGTCTTAAAGAATCTTATTAATATATTTACTCAATTTTTGTAACTGAAGCTAACCTTACAATATCATATTTATCAAATTCATTTTATTATACTAAATGATTCTTAAATGTTCAATATTTTTTGATATATATATTCATAATCAAAGTTATGAATTATGAATCAAAAATGTTTAAATCAACTCAAAAGAATAAATTATAAGAATAAGAATTCTATAATATCTAAATTTGCATTTTAAATTAAATAAGATAAATATATTGATTTTAATAAAATAATTTTATATAAAGGATACATAAATTTTTTTAAGTTGATTTTTTTATAATTTATTATTAAAACTAAAGATCTTAATCTAAGAATAAACAAATATTTAAAAAGTAAATTAAAAATATTAATAACTTTACATTCTACAATTATTAATAGATAAAAAAAAGGATAATAGCAAAAGGTGATAAAATAGACCTAGATTTATTTTTTGAAGAAGTTGATTTAATTAAATTGCAATATTAGTACTATAAATTTTACTTTATTAATAATTATTTTTGATTAAAACAAAAATCATTATCTAAAAATACCACCTTTCTTTAATGCATTTTCTGCTTCTTTAATAGCTAATAATTCATTATTGTATTATTACAATAAATTGTTATGTGTTGCAGTTCTAATATATTTTAATAATAATTTATTACCTTTCAATCCATCTATTTTAAGTTGCAACAAGATTATCTTAAGCATCAGATAAATTACTTTATGCATCTTATAATATTGAACTTAATGTTCTTATTTCAGATTATTTAATTGATATTTCAGTTCCTAATAATGGAATTAAAACATCTTAAATTCCACTAACTTTTGCTTAAGTTTCTGATAATATATCTTATTATAATTTAGATTATGATTCATGTTAATTTTATAATGATGTTTAAGCATCAATAAGATTTTATCTAAGTTAATTCATAAAATTAATAACTTTATTAAGATTTTCTTAATCTAAATAGTTATTTTAAGATAATTATGTAAATAAATTTACTAAAGGTTAATAAAATACTCTTTTTGCTGATAATTTTTTCATACTAAAAATTATAATATATATACAAGTAAATACCTTTTATGCATATTTTAAGAGATTTCTTTAATATGTTCTTTTTTTTAGATTAATGAAGTTTCATCTTTGATTTCATTAAGTAATGTAATAGCTTAATCAAGAATATTGATTGTATCAGCATATTCTTAATTTTACTATTCAAACACTGTATTATCTGAGTTGATTTATTATTCCTTTTATGCTAATAATTTAATTCCATCATTTAAATCCTAATTAGCTTCAGTTAAAAATGTTTATAAACGTAAACCTTCATCACTTAATTCTTTGATTTCAATTTCTAATTGTGCAATCTATGAGTTAATGATTATAATAAACTTTGTTCTTAAAGTCATTAATTTAATTCTCATAGAATTAGACATCTGAAAAATATGATTACTAATCTTATTCATAAGAAGTATTCTCATCATTTATTCTTGTTTAGAAGGATTGTGCCAATTCATCTAAAGCAACAAATAATTATTAGAAATTGAAATCTTTTGATTATATATCTGACAATCCAAGTATGATTTTTGAGATTGGATGTAATTTATCCTATTAAATTAATTGAATTCCTTAACTATGTTATTGTATGCATAATATACTTTGCCAATATCAAATACAACAATGTAAACCCAATGAATGTTTTCATTAAATAATTATTAAACACAAATCCGTTTTTATAAACATCTTTCTTTATTATTACGATTATATTATAAATTCCTCTTTAAATTATGATGATTTTAAATCAAGCTAATATAGTATGAATTTATAAGAAAAAAAGCACAAATTATAAATAAATAATTAAATCAATTTTTATAATTTTTGTTTTAACTTTTAGCATTCCTTGTACCTCTTAATTATTCTAAAATATGGCTGTCTATAGTATAATTTAACATTTTATGACCTTAAGAACTATCTTATTTTTTTAATTTAGTATTGGATTCTCTATTTTTAGGTCTTAAAAGGAGAGAATTATAAAATTAATATGTACCTTGATTTTGGAAGTATGTAAAATTAATTTAAATTTCCATCTTAATCATCATATTCTGTCTTAATTTTGATGTTTTCAATGTTTTTTTTATCACCAGCATAATTATTACTGTTTAAGTAACCATTATTACCTTATGCAGTTCTTTTATAGAATGAATTACTATGATAACCAAATATTAATTACTTGATATTATTATTTAACTACTTTTATTATTATGCAATTTTCAATATTTGTTGAATTGGTTTGGATTGATTCTTCTTTTCTGAGGATAAGGTTGGTGTTGCTCTAAAACCTATATTAGAATTAGGTTTATTTGTCACACTTTCTCGACCTTGGGTTGCAACAGTTAAATCATTCTATTTAGCTAAGGAAGAATTGGATAGGTTCTGACCACGTACTTTCTATAATCTTGATATTTATTAGGAGATCAACCTTGAAGATTTAAGATTTGGGATTGGTTTTTGAATTGAAAGATTATCATCTAAAATCTAATCTGTTAATTTAATTAGTCTTTCATTAAGGAGTTTGATAAATTATGGTTATGTTGCATCTGTGAGATGTTCTATATTGTCTGAATTTAATTAATAGAGAGTAACATCTTTAAGAGAAGAAAGAGAATTATCAGATGAAGATTCATAATTTTCTTTAGGAAATTTGAAAGAGTGATTGATTTTACATTTCTTAAATCTATAAAATATATTTAGATATTATAGAATACTTAATTTCTATTTCTTATTTAAAATCATCAACCTCTAAATCTTCATCCGGTTAAGTTTTGGTGATCATTTCAACTGTTTAAGAAGGTTTTGTTATCTTTTATAAAATAAGATATTTCATTAAATCTTTGTCAAAATTTTATGGTTTTTTAATGTTAGGGCTCTTAGATTTTGTATTTCGGTTGGACATAATAAAATAAAAAATATAAATTAGTATATAAATTAAATATATATATATATATATAAAATTCAAACTAAAGCGAATCTACGAGTAACTTACTTTTATTTTTATTAATTCATTAACCATTATTATACTGTACTCAATAATGATATCAATTTATTTAAATATTTATTGATTTTACTAATTTCAAATTTGTCATATAATCCAGAGAGTAGATTAACATTATTGAAAGCATTTTTATCACTGGCCAAACAAAGATATTAATACATTTCTAATTTTCTATTTGGACTCATATGACTCAATAAAACTCTATCCTTTATGGCTCCTATATTGAGATGAGGATTAGATATAACTAATTTAGACATATCAAATTCTCCTCCAATTTCTAAAAGTTGCGAATTATATTTAGGTTTCTTCTATCTAATATTTGTATTTGCTTCTTCTTTTACTTATTTAGAATCAGGAATCTTTCTTTAGAAATATTTGACATTACTAACTGTGGCTACTTTAATCTATTAAGGTTAGGTTAAAACAATTTCATAACATTCATCATCAGATGTTATAACATCAATATCAACAACTTAATGTTCCCTATTAATTCTATTTGATAAACTTCCCTATTCTAAACGACTTTAAGCCAATATTCTAACTCTAGAATCAGGAACCTACAATTATTATTAGTTATTACATACTTCACAATAACCTCCTATCATTTTATCATGAAATTACTTTGCTTTTTCAATTTGACCAACATAAAAATAATATTTACCTAATAAATCATAAGCATATAATTCATGATTCTTTTCATTCAATTTCCATGCTGACATTAAATATTTAGTAAAATATAACTAACTTAATTTTGGTCTTACTCTTAATAAACATTCACCTAATCCTCTGTAAGCTTTCATCTTATTCCTATAATATATTTCATTGTCCGATAATCTTTTGCATAATTTATAATAAATAGCTCCTGATAATGGATTAAAAAAAAGTTGTTCCATTTTACCAAATATATAACAAAACCTTTATTATATACATAAATTTTTTTGTTTAAAACATTCCTACATTATTTCTTTCATTTCCTATTCACTTTTCTCTCTATTTTATTTGTATTATAATAAGTTCTATAACTTTTTAATTAATATTTCCAAACTTTGTATTGCTTCATTTAGATATTTAGAAATGGAATTTTCAATTTCTTATTCATCTAAATTCTACTGATCTTTCAAAACCATAATTTCATCTGAATAACACTTTATTATGGTTTATGATATTTGATATTATCTTGTCTTTTTTAATAATATTTCAGGATTTGTTACCAATGTTTAAGGTGCCTTATAAACATTGAATAAATCACTAGTTCTTAACATATTTCGAGATCGCTTCTATGACCTTATCTTATTTTGAAAAGGCATATTCATAACAGGAGGTAAATCCAATTTTAATTATTCTGTTGATTCTGTTTACATCTTCATTGTACTACTTATCAAATATTTATGATGAGATTTCTATGTTCTTGTAAAATCACTTCCAGAAATACCAAAACTATCTGTATTTGTGCTTTCCAATTTACTTTTTAGCTTTTTCATTTTTTGTATTAATTTTATAGATAATTTTGAGTTAAATGAAGAATAATTGTAAATTGTGTCGATAAAGTACATAGTAACTAATATTGGATAAATTACAAACCAAATATTTTGAAGCATTCAATTTCTATTTCGCTAAACCTATAAATGAAATCCTTTCTTAAATTACAAACGCTCCTCATGTAATTTATTATAAGGATTATCTGATATTAGATGAGCAATAGGAATTCATGAAAAGGTAGTTGAACTTCCTTAAATTGTAGATATTATAAGTAGGAAGAAGTCAAACCAAGAATTGATATATTGACTGAATTTTATGTGACCAATTACAAAGATTTACATCCCTATCTTTTGATTGTCGATTAACATCAACTGATGATTAAGAGGAATAAGCGAATTGATAAACTCTATTATTAGAGAGTCCAACAAAGTGAGCATTCAAATAAATCAAATAATCATATCGTTATTAACAACGTTCTTAATTCAAAACTATCCTCAAAATCATAAATCAGTTATGAAACTGAAGAACATGACATATATTCGTCATAAGACAAACCAAAGAAACTTAGTCGTCTAGATTTTAAAGGCTTAAATATCATTAATATTCAAGAAGAAACCTAATAATTAAATGAGATGCTAGATAAACAATATCTCATTATAAATTAAATGAGTAACTAACTTAAAAAATTACCATCACACTTTTATTTAAGATCCCCTCCTTAAAGTTAATAAATCATTTCTACTAATATCATAAAAGATTTACATGCTCTTAAAAGTGTTAAACGAAGAACTAATCATATTGATTTACGTGAAAAGAAAGGTAATTATATATTTATATATTTTAGCAATACTTGCTAATTCTAAAAGTGAATCTAAACATTCTTAATCCAGTTTTAAAATGTCTAAAATTAAGGATTCAGTTGATTAATAAGTAGATTAATTTCAGGAATATGTATCTGCTCCTATTGAACATATTGATTAAGATGATAAAAATAAAACATAGAAAATTGATAATAATTAAGTAATTTAAAAGATGCTTAGAGAATATTAAGGAAATACAAATCGATAACTAAGATCAACTATTTCTTAAGATTTAATTGTTGCAAGTACATCTACTGTCATATAAGGATTCTAAGGTTCTTAAAAGAGTATTAAATAGGATTAAAATAATAATAATAATAATGGTAGTATTTAAAATATATCTTAAAGATAAGAATAATTAAAAAAAGCATATTAACCTATTAATATTTAATAAAAAAAAATAAATTAAAATTAATTAGATAAAATTACAAAAGGAGGTTCACTTACTGATAGAAATACAAAATAATTACCTATTGCTGAAGATTTATTTAATAAATTACATGATTTAAAAATAAGAAGTTCATAAAATGCAGAATAACAAAAGAAACCTGAATTTAATTATATGTTACCCTCATAATATAATACTCTTACAACTTTCAAGATGAATAGTAATTCAAAAGCTAAATCATAATATTCAAAGAAGACAACTGCTATTGATTTAGGTACAAAGTCTTAACATCAATAAGCAAATCACAGTTAATCAAAGGTTTTGAATATTAATTCTTAAAAAACAGATGATATAGTCAAAAAATATATTTAAATGGCTACTTAGTCCATATAAAATCATAAAAAATTTGATTTCAAATTAAACATATAAAATTTAAATAACAATGAACCCCATATGGAAGATGATTTTTGTAATTATTGCAAATTATTTAGAAAATAAACGTCTAAATTTTCTTACAGAAAGACACAGCTAACAATAAGAGAGAGATTAATTTATAACTCATAGAAAAATTGTGATTAAATAATGATTATTAAAATGATTAATATTTTAAAGTAATATTCTAAATTTTATGCCTTTATATCCATTAAAGAAATGAAAATGAATAGAAAACCTGTTGAAATCTAATAGACTGATTTAGATTGGAAATACATTAAGGGTGGAGGTCCTGGAGGTTAAGCAATAAATAAAACTTCAAATTGTGTTTAATTGACTCATAAACCAACTGGAATATAAATTAAATGTTAAAAAAGTAGAGATCTTGAAACAAATAAAAATTATGCAATCAAAGCATTAAAAGAAAAATTAGATGAATAAATAAATGGAACAAATAGTTTGGTTAATATAAAAGCTTAGAAACTTTAGAAACAAAAATAAAGAAGATAGAGGAGAAGTAATGAAAAATATGGCCATAATAAATAAGAAGAAGAAGAAGTAAAATAAGAAATTTAGAATGAATGAGAATATTTGATTTTTAATTATTTATAAATAATATTAAAAATGTCTAGAATTACTTAGGAATTATTAAGAAAAAGGGCAGAGCATAATGAAATGATGTTAACAAATTTAGAAGAAATTTCAATTCATTAAGAAGAGTTAGTGAAAATTGAAAATTTAGATGTGTATTGTAGACATTTGAAAATATTATTGTTACAAAATAATATAATAGAGAAGATGGAAAACTTATATAAATTAAGAGAATTGGAATATTTAAATTTAGCATTAAATAATATCAAATTAATAGAAGGTATTGAGAATTGTGAATCTTTAATGAAACTTGATTTGACAGTCAATTTTGTGGATTTATAAAATTTAGAGAAATCTGTATAATGTTTACAAAAATGTAGATTAAAAGAGTTATATTTAACAGGAAATCCATGCACTGAGTAAATTATTTGTAATAATATTGAATAGTTGGCAAGGATATAGAGACTATGTGATTGGTTAAGTAGATTCTCTTCATTCATTAGATGGCAAAGAAATAACACATACAGAAAGGATAAAGGCAAAATAAATATTACCATAATTATAAAAGGAATTAATTTATGCAATTGAGGAAGAGAAGATTAAAGAAGAGTAAAGAATCCATGAGGAGAAGATTAGAAAAGAAATGAATCCAAATAGTGAAGATAAAGTAGCATATACACCAGAAACACGTAAGGAGATGTATTTGATATAAGCAAAAGAAAAGTAATTAAATTTAAATATAAATATAGAGAGTAAAAAGAAAGATAAAGAAATCCAGAGAAATTTAAAGTAAAATAAGAAACACCAATATATATGAATGATGGAAGAATTAGATAATGTGATGAGGGAGGTTATAAACCTTAAGTAAATAATTGGGAAGATCCAGAAAATGTCATATTTAAAATGAATATTCCTAAATATCTAGACACTTCATTAGTTAAAGTAAATGTGAATCCTACTTATGTGTCTGTAAGAGTGAAAGACAAGCTTACATAGATTAGATTGGATGAGGAAGTGTTTTCTGAAAAATCTAAGATTTAAAGATCAGAAATTACAGGGGAATTAGTTATTACAATGCCAAAAGTGAATCCTAATGAATTATTAAAATAAATAGCTGAGAGAAAGAAAAAAGAGGATCAATAAAAATAATAAGAATAGATAAAAAAATTAGAAATTAAATAGAAATAAGAGAGATAAAATTTAGATTTATTAATATAAAAAGCATAAGCAAAATTAACATAATAAATAGATGATGATATACCTGATTTAGAATGATATATATATATATATTTGTATATAATTAAATTACGCGCCTAATATTTTAATTAATTAAACATGAAGTTAGTCATTCCTAATATAATTTGGCATGGAGATAAAGAACGAATAATGGCAATTGCAATTCATCCAACATAGAATTTATTATTGACAGGAGGTTCAGATTCTAAAATAGCTGAAAAAGATAATCTAAGTGAAGATGTTGGAGTGATTAAAATGTGGACAATATTAGAAAATTCAACTAAAATAGTTGAATTTGCTGGAGCAATTAATTATGGTCATGACTAAACTGTTAATTGTTTAAAATTCTCACCAAATGGTAAATATTTTGCATCTGGTTCTGATGATTATAAAATAATTATTTGGAACTAATAAGTGAGATAAACATTTGGTTAATCTGAACCTAGATTATAATGGTGGCCATTTTCAATATTAACTGGACATTGCAAAGAAATCTATGATCTATAATGGTCAAAAAATGGTGAAATTTTAGTATCAGGTGGACTAGATAAATATGTAATTGTTTGGAATGTTAAGAAATAAAAATAATTATAAACATTAGATGGACATACAGCATATGTTTAAGGAATTACAATTGATCCAAGACTTAAATCTATAGTATCATTAAGTCAGGATAGAACAGCAAGAGTATGGAAAGTATTAAAAGCATAAAAAAAAAACATAAATAGTTTACAATTTTATCCATAACATGTTGTCAGAAAATTAGAAAATGCCTAAAAAACAGATATATAATAATAAACATCATAAGAATAATAATAATAATAATAAATAGAAGAGAAAAAATAAAATGGAATATTTTTAGGTGAAACTAGTTTATTCACTTTTGTAAGAAGACCAGATTGGAGTCCTGATGGTTCATTTTATATTTTGCCTGCTGCTGAATTCTGGGTTGATAATAAACCTATTATGGGTGCTTATGGATTCTTAAGATAATCTCCTTAAGTTCCATGTTTCTTTTTACCAACCAAAACTCCTGCCTTAGTTATAAGATTTTGCTCTAAATACTTTAATAGAAATTAAGATATTTAATAACCATTGATAGATTTACCATATAAAATGATTTTTGCAATAGGAACAATTGATTCCTTATTACTTTATTCAACTGATAGTCCAATTCCTTTAGCTATTTTTGGAAATCTTCATTATGCCTCAATAACTGATATTTGTTTTAAAGGTATCATATATATTCATTATTAAAGGGTCTAACTTGATTGCTGTAAGTTCATGTGATGGCTTTTGTTCTTTTGTATAAATTGAGGAGGGATACTTTGGTTAAGAAGTTCCAATTGAATGTAAAATCTTATATTAAAATTAGAATTACCTGAGTATATTAGAGTGTTATATAATAATGATAAAATAGAGGAAGAGGAAGTTCCAAAGAAAAATGAAGAATCTAAAACATAAGATATTGTAACTGAATAAAGAGTTGAATATAAAGAGACTTAAGATGGAAAAAAGAAAAAAGTGATTATACCTAAAACATTGTAGATAAATTAATAGAATTAGATATGATTTATCTTTATTATTCTTATCAATATAAGAAAACTTAATACTTTAAAATTCTGAATTTGTTTAATTTTATTATAAATTCTAATTTTTTAGATTGAAAATAGATATCCTATTTGATTATATATATTTGAAGTTCTCAAATTTAGTTTGGATAATATATTTTATGATTTCTATTTAAACTTTATTATTTTTATAATTTTAATAAAAGAAGAATGAGTTTTTAAAGATTTGTTTTGGATGAAAATGGATTTAACTTTAATCTATTTCATTTGTTATGGTTACAAGATCCAATATTTAGAAACAATATAAAAATAGATATTCCAGATACTATTGAGATCATTTAAGGATAACCATATTTCTGGTATTACAGTCATGATTCTCAAATAATGAGAAAAAGCAAATCAAAACTTAATTGGGAAGACATCCTGAATGAATTTGTAACAGATAAAGAAGATTAACATTTAATTTGTGCTATTTGGATAAATAAGACTAAAAATTTAACAACTTTTGAGTATTTGTCATAACACTTATTATATTAATTGTTGACTTCCAAAATATCAGATAACACTAAAGGATATCTATAAAGATTTGTTTATCCTAAAGGTATATTATATATAAAACATTTATTAGGTAGTTGTAATGAAGTAATTAAATGTACATGGACTAATAATTTGTGTTTCTTTGAATGTCTTTCTAATAAATTTTAGATTAACTTTTCAAAAGCAGATATATATCAAAGAGCAGTAACTTTTGAGATGTTGAATGGACCTATTGAATAAAGAACTTTGAAAGGTACATCTCTTACTTAAAGATTGGAATTATTATGTGGATTGATAGTTTCTCATGTAGCTAATGTTACTTAAAATTAAAAATAAATATGTTAAATGGAAGTATTATTTAAAATAGCCAAAAAAAATAAAGTGTTTCTATTATTTAGTTCAAAAGTTTTAACTTCTAATAGTGAATTAAAGCAATTAAATTAGCGTAAATTATTTATTTATACTTTAGCTGAATTTGAAATTTCAAGTAAAATATAAAAATCACTTATAAATTATCCAAAAGCCATTATTTTATCTGATAATTCTAAATGTATTGGATGTGATAAAGATAAAAATTAAATCGAATTTTCAAAGGTTCGATTAAAGGATATTGTTGAAAATTGGGAAAATAATGTATTGACAAGAAAGTCATAAAATTAAAAGTTTACTCGAGATAATATCTTAAAATTAAATCATAATCTACATGTTGGTTAAGTTAAAATTGATTAATAATAACTTATACCAAGAATAATCAAAATTATGTATCCAAAAATGACTATGGAAGAATATAAAGAATTTAAAAGGAATCTAGTATTTTTAAATTAAATGATTTCATTATGTAATGAATGCTTTACAAATGTATTCAATAAATAAGAAAATCCATAAAAAAAGCATTCAATTTTTAAATAAAATATCAAAAGAATTCATATGAAAACTGAAATTGATGATGGATTAGATTTAATTTATAATATCTAACCAATTCAAACAACAAACAATAAAATAGATTTATTTTTTAATTTTAATGAAAATAAAACTATACTTAATTACACAAGTAGAAGAATTAATGGAGAATTACTTTAAATACCATAAATAAAACATTTATCAAAGACTGTTGGTAAAGATTGGAATTAAAATAATTCTATTTTTAAAACCAATTAATCATCAAAACAAGAATAACAAAATTCAAATTTTAAAGATTTTGAATGATTACAATATATATATATATATATATATAATTTGGTTTGTATCAATTATCAGAATCGTTCGAAGGTGATCCAGGACTTGATCTTTTGGATTCCTAATTTGTTCTAGAACTGTATTAATTTTATTATTTTTATTAAATTCCTACTTTTAATTTTTCACTTTTATTTGATTATTATTTAAATTATTCTTTTGGAGAATGTTATTTAATCTACAATTTTGCATTTATCTAAAAAATAAACTAATAAATTACTTTATCAATCAATTCAATATTTTCATAACATTATTTTTATACATTTTTACTTATATTATCTGTTTCAACCTTTTTAATTGATTTTCTTGTTGAAAATTTTGTGTCTCTCTTATTTGTTATTTTTACTATTTATTAACTTAATATCATATCATATCTATTCTTCAATTCTTTCTAGAATTCTGTTTAACCAAACATTTATCCTTTAAATTTTATATGAATCATTACCTTATATCCAAGGATGCTATTTTATTTGTTCAATAGTAATTCTCTTTAATGGATTTTCATCCAACATTTTCTCAATCAGATCTTTAAATTATGCAGATGAATCTGCAATCTCACTAAAGATTTTCCAGAAGGATTATTTGTTATTTTTTAATAAGGAATAGTAGGGATCAGTTGATTTTGAAGTTTTGAAAGGAGCAGATCTGATAACCATTGTAAATAAGATTACACCTGCAGCAAAGATATCAGCCTACTCTGGATTATAAAATTTCTATTTCCCTATATTATAATAAATCTATACATTACCAATATTATATAATTCTGGAGGATTATATTCAGGAGATCCAATATGTTAAGATATTTCAAATTAGATTCTGGATCCTTTCTCATCAATTGTCTTAGTACTAAATCCAAAATCAGCCAACTTAAGTACACCATTACTAAATAGTATATTTTCTGCTTTAACATCTCTATGAACAACACCGCGTTCATGCAGATGCTCAATTCCTATGCTAGCAATAAAGGAAGATTTTTACCTTTTATTAGTTATAAAAATATATTCCTTGCAAATTTTTCAGAAAATTGCTAAGTTTGTTCTAATAATTAGAACAATTCACCTTGATTGGCCAATTCCATAACAAAATAAGAAACCTATTAAATTCTTCCATCTATCTTTTTATAATTTCCATTCATCCTACACTATGTTGGTTGGATATAGAATAAATACATATATGATTCTAATTATGTGTTTATGATCAAATTCAGCTTATGTTGAAATTTCATTTATAAATGTATCTGATCTACATTAACTAGTTGTTGGATCTGTTTTCATGATTTTTATTGCATATTTTTATTTATCCTCCATATTAATAGCCAATTTAACCCTAGATTGCTATTCAATACACATTACTTTGCATATCTTCCAAATCCAATTGTATCAATTATATAGTATTTGTCATCCAAAATTGATGCAAATTCTAAGTAGTCATTTTAAATATCTAAGGACATCATTATATTATAAATTAATTTGATGTAATTAATTTCTCTGATCACATAAGACTATATATAAACTTTATATAATTGTGCTGAAGATAAAATGAAAAATTATCAATAATTATCCTATTATAAATTGTAAGATCAAAAAATATAATAAAAGTCATTCGAAATAAAATTTATCATAATTGAGATGATATAATTGAAATTATAATTGAAATATATGATTTCTTATATTTATATACATATTATAATAAGAGAAAACACTTAAATAATGATTTAAATTGAATCAATATTTTTTTTAATAAAAATTAACAACTACATATTTGCATGATTCTTTCTCTGGAGTTTTAATGGGACTTTTTGAAAAGTTTTTAGGACTTTTGTTTCTATAATTATTTGTAAAATTTTTAGTTTTTGTTACTTATTCAAAATCTTAACAATTTATTTTGCTTTAATATTTTAAAGGTGTTAATATTTTATTTTCTTTTTCTTATTTCTAATTAGTTGATCTTTTATGATTTTCTTGAAAGTTTTGAATATCAATTCTTATTTTTACTGTTGAATCAATTTATTCTTTATTGTTTTTTTAAGGAGTAGATAAATTTTTAGAATTTGAAGTTTATCTTTGATTACTAGATAATTAATTTAAATTGAATTATAAATTTTGATTAGTAGTTATTGAATTGAATTTTTATTTAAATTCCTTTGTAAATTATGATTATGGACTTTTAGAATGATATCTGCTAGCAGAATTTTGATTTACATTTTAAAATCGATTATGTATTACTTATTATTCTTTTTTATCTATTTATTTTTAAGATAATTTTTCTTATATTCTTTCTCTTAAAGGTCTATAATTTTGTATTGTCTTCTATTTGATTTCTAAAGGTGGTTCATCATCAAAAAGAGATGGTATTGATCTCTTAGGAGTAAGTTATCTAGTAAATACATCTAAAGGAACTTATTTAATTTGTATCTCTTTATTTATACTCTATCTGAAATTACGTAATTATATCAAAGCCACTTATGATTATTCATTATTATTTTGCATAGAGGAAATCTTATGAAGATTGGAAGATTTAAAATTTTCTTCTTCATTTTAATTTATCTCATTATTTTAAAATACTACATCATCTTCAAATTGAAAATCTAAAAATGGAGTGACTAACTTTAATTATTATCAATATTTACAATTAGAAGTATTCAAATCTTCAAATTGGAAAAGTTGAGGTTCAAATATATTATAATTATCGAAGTTTATTAAATCATCATAATAGGATTTCATAGACATGATGCAGCTAGGTGATTGTGGTTATTAGGAATAATGAAATATATGTTAGAGACATCGATTTATTTCTGAGATTGAATTCATATTAAAATTAATTATAAATATGATGATTAACGAATTTAAAAAAATCCTATAATATCTTGTAATTAATTAATTGTTTTACAGTACAAAAAGAGAAAGAATGTAATAGGGCTATGATGCGAAATTTGAGATAAATGAAGTAGTTTGGGCTAAAGTCTTAGGCTGTAAGTAGTTTTTTAAGCTTTAGATCCATGGTGGCCAGCATAAGTAATTATAGAATAATCATAAATAGATCTCTTCAATTTCGAATGGAAAAACAGGTACAAATTAATAATGCAGAGTGAATTTTTTAGCAGATGGAACACAGTATTTGTTTTATATTAAATTATAGTGCTGATTTACGTCTTGAAAAAGTTAAAAAATGGGATGATAGGCCAACATAAACAGAAACAAAGAAATTAAAGGAAGCAATAGAATTGGCAAATCAAATTCTGACTGGACAATATTAAAATATATTGCCTAGCTTTGAAAATTTAAATGAGCATATACTTAAATGTCTTGTCATTAAATTGAATGATTTAATAAGAAAAGATAATTAAATGGATGATGTAATTGTTTCTATGTAAAATAAGATTGCATAATTATTGAATGAAATATCAAAAAATGAATTATTGTAGATTGTTAAAATGAATCTGGGCTAACAGTTATTTCGAATACATCAAACTCATTAAACAAGAAAACAAAAAGAATTCTAAAATCTACTATAATCCTTTATAGATCAATTAACTAACATAATTGGTTATAAGGAATAGGTAGAATAAATAACCAGTAATAAAAAGAAATTTAAATAATCCATTTCAAATGAGGAACCTCTTGAAGAGATTACAAAATGTGTAATAATATAAGATGGATCTGATGTTAAAAGAAAAAAAGCAGAAGAGAGTTTTTAAAATACTCACCTTAATTAATGATGATTTTATAATCTATGAAAACATATTATTATCAATATTCATTATAATATTTAATTATATTCAATTTTCGAATTTCATGAATCCAGAAAAGAAATTGACACTCAGCAAAATAACATTAAATCGACCTTAACAAAAGATTGGTTTACCACCTAAAATCACACTCAATAAATAACTTGATTCAAGACCTTAGAGTTCAAAAATTGATATTCAATCTGTAAATATAAATTGGCTAGTCGATAATATTTAATAAGAAAAGTATATTTATTAAATCAATTAATCTAAGTAAGTTAGAATGGATATAAAAATGTTACGTCTTTTTTAAAGATTGGACCTAAAACACAGAATGCAATGATTAATGCAAAGAATAAATTTTAAAATAGAGTATATAATTAATAGATTTTAATGATCTACAAGTTAGATTATATGCTATCAAAGCAGCCTTATTTGGATTCACTACATTAAATTTATTGGATCTATTATTTCAAAAATAAGCTAAACCACTTTTAAGAAGACCAAAAAGTGGATCCAAAATTTAAGAACAATTGCCCTCTTTACTTTATCAACCATAATAGATCTTGGCCATTCTATAGAAAACTGCATAATTAAGTAATGAGAATGTATTCTTAAATTTAATTAATGACAATTCCTTAAGTTTTGTTTTATTTAGAATCTTAAAACTATTTACATAATTACCAAAAGATTAAGCAACAACATCATAATAATTACCTTATTTAAATTTAATATTTATTATTATTAAGAATATAGCTAATAATCAAAAGGAAGCATAAAAATTATTATAACCTACTTATATATAATTAATAGATAATTATTTACATTCATTCCCATATGATCAAACTTTTGAAAAAGATTTATTAAATTTATATACTACAATAACTGCAACTCTTAGAAATTTAGCTAATGAAAATAATAGTGTTGAAATGTATCTTTAAAATGGAATTATTAAAAAATTAGTTATTAGTATGGTTAATTATAGTAATAATTATGAATTAATTTTAAATACATTAAGAATTATGTCAAAGATGTCATTGAGTAAAGAATGTTGTGAATACTTCTTGTAAAGTACTGAAGCAATGCAAAATATTTCTAGTTTTTTTAAAACATATTAAACCAATATTTATATCATTATTAGAGCTTCCTTTTTATTAGCTAATATGACTACATATTTTGAGGGAATTAGATAATTAATTTATTATAAATTTAATTAATTTGGTGATATTCTAAAATGTTTTGATTATTATTGGACAAAAGAAATTAATCCATAATAATTAAATTAAATAGATTAATTTTCATAAAGTAGAGCAGCTTGGGATTTCTAAATATTACAATCAGAGTAATAATTAATTATTTATTTCATAGAAAAGATATTGATGCTTTAATTAGAATCATAAGATTAATTGCTAATATATTGACTATAGAATAAATTGGATTAGATATCTTAAAGAATTATTCAAATGAATATAGAATATTAATATCAAAACTATTAAAATTATTACAAAAGAATACTATAATTACAAAATAATAAGTAAAATTTTAGTTTATAATTAGGAAATCATCTCTTGTACTTTAAGTTGTTTATCTAATTTAACATTTTATGAAAAACAAACATTTTTAAATGATTTCGAATACAAAAATATTAAATATGAATTAATTACTACTCTTGGACATTTTATTATATAAAATGAAGATCAAGAAATTTGTTGTGATGGACTAAGAGTTTTATCAAATTTATCAAGGTAAAAGGATTTAATCAAATAAATAATGAAATCAAGAATCTCAGAAGGTGTTATTGTATTATTAGATTCTAATTCAAGAGAAGTTGTATATTATTGTTTAGGTGTAATTTTAAATCTGCTCTAGGATTAAGACTTTAAGTAAGAATATTAGATATATCTATAGAAAAAAAGAAAATATTAATATAATTGATTATATAACTTAAGTTTTAAATGATTGTACCACTAATGAAAATGATATAGCTAATCTTGGATTAAAATGTTTAATTTTATTATTGGATTCAAATTTAAATTAAGAGTATGCAAATAAAATAGAAACAGCTGTTTAAACATTTGGAAATGTTTGTGATTAAGTTTTAAAAGTTAAGGAAAATAATGAACTCTCTAATACAAGACAATTAATCAATTAAATTATTAATAATATTCCAGAAGAAGGTTATCCATGTATGTAACCGAATTGCGGAAGAAAATTTAAGAGTCAAATGGAATTATAAATCCATATTAATAGAAGACATAAATTATGATTGTAATATAGATAATTAATATAATCAATCAATATTATTTAAATAATAATTTTCCTCTTCTTACTTCTAATTATTTGCTCATAGATGCTGATCGAACTTCTCTAGTTGTTTTTGGAACATCTATTTTATAATCACCAGATTATTGATGATTATTTGATAAATCACATTTAACGCTTTGTTCTAAAAAGTTATTTATATTAATGTCTTCACGTATTGATTTTATGACTAAATTAACATGATTTGGAAATAATTTTTAATATAAGAAAACTAAGATTTTTTCATTACTTACTACAAGTTATAGTATTTTTAATTTATCTTCTTTATGGAATTAAGAATAGTCTGAAATCATTTCAATTTAATTCTATTACCATTAATTATTTCCAAAAGGTAGTTTTTTTTTTAGAATATCTCTTCGAACAGTTTCTACACAATCTAAAAAGAAAGTTTCAAGATCACTTCTAATAACACTTTTCTTATTTTGAGAGATTAATAAATTATGAACTTTTTGATTCAAAGCTTGTATTTATTTTTAATACTTTTATTCAATTTAAGTAACATAACTTAATAATATTTTAAATCAAAATACTTAGATATCTTTTCAATTAATTCATCATACTTTGAATTATTATTATATTCTTCACTAGAAAACATATCTTTAATTGTAGAATAATGAAATTTAGATAAAGATGAAGATAAATCTAGTTTTGTATTATATTCTGTTAATTTTCTTTTGGGATACTCTATTAAATAGAATAAATAAAGCATTACTAAAATGATTTGTATGTGTAGTTGTACAAAAGGTCTATTCTAATAAAGGTGTAGGTTTTTGTTCTTTTTCAATTTCTTAATATTTGAGTTTCTTCATTAAACCTTTAATTTATTATTCAAGAAATTCATTTGTTTTTTTTTATTCTTCTAATGAGAATTTGAGTTCTTAATTCTCTTTATTTTTTTATTCAATTTTTTCATATAATTTAAGGCATTCTTCTCTAAATAATGTCTATTAGAAAATGGTATTTAAAAATATACCAATTAATTTTCATTTGAAGTTATTTTAAGTTTATTTAATACAAGATTATTTTATTATTCTTCTGTTTTATTTTTTAATTCTTTCAATTCAGCTTTAATTTTTTACATATGATTTTAATATGCAATAATAAACTCTGCTTAATTCTTAAGTTTAATTTCATTAACAATATCTGTTAGATCATTTATATATTGTAACAGAGATTGTAATGTTTCTATAGCTTTATTTTACTGAGTATTTTCATTTGATGATGTTCTATCTTTATAAATTTCTAATTGCATAATTAATAAATAAAAAAAGTTGTTAAAAATATATTTTAATGCGCAAGAGTCCATTAATGAAAGAAAACATGAAAGCAATTCAAAACTAAAAATTTTCATATCTGAACAAGAGTAAATAAAAGACATCTTCTTTGGAGAAAAGTTCATATTCAAACAGATCACTTTTAAATGAGATGTAACATCAAACACCAAATCAACCAAAGAAAAACATTTCAACTTAAGCATCAGATTAGAAACTTCATAATTGTACATTAAATATTAATATAAAGAAAGTTAAATACTGAAATCATTAATGAAAATATAAAATAGAACAAATCCAATATTAACATAATAGAATTGCTATGCAGGAGTGAAATTGAATTTTAACAATTGTATAGGTATTGAAGATGATTAAAATGAAGGCAATGAAGAAAAAAGAATGAACACAAATCAATATAATTCATTAAATTAGACAATACATCCATCTCCAAAACTTAAGACAATATCATTATCAACTTATACAGTAAAATATCAATATTATATATCTATTTAGAGTACTTAAAGTCCTGAATTAAGAGAAAAGGAGATTAGACATGAATAAATAACATAATTTAAATAATTGATTACATAAACAAAACTAAATTTGGAGAATATAAAAATCTCAGATATGTAACAATACATAGAGAGAATATTTGATGAAACCATTTAACCTTTACTTTAATTGAAGGTATATATTAAATATTTAGAATTTAGAGTGAGATGCTTAAATAAATTGAAAAATGTATAAATGCTGAATAATATTAAATACGTTCTACTATTGAATCATTAAAAAAGATGGAAGATGACATTCTATCTAATGAATTCAATATTATAGAATTTATGGCTATGGGTCCATTTAATGAAATTATGTAGATCTATTAGAAGAGATTTAAAGAACACTCCATTTTTGTTTAATAGTTAAATCAATAAGATATTGTTATTCATTAATTCAAATAATTACATGATAATTTTACTTAATAGAATCATTTGTTATGTAAGCAATTATAACAATCCTTATAAACTTATTTATCATTATATATCTCTTTTTAAAATAAGGATGATTTTTATGAGATGAAAGAATTCAGTAATATTTAATAACAAAATCAATTTATCAATAATTTATAAGAAAACTTATTCCAAACATGTGAAACCAATAATTCAATTGATGAAGATTAGGTGATAATGAAAGATTAATAAGTTGTGAGAATACCAGATAAGACTTCATAATTTACTTAATTATTAATGAAGGGCTTAAATTGTTAAAAAAGCTTATTTCCATCAGAATCGCCACAATTCAAGAATTGATTATATATTTAATTTAATGTTATTAGAAATCAAAAATTTCTAATTTATTCCTTAATCATTAATAATCTCACTCAACAATGCTTTAACAATCAAAGTTCTCAAAATCTAATCAAATAGTCAGATTTATTGTTAAGAAAGATATTTTATTTTATCAATTTCATAATCTGATCAATAATAAGATGAAGAAGAATTAGAAACACCTCCTCTTTATGAAAATCAAACATTTATCTATGAATTTACAAAAGTAGGTAATTATGTAATATAATGCCTAAATTCAATTCCATTTAAAGCATATATTTCAGTAATTCAAAATTAAAAGGAGATATCTGTAATCTAAATGATGCAATCAACTAAAAATATAGAATAAAAACCTATAAAACTATAACCAAAGATTGATTTATATGCTCCTGAGAATAGAAAATTCAAAATGTTAGGTAGTCAAGAAACGAACATGACATCTACAATAATTCTAGAGCAGATTAAAGAAAAATGTTTAGGAGAAGATACAAATATTGATATAGTAGATTTAATAATGAATAATAAATCCAACAGTAACATTGAAACAGTGTCTACTTTTAACAGTTCTTTTTAGTAATCTTAAAATATAGTAAAAATCAAGACTGATACTTATTCTGATTCAGGAAAATCAGAATTTAATACCATTTTAGATAGGAAAAGTTCAGATCCTATTGTAAGTACTCCTAAAGTTTAAGATAGAATCACTTTAATTAGATAAAAGCAATAATAATATTTGAGTGTTTTTGAGAAAATTCAATATGCAATTTTAGATTCAAAACATATGGAGATAGATATATTAAAGTAACAAACAGATTTCAAGAATACTTATACTAAAGGATTGAACATTATGAATTATTTGGAGATTGGTAATCTAATAAATTATATTTAGAATATATAATGAACATCTCGAAAAAAGCTAATGTAAATAATGAAATACAAAATTGATTAAAAGTTTGTTGTTTTCAATGTTTTTTTTTTAATGACAATTTTTATATTAGATATCTTTTAAATATTATTATATTAATCTAGATATTAATGTTTTTTGTAATCTTTTATATTTTAATATTATTAATAGTGTAACATATAATATATTATTAAATCATTATTTGTTCATATAGTATAATTAGATATATAAATTAAAACAAAGATTATATTTTATTATTATTAATAATAATAAAATATTTTAATTAATGATATAGACTGATTCAGATTCTAGCAGAAGAGTGGCTTACTTTTATAATCGATTTATTGGAAAATTTCAATATGGAAAAGAGCATCCAATGAAACCAAAGAGAATCATTATGGCACATAATTTAATCGTCAATTATGGGTAGAAATAAACTATCATATATTAAGTCTTTTTCGTTAAATGGATGTTTATTTAATAAGAGAAGCGTAATTGTAAGAAATTAGAAAATTTCATGATCCTGATTATATCATTTATCTCAGTTAATTCATGAGTTAAAATAAGATAAATTTTGTTAAAGAGTATTGTTCTGCCAATAATGAATCTGTAATACCTGAAAATTTATTGGAAGAATTTAAATTGATTATTAAATGGAGTCAATAACAAAAGATAAAAACAGAAAATTCTGAATTCAAAGTTGGTGATTCACCTGATAATCCTACATTCTCTGGATTATTTTCTTATTGCTAATTAAGTTCAGGAGCCAGTATAGATTGTGCACATTCTATTTTAACAGGTTAAGCTGATATAGCTATAAATTGGTCTGGTGGATTACATCATGCTAAAAAGAAAGAAGCAAGTGGATTTTGTTATATAAATGACATTGTTTTATGCATTTTAGAATTACTAAGAGTATATGTGAGAGTATTATATGTTGATATTGATTGTCATCATGGTGATGGAGTAGAAGAAGCATTCTATTTAACAAATAGAGTTATGACATTATCATTTCATTAATATGGAGATGATTTTTATCCAGGAACAGGATAATTGAATTCTGTTGGAGTTGGAGTTGGTAGATATTATTCAGTTAATGTTCCAATGAAACCTGGAATGTCTGATGAACCATATATAGAAATGTTCAAAAAAATTACAAGCAGAGTAATGTAAGTTTATAGACCAGATTGTATTGTTATGTAATGTGGAGCTGATTCATTATCATTAGATAAATTAGGAGGATTCAATTTATCTATTAAGTATATCATTTAATATATTAAAACTTAGAGGTCATGGTGCTTGTGTATAATATATGAAATCATTTGGAACACCTATGATTCTACTTGGTGGTGGTGGATATACAATATCAAATGTTTCAAGATGTTGGGCATATGAAACAGGAATTGCTTTAGGTTAATAAATTGATTAAGTAATTTATCATTTTTTATTTAGGCTATACCATCTAATGATATTTATTATGATTATTACTCACCTGATTATTTATTACATTTTCCAATTAAATAGAATGTAGAAAATAGAAATAAAACAGAAGATTTAAATAAAATAGTTGCTACTGTTTATGATTATTTATCTTATATTGAGAATTCTCCAGGAATACATTTTCATGATGTTCCTTTTTCATTTTATCCTGATATGGATTAGGAAAATGAGGATGAAAATAAAGAATGTAATTTATCTTTATTTTATTTTAGAAATGGATTAGAAATAAGAAGTTTCTTTAAATGAATTAGAATAAGAACTTGGAATTTCTGGTTCTAGTAAAAATGAAATATCAGTCTAATCAAATTCAAGAAAAATGTATACTAAAAGTCAATAATAAGATTTATGATAATAATGAATTTTAGTTAAATTTATTAGTACAATCATAATTTTTTTATTTTTTATAGTAATTACTAAAGTTTTGAAGAGTATTTTCAAATAATCATCAAATTCTATTATTATTATCAAATATATAGGTGATGAATATTTATATTAATTCCTTATTCATATCTTCCATTTAATATTTAGAATATCAATTAAATATTTATAAATAAAATCTATTAATTATTAATTTACTTATATTTTAAATTCTATAAATTTAATCTCTTATATCTTATATCTAATAATCAATGCTTTTTAGAAATATGGGTACTAATTATATTTGAATTTTTACTCCTTTTAATATTTATAATTTAATAAGCATAAAATACTTGATAGATTAGTATATTTGCATCATTAATTATAACAATCATAATTTAAAAAGTATAATCAAATTTAATATTTTATATCTAACTTTTTGGAAATTATCTTTATTCATTTAAACTTTATTTCAAAATTATAAATTTAACTCTTTGTTATTATAATCAGTTCTAATCTTATCTTACTTAATCTCTATTCACCCTTCAGAAAGTTATTATAAGTTATAATTGTAATTTAATAACATTATAAACCTATTTCTTTATGGATATTCTGTATTTCCTCTTTCTTAATTCGAAACCAACATAGAAATATCTATTGATAAAGTGAGATATCAAATAATCATGTAAATAAGTTATTTAATAAATAGGATTGTATGCTTTATTAAACAACAATATTAAATATATTAGCATTAATATATAATTTTATCAATATCTTATATTATTATTAATTATATATCATTAATTATAAATAAAGAAGTCTTTAGGCAGTTTTCCAGGTCTAACACAAATAAAACTGCTGTTGTTACTTGATTTATTTGACAATTTTTTTTTTAATTCACAAGTGTTTAATAGTAACAAATCTAATATATTATCATCTCTTTATAATTTTAAATTAGTTTTAATTTTTGAGATTTTCCTTTGTGTTTCTAAAGGGGGCTTAATATATGATATTGAGTTGTCATTCATTTTAAATAGTTTATCTATAGGTTATGCATTGCTATATGATCTTTTTTTGTTTGAAGGAGGTAGTTCAATACGATGAGTTGTTTAGACTGGTTCTAAAAATCTAGATGTTTTTTAACAATCTTTACTTCATTTAAACTTAAAATATTTACCAACATTGATTATTTTTTGCTAATTAAGTTTAGTTATTATATCTCTTGACTCATCCATCTTATTAATTTGATTATGATAAGATTGGCTTTTGTTTCTGGGAATCTATTTGAAAACATCGTAAACTCTTATCTTTTCTTAACTATTTTTATTTGAGATTGATTTTCTATTTATAATATTAACTTAGTTTCATACATTGAAGGTATGATGGTTCTTTAAGTTCTTTAGGTTGCTATTTATTGTTATTCTTTAGGTATTTCATGATTTGATTTAGTATTTTTACTTAAATTTAGTGCTCTCATAAAGGTTGGATAAGGCTATTTAATTATAATAGCCTTGCTCTTATTATTCAAACCTTAATTCATAACGAAAATAACTAAATAAATTATATTGATTAAAATCATAATATAGTTGATGTTTTGTATTTGAAATAATCAATAATGATGTTATAAATCATCAAAACATTTTAAATATATATTCAAGATAACTAATCTTATATAATAATAATTTCTATGCAATTTTTAGATTAATTATTATAAAATATTATTTCTATAAGTTTATTATCCTAATCATTAATCTCAATTATATAATTATTTATTATGTTGAAAACTCAAGTAAATATATTGTGGTAGTATCCTCTATAATTTCTATTTTATTTTTTGTATCATTTCTTAATAAATCATATTTACTAATTAATTAAATTATATTAATCACTTTTTCTAATATTTCACACATATTCATCTCTATTATATTTATATTATCACAAAAGAAACTAAATCAAGTGGATATTAAGTAGTAAAATCATCAGATAATTATCTTAATTCTACGTATAAGAATTTATAATGCAAATCTATTTTATTAATTCATTTTAATTCTATTATATCACTTAAGATACTCTTTTTCAATGGATATAATTATTATAATTAAATTAATTTAGTTCTATATTTAATTATCTATGTCAATAACATATTTAATAATAAGCATATTATTGTGTATAATTTATCAATATATATAAATAGAGAGATATAGGAATAAAAGAAAACACAATGAATTATCCTTCAAACTATATCTTTCTAATTAATTAATTTTGATAGCTATAAATATTTGATTGATCTCTTTTAACCATTCATAATTTAATAATCAATGGATTTTTTAACTCGATTCAAAGGTAGAACTTAAACCATGAATAAGAAGGAAGGGATTACTGGAATAATTAAATCAAATGGCAAACCTATAGAGAAAATACCTGCCTTTTAAAGTTTTAGTTCATTGCTTGCTACAACGGCATCGAATACTATCTCTGATTCTGAGAAACAGTCCCTCTATTCTAATGATTTTACACCAAAGAGCAAGGATCCAAAGATTATTACAAATATTAGCACATTTCACAATAGAAAATCATCTTTAGCATCTCCTCCAACTCCAAGTTCTAATCTCAATATGTCAAAATCATAAATAGAACTTAATAGCAATTAAAAGCAAACTTTATCAAAGACAGGGTAAACAAATTTTAATTTGAATGATTACTAATTGATTATCATTCCAAAAGAGGCATTATGTAAGAGAATGATTTTGATAATTAGGTCAATATAAATTGGAAAATACTGAATGCAATTTTTAAAGCAAAGAGCCTTTATAATAGATATAATAAAGATATTATTGCTCTAAATCTCAATCGTTGGATACATAAAAAGATAAGCCTTTGATAAAATCTTAAATACTGAGTCAGGGATCTTATTATTTATAAAATGAGAGGAAAAAAAGTATGATATAGACAGGTTTGAACACACTTCAATACTGAGACATTATCACTTAATTAATATTTATATATTAAAATAAAAGCAACAAAAAAAAAAGGAAATTTAAATAATTTTAATTTTTCTCAATTTAACAGCTATGACTTTTCAAGATTAAGCAGAGAAGATATTTGGAAGCCTCTAAAAAGCCTTGAAACGATTAGAATTGGAATTAGAATACAATTATGAAATAATTTTGACAAAATAAAAAGC